ATGTGGTTTAATAAAAGAGTTGTTTTTGTTTAGTGAAGAGCAAGATCTAATTCTTATTATTTACGAATAATTAATTATAATTATTTTTTAATATTATAAGGTTTACGTTGATTAGGCCTAAAAGGTTACTCGGTGATTGACAAAAATTAAGTATGTTCTGACACTAATATAACTTAAAAAGTGATGGATTTACTTTTTATTAATGTAAAAATTAATCCGAATATATCCCATTATATATATATATCACCAAATTACACCCAATATATATACATGTAACGGCATAACAAAATTTTTATTTCTTAAAAATAGATATACCAATAAATTTAGTATCAATTAAGATACAATAATATTATTTTATTACTGTTGAAGAAAAGAGAGTAAAAGTAAACAAAAAAAAATCCAACCATTGAAATTGACTTATGTTTGTGTCCCACGTACGTAGGCCAAGTTGCGTCACCATCTCTCATAAAATTGCTGCCATATGCAGTTATGGATAGTGAGGATTAGAAAAGATGAGGAATACCACGATATTGTATATCCAAGAATTTAATACAATAATGCTAGCAATTATGAAACAGAATGACAATATTAGTCATAACTAAGCCAACCAAAACTAAAAACAAAAAAAGAATGGGACAACATTAAATCCTGGCTAGATTCTCTTTCCGGCTGTTAATATAGTTTAGTAAAACTACCAATTTTATAAATGCAGAACATGAATAATTAATATTAGAGAATAATATAAAATTATTTTTGAAATATAATTTATTAGTTTAATATTTTGAATTAATATAATTTTTTAACATGATATCTAAGTTTTATTAACCAAACAATTATCTCGTTCGAATCTTATTATTCTTATTTTTTTTTAATTAATCACAATAATATTTTTATTTTTTGAATTGAGACGGTGTCATTAACAGCTAATAAGTTTATAGGTTAATCCATAACATCATTTCTCCACCTTCCAATTCAAATCTCTTCTTTATAAACAAAAATAAAAATAAATAAACATCACACACAAATAGCAACTTGCATGCAGTAGATTGGAACCAAAGCATGTCCTAGGTAGCTAGCTAGATGGTTGCTGTGGAATTTAATTTTCTTCAACTGCAAAAAAGGCGATAAGGTTTTAATGCTCACATGCCTTGTAAGAACAGGCCATTGATCTGTGTGCAAGAGACAATCAGATCTTTCAACTTGTACCTAATTAAAGCAAATGGGAAGGATGAAGAATGTCGATGAACCAACTCCAAAAAAGGCAAAAACAATGTAATTGCATGACTCTATTCAATTTGAAGACAAGTCGAATTTTCTAGGAATTTATGTATATAAAGAGAAGTACAACTGCTTGCCGGTAGTACTTCTGGCTAGCATGCAAATTTATCAAAAATATTTTAATATTATTAGAAAATAATATAAATTATATTATAAAATTTTATCTGATAATTTAGGTTTTTTGATTGAAATAATTTTTTAATATCGTATTAAAGTTTTTCTAACCTAACGATCAATGATTCTAATCTTACCAATCTTAACGCCTCGCCATAAGATTAAGTTTTTTTTAATATAAAATTTAATATCAACTATCTAACTTATTATGATATCGGAATCTTAAAAAAAAAATTATAGCGATGAACAAAAATTCTAAAACCTAAACTACTTGACAAACCCTAAAAAATAAATTACAAGGAAAGGGTTAGAAAAACTATTCTTTGATGGTTAAGCATAAAAAAACAAAATAATATAAAAGATTCAGAAATGATCACTCACCATCAATTTTAAATCTTTTTGACTTAGCATATTTGATAGCAATATCTCACAAGTTAACCAAGCTAGCTCATCACCTGGTGAAACTGACTCAACATTGGACAGTTTTAGCTCCTGTACTAACATCAAGATTAATGAAGTAGACGGTCCGCATAGGCATAAAAAGAGAAATAAAATCAAAGGATCGGAATAACAGTTTTAAACATCCCAAAATTTTCTGCATTGGTTATTTTCGTCAGTCTATTATCTGATAGAGAGACAGGTCTGGATTATTACAGATTGCCACTCCAATTTCATGTTGTACCAGAAAATGATTAATGCTATTTGAGGCATCAATTCATATTGCACTGTAACTTTAATGCATCATTAGAGTTGAGAGATGGTGGTAGTTGGGAGGCGTTGAACACAATGAGAGTAGTGAAGAAGTGACATTTATTATGGAAGGATAGAATTATAAATGGATGTAGCTAGCAAGAGAAATGTAGGTGGCCAAGAAGCCTTCGAATTGAGAGCAAGTACGGAATATAATTAAATGAATTTGCCTTTATATGTTAGGTTAAACCTCCAATATATTTCTATATATATTTAATTAATTAGAAAAAAAAAAAAAGAATGATGGGATTCGAACTCATGACTATTTTTTCATAAAAAATAATTTTAACAGATTAAGAAATTAGATTATGTCCTAAATAAACAGAAAACCCTTTCATAGAAAAACAATTTTTTGTTGTATCAGTCCAGCCAGTGTCATTGCAAGCTTGGAGTTGAGCTGAAGAAGATGGCAAGAACAGTAAATCATGATTAAGAGTTTTTTTTTTTTTTTTTACATAGCAAATAACTCGATCATTTGCACGAATTGAAGAGAATTTTTCTTCTTATTATTATTATTCACTAATCATAATTGTCCTCATATGAGAAAATCATTGGCTTAGCAAGGGTCAGCTTCAAAAAATAAAATGGCCTTTTCGTCATGAAATCCCTGATGGCTACACATGCATGCACGAGTCAAGTTTCAGTTAAATTGAATGGTACTAGTTTGCATACAAGCAAACGAAAATGTGCAAATTTCGCTAAAAATGTCTTTAAAGAATAAATTTTCTCAAATTTTCGAGACGTGTACCCTCTTCTCCAAGAAAAAGTGAACTAGTCCTCAGGAGAAAAAAAATTCAACCAATCAAATTTTTTCATGCGTCATTTTATTTTATTTTATTTTATGTTAAAAAAAAGAGTACAATGAAATAAAAATAGATGACATGACAATAAATGTATTTTCATATATTTAATGGCCAATAGCAGGTTGACACAATATTTTGTCGTTAATCAAAATATTGTATCATTGATATACGATCCCACAAAATAAAAATCAACCAAAAAAAGATGTCACATAACAATGGCAAATGACCTGAGTAACCCAAAAAATCAAATATTTTACCTTTGACGCACTCTATTTTGACAAAAAGTTAGTTTTCTATAAAATTAATTAGGTTTGTTGGAAATTGGTTCTCAAAAAAACTAATATATTAAATCATTAATTTTCTCACTAAAACTAATTTCATGGCATTACAAAAGCAGGTTGAAGATGAAAATCATCATGGGCTCGAAACCCATGTTTTAGATGGCATGCATACATATTTACGTGGAATTACAAAATTATGAAATAAATGCACATTAATTCCAATATTATTTCATTATAGAAAAATTAAAACAAGTTGAAAAGGACAGTTACCTTTCACAACTTCAGTAGTGTTCGGGAAAACTGATCATTCGCTTAATGTTTGTCCAAAAAAAAAAAAAAACAATTTGATTCGAAATTTTAAATTATTACATATGTTCCAATAATGATTTTATATCAATCCTCTAATATATATTTTCAAATAATTTTTTTATTTAAAATTTGCATAGATATATTATTATTTTTTGTTTAATTTTTAACAAAATTATAAAAAATGAAAATAATAAAATTTAAATTTGTGATCTTTGGTTATTAAAATTACGAGACTATGAAAGATATGGTAATCATAATATCTATTATATGTCTATCCAGGAAAACATTATAGGTGAATCCATAAATGTTTCCGTGCTAGATGCCACCTAAACTCCAATGAACAAATTTCATAATATTGTATAGAATTTGTAGTCATTCTCTTTTACTTATTTAACCACTAAAATATCCAAAAGATTGACTTTTCATTGGTTGTGCGTATAATAACTTCTACGGAAGACTACAAGCTTACTTGTATAAAGGCAATGTTTTTGTATGTATGAAATCCAAGGGAAAGGTATGCATAGCTCTTGGCAGACTATGTAATTCAGAATTTCAAGCTTACTTGGAATGGAGATGGGCATGACCAAAAGTTTGTCCGGTTTCTGATCATCTCAAGTTGGAACGGTTAGTGTTTAGACAACTAATTGATTGCTTACTAATTCTACTTTGTCTTCGTATACTTATGAGGTTAATTTGTTTTTTTGTTTTTTGTTTTGTTTTGTTTTGTTTTGTTTTTTTGTTTTTTTGCATGCAGTAGAAGTTTCTTTAAAACAATCCTAACCACACAAAGATTGATCAGAAAAAGATATTAACAATTTCCCAAAGTTTCCTGATAAACCACAGAGATTACGCCAAAGGAAAATTCTCTTACCTCTCCAATGCACATTTTATATATTTGTAACTTTTTGTATATATTGGAATTAATATGCCAAAAAATTATCTTATTTTCATTATTATAAAGTATTGGAAGAAAATCCACTCACTTTCTACTGTCTTCCATACAAAGAGGTTAGTTTTTATAGTAAAAAAAAAAAATTATAGGCGAACACTATAAATATTCCTTAGATTTATCAGAATAATTCTAAAACAACATATATATATCGCCTTTTACCTTCATGCATGGAATAAATATCTAATAAAATAAAATTAATGTGTTGATCAGTAAGTAATTTACACCTTGAAAAGCCCCAGCTTTTTTTTATATACATACATAAATTTTGAATTACAATAACAATTATATAAATCCAACAAATAAAATGGTGTAGATAGCTAGTGTGCCATCCACATCTCACACTTGTACCACTGATGAACAGTACTTGCATTGAATAAACCAGACAAAATAATTAAAATGATCTCCAAAATAAAAGAAATAAAAAGACTCCATAGTCTATCAAATTATCACGACCATTTAATTTAAAAATTATATATCCTTGTTTCCCTTGTTTTTGTTGGAGTAATTCTTTGAATGGAAATCAAGGAACAAAACCAAAAGAGAAGTGATGAAAACTGCATCAAAGCACCAGCCCCAGATGCCGGAACACCCGGACCCTGTGAAATGGTAGTAGAAAATCCAGGCCATGATCCCAAAGCTCGAGAAGAACTGCACAATCTGGCAATCTGTGACGAACTTTTTCCACTTGGGACGCTTCCCTATTGCACACAGAAAGTAGTAGAAGTACATTATGACATGCACCGAAGAGTTTATGACAAGCACTCCCGGAAACAAAGATTGCGAAGTGTGCAAAGATATATAACACATGACCACAACCGTTGCATGGTGGTACACGTGGAGGAACGTCAGCCTTCTGATGGAGTTGCTCAAGATGATCAAGAGGGTGTCCATGAATTCAAAAATCTTCGACAGGTAGAAAATATTGGACCAGAAGAAGAGGGGCCCTTTTGGTTGGGTGTTTTTTGGGTAACAAACGATGTACTCCACATTAGGTGCGTGCAAAATAATGGAGAGGGTGCAACCGATGGCCATGGTGAAGGAAAGAGTGAGGAGGATAATGTTATGAATGGCTGTGAGGAATTTGAGGATTCGAGGGCCAAGAGAAGGAACGGTGATGATATGTGATAAGAGGAAAGTAAGGGAGAGATAGGAGGTGACAGTCAGGGTGAGGAAGAGTGGAGAGGATCCTAGGGTTTGGCCTTGGTTCCATGAAAAGTTGAGGATTTTCGGGTTGTCCACGAGCCAGTATTGGAGGGTTGAGAAAACTGGTTTCTTGGCTAGGTAGTTCACTACACAGTGTTTTATCGTCTGGAAAAGAAATTCCATGGCTGTAGGGCTTTGCTTCGGTACTGTTGAGAAGGAAGGAGAAGGATGGATGGATATGTGGTGGTTTTCGAGTGCAGATTTTGGGAAATGGAAGAATAATTAAGTGTATTTACGGGCTTTAAAAGGAAAGTTTTAATGTGGGCTACAGCATAGCTGGCTTATCGATCAGCCTCAAAATCAGTCCCTCTAGTTTTGATAAGCGAATCAATTAGTCTTTTTTTCAAAAAATAATCATTTAATCCTTATATTTTTAAATTTTCTTGTAATTTAATCTTTTTCTCTCTTTTTCAATTGATTTTGATTTTTTTTTTGTTTTAATAAATAGGAAAAAGAAACAAATAAGTAGAAATATAACAGGATTGATAAGAAAATATAACATTTTATGAAATAAAATAATACTAAATTATATTTAAGTCGAACTAACACTAGATAAGAAACTAATTTATTAGTTTTGAAAGAAGAGGGACTGCGAAATTCTTTTTTGAAACTAAAGGGACTGATTCGTAATTTACCCTATTCTGCCGTCCCTCTCTGCCCATTTATTTCCTTTTAACTGTCCTAACCAAAAACATTCGGGAGCTCAATGGAGAAGAAAGGAAGAATGGGACACCTTATAAATTGGGTCCCACTTCGCACCATTGACTTGTCAGTATTGATTTTATCAAATTTATGTATACAACAGGTTTTGCTGAGTATTAAAAGTATGTAATTAATAATGTAAAAAATTCTTTCGATAATTATATTCCTTTTATGCATATGATTCAATAATTAATAATTAATTTGAGTCTTAATTTTGAAATATCTTGAGAAAAAAAGTGTGTAATTAAGATTGCCCATTTCAGTTATTAAACTTCATTCAATACTATCGTTAAAAAGAAATCAAAATATGGGCTTCTGGTCGGCTGTCTTGCCTTAAATATTCCTAGTATATAGTTTTTAATTCTTAATTATTCAATTTGTGCATAAGGTCATGACCATTGGTGTTACAAGAGAATCTATGAGATGCATGGTGAGTGTCCACCATATGCCTTAAATATTGCGTATGTAATATTTTAGATATTTTACTTGTTAATAGATAACATAAGATTTTAAGTATTATTTATATAACTAGACTTATGATTTTTCTTCTTCTTTTATCTAATTATGCGTTTAGCCCACCAATAAAATTTAATAAAACTAATAAATTTTATTCAAAATAAATATATAAGTACAAATAGTACTAATTTAAAACAAGACATAAATTCTACACATGGCTGCAAGGCCTTGCTTTTTTTTTCTTTTCTTTTTTTTTGGGGGTGGGGGGAGGGGGGGGGGGGGGGATATTGTAGCTGGGGATGCATGCAGTATTTATTTGCGTTTTGACTTCTTGGAAGCCGCGAATCTGCTTTTTTTAAGATGCGGCCGGCGCTCACCATCTGTAATGGAATTTGTGGTGATATCAAAAAGCTGCCTGGTGGAGACCACTTTTTTTTATGATGAGCAAAATTTATTATCGAAATATCTCTAAAATGAAAATAAAATAAAATAAAACATGCAAGCCATACCTTTTGCGTTTTTTATTTTTTGCATTTTAATCATGAATATTTTGATAAAAATATTGATAATTTTTTGATAAATTAATCAAAACTATAGATTAAAAACCTAAATATTATTTTAAAACATAATAAATATGATTTAAAATATAAAAAGAGATCGAATATTCAGCTATTTACTCTAAGATTAATTTTTTGCCGGATACAGCTAAAACTTGAATATAATTCATTACGGATTTGGTAAGACCATACATATTTCTGTGCCAAAATAAAATCGTTTTTTTCTTCCAACTTTAAAGAAATTCCATAACAGATATATCTTTTATAACGGAGTTGAGATTGCCGTTCCAAGGATTTATTTATAAATCACTTTCTTTTTAAGTGAATTGACACAATTGCCCTTGAGAAAAAGAGCCAGCCCGATTCACGAGGCCTTTCCGACATGCCCTTGAAACTGGTTTTCTCCACGGCTATCTATATATGTGTATGTACCATATCCTACCTTTTCTTTTTATTATAGTCCCTAAACTTATTACATATAATTTATTTAAAAAATATAAAATTAATCTCGATTGATAGATAAATTAATTCAAAAATTATTAATAAGTTTTTAATCTAGTGATAATGAACCTCTTACACTTGTAAAAAGATTACAAATTTAAATTCTTTTTATAAGTATTTGAATATATATATAAAAAAAAAACCACATTACATGAAGAGGTCATGATAATCTTTTATTTTTATCGTAGTGTCAATTCAGTTCATCTTGATCATACGACTCTCTTTACACGGTTTTGCTAATTAGTAACTACTAAAATTAACCTTCTAACCCTAACAACTGAGATGAATGTAGTAGTTGACTATCCTTGCCTATAAAGACAACAACAACAGCAAAAATTAATTAATTCAAAATTATCCATATCGTCAAACCGATAAAAATACGTTTTATTTTCTTTTCACTAATGTTCCGCACAGATCATACTCAACCAAAAAAGAAAAAACCAGAGCCATTATTTTTCAACATCCACGTATAACCAATAAACAGTAGGAAATTAAACAAAATCATAGCCTTTTATTTTTGAGAGCGGCCTTTTTGTAGGCATAGCTCTTGGCATGAAAATCAAGAAAAAGAGCCAAAAGAGAAGCGTTGAAAAGAGCATTGAAGCACCAACCCCAGATTCCTGAGCAACCCAATCCTGTAAAATGATAGTAAAGCATCAAACCCGAAATGGCAAAGCTAAACACAAACTGCACAATCTGGCAATCAGTGACCAATCTTTTCCACTTTGGCCTCACCCCCATTGCACACCATAGATAGTAGTAGTACATCACCACATGCACCATAGCATTGGTGATCAAAGCCACAGGAAACAGTGACTGTGAAGTGCTCAGCCACAAGTAGCACATGATCACAACCGTTGCGTGGTGGTAGACGTGGAGGAACGTGAGACGTTGGATTGAATTGCTCCAGATGATCAAAAGGGTGTCCCCAAATTCAAGGATCTTGGAGAGGTAGAATACGTAGGCCCAGAAAAAGAGAGGCCCAGATGGTGGAGTGTTGGGAGGGAAGCAAACGATATGGTGAAGGTTACGGCGGCCAGTGTGTGAGATGACGGACAGGATGCAGCCCAGGGCCATGACGGAGGAGAGGAGGAAGAGGGTGAGGCTGTGGAGGGCTGTGATTGGTTTGAGGATGTGGGGTCTTCTAAGGGAAGAAGGGAGAGGGATTCGGGGGAGAAGGAAAGTGAGGAAGAGATAGGTGGCCACCGTGACGGTGAGGAATTGCTGGGTGGAGCCAAAGGTTTGACCTGGGGTCCAGGAAAAATACAGGATCTTTGGGTGGTTCACTAGCCAGTACTGAAGGGTAGAGAGTATTGGGTTCATCGTGAGGAGGTCGACGCGCCGCCTTCTGTGGTGTGGATGGGTGACGGATACGGGAATGTAAAGAATTTAGGTCTGTGGAACTGTAAGGTGCGGTGGATTTTGGACATAGGCTTATCTTTTTGGTGCCTTCAAAACAGCATCAATTTTCTTATTTTAATGGGGATATTATATTATTATATATGTTAGTTTTTTTTTTTCCGCCCCGCTACCGGTTGGCTTTGTTAATATATATAAAATTATTTAGTAAAACCATTTCAGTTTGATATTTTGTTTTTTATTAAAAATATATAAAATTAAATATATAAAAAAATATTTATAATTTTTTAATAAAAAATTTGTATTTAATTTTTTTTATTTGTGTTTTTCATAACTTTTTCTTTAGAAAAAAGATTTATCCTTGTTAATTCATGAATTATTAACTAAAAAAGAAAATTAAATAATTTTTTTTAAAAAAATTAATATTTCATAAGACTCGTGTTGAAAAAAATAAAAAACAATTATTAAAAGCTTACATAGAATTAAACAAATAACTTTTTTATTTAATTTTGATGAGAATATCGATTTTTGAAAAAATATGAATTTAATTTCATATATTTATTTACAAAAGAATGAATAATATTAAAATAAAAAACTATATTAATTTGAATCATTGAGTAGCTAAGCCAAAATATTATTTTAATTATTTAATTTAAAAATAAATAAATAAATAGTAAATCCTTACTACGTAAAAATAATATTATTATAATATGATCATAATATTAATAACATATGACTATATTTAAAAAATGACAAATTAAATTAGTAAATATTAAATAATAAAAATAATCAACAAAAAAACTAAAAAAAAAAAAAAAAGAAGACCAAATCACAATACAATTAAAGTTTTAAATTGAAAAAAAAGTATAGAAAATTTAAGGATCAAAGTGTCACAAAAATGTTTATAAATAGTGAAAGGAATAGTTATTTGTGAGTGTATGAATAATGATTTGCTAGTGTGTGAAAAGTGTTTCGAATAATAAGTGAATAGTAAAACCAATGGTTTTACTTTAGTGTTATAAACTAGTTTTTTTGTCGCCGTTACGCAACGAGTTGGATAAAACATATAAAATCGTTTATAAAAATCATTTCAATTTGATAATCTATTTTATTATGTGAATCTATAAACATATATGAAATCAAAGGTGGAAAAAAATTATTTATAATTTTTTAATAAACAAATTTGTATTTAACTATTTCTTATTTATGTTTTTCATAATTTTTCCTTTAGAAAAATGATTTATCCTTGTTAATCCATGGAGTGTTAGCTAAAAAGAAAATTGAATGATTTTTTTAAAAAAAAACTTTAGTATTTTATAAGATTGTGTCGAAAAACATAAATAACAATTATTAAAAGCCTACACATAATTAAATAAATTATTTTTTTATTTAATGTTGATGAGAATATCGATTTTTAAAAAAATATGAATTTAATTTTTATATATTTATTTACAAAATAATGAATAATATTAAAATAAAAACTATATTAATTTGAATCATTCGAGTGGTTAAGCCGAATATAATTTTAATTATTTAGTTTAAAATAAGTTAATTTTAAAGTATTCAAAAATAAATAAATAAACAATAAATGTTTAGTCTAGTATTAGTTGCACAGCTTAATTTCTAAAAAAAATGATTTAATATTTTTTTTATAAATCATAACTATACTAAGTGAGTTCGGACTTTTAAGTCTAAAACAAAAAATACTATAAAAAAAATTAACTTGCAAGGAATCTATTGACTAAATTTGAAGTTAAAAGACTAAAATAAAAATTATTACAAATTTGATTTCGATTAATTTTGATTATACAAAAAAGAAACAAATTAATAAAACATGTGAATTCTTTTTTTCCTCCTTCTTAAATATTTTTTTTATTTCTATGTTATGCATGGCTAGTCGTTTAATACAGTGCCTCACGCGTAGAGCAACCATCTTCTTTTTATTTTTCACGTTTTACTTTCAACTATTAATTAATTAATTTGAGTTTTTTTTATAAAAAAAAACTAAGAAAAAATCATTTAAAATATAATTTTAATCTAAAAATGTATTTTAGATAATTTATATATATTAATCATGCCACCGTAATTTAAAAATTATCTAAATCTATTTTTCAAAGAAAAAATAATCATGTTCTAAAAATTTATTTCAAAATTCATACATATAGAAAAATACATCAAAACTATCAATAAATATAATTTTAAATTAATTAGATGAGAATTTAAAAAAAAATTAAAGCAATAAATTTTAAATAATAAAAATAATTAAGAAAAAACACTAAAACAAAATGGGACCAAATCACAATATAATCAAAATTTGAAATTGAAAAAAAATAACAAATTAATGTAGTAAATTTTAATAATATAAGAAAATCGAGAAAAAATTATTTGAAATACACTTTTAATCTGAAAATATATTTCAAAAAATTATATATATTAATTTAAAAAATTATCTAAATCTATATTTTAAAAGAAAAAAATCACGTTCTAAGAATTTATTCCAAAATCCATGCATATAAAAAAAATAAATCAAAACTCGTCAATGTATATATATATAATTTTAAATTAATTAAATGAGAATTTTTAAAAAATAACAAATCAAAGTAGAAAATTTTAAATAATAAAAATAATTAACAAAAAAAAATAACAAAGTAGATCAAATCACAATATAATTAAAGTTTGAAATTAGAAAAAAAATATGATAAATTAACGTAGTAAATTTTAAATAATATCAAAAAAATTGAGAAAAAATTATTTGGAATATATTTTTAATCTAAAAATTTATTTTAAAAAAAATTATATATATCAAGCATTCCACTATAATTTAAAAATTATCTAAATCTATTTTTCAAAAGAAAAAATAATCATGTTCTAAAAATTTATTTCAAAATCCATACGTATAGAAAATAAATCAAAACTATCAAGTAAATATAATTTTAAATTAATTAGATGAGAATTTAAAAAAAAAGATAAATTAAAGTAGTAAATTTTAAATAATAAAAATAATTAACAAAAAATAGTAAAACAAAATAGGATCAAATCACAATATAATTAAAGTTTGAAATTGAAAAAGAAAAGAGAATTTAAAAAAAGAAGAAGAAGAAGACAAATTAAAGTAGTCAATTTTAAATAATAAAAATAATTGACAAATTAAAGTTTGAAATTGAAAAAAAAAGTTTTAAAAAAGGACAAATTAAAGTAGTTAATTTTAAATAATAAAAAAATTAAAATAAAATAGAATTAAATCACAAGTACAATTAAAGTTTGAAATTAAAAAAAAAAAAGTATAAAAAATTAAGGATCAAAGTGTTATAAAAGCGACATGAATAATGACAAGAATAGTGATTTATAAGTATGTGAATAGTATTTCAAATAGTGACATGAATAGTAAAATATAGTTTTACTTTAGTTTTTTAGTAATAGAGAAATGAATAGTTATTTATGAATGTGTAAATAGTGATTTGTGAGTGCGTAAATAGTATTTTAAATAGTAAGTGAATAGTAAAACCAATAGTTTTACTTTAGTTTTATGTATAATGTATAATATATTTAACACAACAATTTAACCTCTTCTGCCCTATTTTTGTTTCATTTTCATTATTGTTCCACTCAGCATTGCATACACAAAGAAGGAAAAGAGACTCCATATGGAGGTGTTTTGCTATATATTTTCTTATTTTAATGGAGGTATTGTTATTATTAATTGATAATTAAAAACCCAAAAGCAATAAGCAAAACATAACAATTTAATCATCTTTATAAGAACATAAATAAAAGAATTATATGTTGATATTAATGTCATCGGATCCAATTATATAAAAATTTTATTCGATTTGATCAAACGAATGATTTAAATCCAATCTAATTTGACCAAAAACAGATATGTAGGAGGGTTGACCTGTCACCCAACCCGCCTTTGACCTAGTTTTTTATTTTATTTTTTTGAAAAAAAAAATTGAGTTGTAATTTTATTTTTAAATATAATTTATAAATTTTCATCTTATGATTCATACGGAATGTTTTATAGTTTTATGTATCCGTTTGAAATTTAGACTCTTTTTTAGCTTTTTATGATTTATGGAAGAAAATATAATTTGATTTTAAAAAAAAACAGAACGGATGTCAGAAGCAGATTATAGATTTGAATATTCTAGGTCGAAAACAAATGAAGCAAAATCAAACCTAAATCTAACTCCTAACCTAATACGGTAGATTACCATCCCCATTTATTTTATGAAGTCCAGACGTACAATTCTCCCTTATATCTGGCCATAGCCATAATTATCTGGCCATGTCTCCAAGCTTCTCAAAAGTGAGTTCAAATGAAAATCTAAGAAATTGTTGGCATGCACAAAATTTTAGTGGCAGAGACCATGAATTGGTCCTTGATTTAATAACTGCTAAAAGAAAAGGGCTCAAAATTAAATTTCCAATTCATTGGAATTATCAGCTAAAGCCTACACCTACGAATGCTGTATTACAACAGTTTATGCTACGTTGTAACATCAAAAACCAAACAATGAGTAGAAGAAACTAAACACATCCTCCCTCCTAAAAATTCTCCAGACGAACGTTCTTATGTTGGAGCCATTTGGAAACCCCTCTCTCACAGTTATAGCGCACACAAAGGAATCATGGTGAAACTTCTATTGGCTTATTTTTAACTGCCCGGACCATGCACAAGTTTTTGTCGTCTGAGGCGAGCAAAATTGTATGGCAACAACGATTAAATCAAACTAAATTAGGCTTAACTTGCAGACACCTTCTTCCGAACAACCCTCTTTCTACGGACCTTTGGTGGTGGTGATTCCCCATCAATGGAATCAGCATCGCCTTGTTTTATGCCGAGGAGCCCGAGCCCAGAAACAAGGGCTTTCTTTGAGATAAACCATGTAGAAGATGACACAGCAGCATCTGCAGAAGGAGACCTGTTGTAAGCCTTCAAAAGGTCATCTGACTGAACCAAAGGATCTGCCTCGACCCCTAGCCAAGCTAGCCTTGATGTCTCTCCTACTTGGGTATTTAAAATCCTGTGGGGGATGCAAAAGAAAAACAAATATGAGCAACCAAACATCTTCACATGTTTTATTGAAGGTTGGTAGAATGGAACCAAGCAAGTTAAGAGTAGTGTAGTCAAATCAAATCACAGCAAATCCCCGATTCAAAGAAAAACATAATGCCATAGAGTTGGAGACCAGGAAATATGTCGAAACTAAAACTTGGTTCCAAACAAAAAGAAGCACAGGACCAAGGGAATCCAGATGATTGTCAAAATGATCTTAACAAAAGTAGTTAGAGCCTAGAGATGGACACTTTAATTTTTTCTCATTCCATATCTTCTATTCTTTTCTCTCTTTTTTTCCCCATTTTGTCAGCTATAAGAGGTTTCTACAAAACATGATTTCCCTTCAGTTGGAAGCAAGACAATCATCAGACATAAGATAAATTCGGATATAACCTCACCAATATTTCAACCTACATATGGAACAAGTCAAACATCATCAGAAAACAAAGGAAATACGCTATCAATACAACTTCAAAAACATGAAGCCGTTCCAAAAGCATAGAAAATGTATAACAAAAAATCTCAAGAATAATGTAAAAAAAAAAAAATACAAAATATTAGTCTTTTTTAAGCAGGAAGCAAACCTTAAAGCTGTGCTGAAAAACAATGCCACACCAATGACATCAAAATGACTGACCACTGCTCTATCAAATCCACATAATAGCTGGTATCTCAGGTTTGCATAAAGTCCAAGGAAAGCACCATAACCAAGAGCATAGGTACTCACAGGTGGGACTGTCACAGACAACCTGCCAAACAAGCAAAAAGAATGCCCAAAGTCATTATGATTGAACTGATTTACAGATAAGAGTCAGTTTAGCCAATTCTTTTCCTTTTTCTATTCTTTACACAAAAAAGGAAAAGCCAAAACAGAAACATTGCTTACCTGTCTTTTTTCCTGGCCAAAATATTTGTCAATGAACCTTGCATTGCTCCAGCAGTCAATCCAACCATACATAACTCTGCAGCCTTATAGAAGAACGAGTGGATTCTCTTTTGCAAGTCAAATTCTCGAAGAGGGTAACTCATTTCAAAGATATTGTTTGGAAGCTTCTGCAATGTATTTTGCAAATCAAACTGGAACGTGTTTCCATAAGAACGACAAGGAGCGAGCGACCAAACAACAAAAGCATTGCATGCTGTTACTGTTAGCACATTTATAAGAGCCAAATCCCATTCTTGTTTTATCCTATAATCAGAACAGATAAATTATTTATCAATTCAATACCAAATGATAAAATTAGCAGATATTTGAATTCCAATGTTATAGAAAGTAACAAATACCTTTGCTTGCGATTTTTCAACTCCCACCAAACAGAGCAACCAATAGTAGCAGCCTGCTCCAAAAAAAGCCTATATAAAAAGGCAGGGTCTGCAATCATCCTGCATAACAGAATATCAGATCCTCAAAAATCTGAAACTTGGCAGTGAACTGCCTAATTGCATAATCAAAGGGAAATCCGATATATGTATAAAAGGTAATATTGAGAGAGATGCACTAGACCCACACATGCAAAGTATTCAATAATACAAAAAATAAGAAAAGCAGAAAAAAATTTAATGCAAAATTTGTTTTGGCATTAAAAGTTAAGAAAGAATGTTTATCACCCATGCTTGACCCTCCTTTATAAGGACAAGACTACCACCAGCACTGCGGAGCATTAAATATTCAGGAACTGCTCTCTAAACAAATGAATATAAAGTTTGCAGCCTCATGAAGTATGACATCATTTAAAAGAAAATATCTAAACTCTGCAAATCAATTCATGGCTCTGTACCACACTTCTAATATATTGGATGAAAAAATGATTTATCTAAGATGGAACACAAATGAGTGTCTGGCACATTGAACAGCAGAATCTGCTAAATAAAAATGAAACAAACTATCAACAGTATGAAGAAGCATGCTCAGGCTCAGATAAAATTAGAGAAAGGCAATATAATCTTGTTCACACTAATTCTTTAGATCAGTTGTCCTGAATTTGCAGCCCAGTCCAGTGACTTAAAAGTGTACTACTACTCTCCCATCTCCCCAAGGATCAAATGACGGGGAAGAGCTTAAAGTGTCAAAAAGATTGATAAACTAAGTTGTAATGTTAGCAATAATGAAAACAGGGGCAGGAGAGCACCATATCCAAGTTACCTGCCAATAAATGCCCTAGAAATTGCTTCAGGAAGTGCTCTGGATATAAACCTAGTAGTCGTTGGTCTAGCATTTATTGCTAGGAATTTTACCATTTGAGCTGAGCTGACCAAACCCTGGAAGCAATACTACATTGAGTACTTAACCACAGAGCCATCGATCAAAAGAAAATAATAACAGAAATACTGCACCATTTCGTAAGCTTGTCGGAACCCAGCGGGCAAATCCATCATTGTTTTATGCCACTCATTCAACACTGCATCGACAAATTTTCGATCGAAAAGCTGCCAATAGACAAAAATGAAAAGTAAGGTCACGTAAAAGCATTTGCAGAGCAAAGATTTGCATCATCATAATGATGTGTTAAAAAGCCTCTTTGACAGCATTCCAACCTCTTCAAGAAACATCCTTCTCCTAAATAGTCCTCCCTCATCACCCTCATCGCCATCATCAAAGTCATCAAAGTAATCATCATCATCACCATCATCATCACCTCCATCACCACCTCCATGATTGATATGCTTTCCAATATCTCCACCGCCTCCCCCAACAGCAACCTGAATTTTTCAAAAAGGTTAAGGACTTTGCCATAGACCCTTAAAACTTGGGCTACTGAAATACTAAAAGGCATTGACCAACACAAGCATAAGTACTGAGAGGTGAGGGAAGCAATTCAGAGCAAGCAGTTAGCTTAAATGTTCACTTCACATTAAGAACAAAGATTGTAAATCCAATTTCATAGGTTCTTAAATAAAACTTCATGTACAAGTAAAGATTTTTCATTGTACTTTACGCATGATGAATAGAAAAAAATTCATGCAATATTTGCTATTAGTTCAAATAGAAAACCAGCAAAATTTCTTATAAATTTAGAAACCATTACAGGCAATTCACTCTTAAAAGCAAAAGCAAAGCAGTCAATGCAAGCCGGGAACACTCACAGAAAAGAATTTACATCATATGACGTTTCTGTTGTACTAAGGTTTCCCCAGTTTCATCAAGTGAAGAGAATTATGAGTGCTTGTGTCGTGGACCATATTAACAGTACATGTTCTAATGTTAGCTTTCTAGAATAAGGATCTAATGCTGTTCTGGGCCGATCATGCATCATCTTATTGATAATAATATGTCTTTCAGTCACTGAATCTTTTAAATTTCATAATTTCTGCAATCAGGGATCCAACATAACAATTAAAATTAGTATTACCAGAAAGTCAAACGTATCTTTCTTAATTGGTTGATTTAGAACTGTCATGGTTCTTATTTCCAAAGAAACAGTAAGACCACCTCCTAAGAAAATACGGAATACCTAGCCCATCACATTGTTCATCCAAGACTTCCATTCTACTAAACAATAGCCTTTAAGTATAGTTATGAATTGTGATAATATTTCAAATTCCTAGTAAGAGACATTCAGCTCTTTGCAATGCTCCCTAACTTTTGTCAAAATTCTAATCCGTGATTTTGCTTCTTTCTTTTCCTCTTATCCCTTTTTCGAGTTACATCATATAGCATTAAATCAATAATTTTTGGTAGCCCAACTACATCATGTTAGCACCCTTCTGGAAGAAACAGCTTAATACAATCTTTAAAGAAAAACAGCCTAGTTTATAACCAGGAAACTGTAAAGAGAAAAAAACCCTAAAATACATCCCAAACCACCAAATTGGTTATACTTAATTCAGGAGAAATTCATGCATTTCAATTAGAAAGTAAGAAAAAAAAAACCTCAGGGGTAGACTGGGATTGCTTCTGGGACATATCAAGTTTGCCTTTCTCCAAAGTAACGGCACCTAAGGAACCGAATTTTCCTTTCATAAGCGGACCGAAGTCTCCCTTTGGAGAGGCTAAAAAACAGCGCTCCAACATGGCCACAGAATCTCCACCACCATCAATTGCAGGACAAGAAGAAGAGAAGGAAGAAGAAGCACACTTAATGGTGTGATTATTACTAATCCGCCACCTAGTATTCCGCAGGTGACACAATTGAGGAATCGGAAAGGTGGGTTTTAAATGTGAAACAGTCTTGGTGGTTGTAACACTCCGCAGGTGATACAATTGAGGAATCGAAGAGGTGGGTTTTAAAGGTGAAACGTTCTTGGTGGTTGTAGTAGGGATTTGTGCTGTTTGGAACACTAAGTTAGACATCTTTTCGCTTGTTTGGATAACAGAAAAAGCTTCCTTTTTAGGGTTTTGTTCGGTTAGTAAGAGGAGGAGGAAGAAGAAGGGCTTTGTTTCATTTCTTTGCAAAGAAACAGGAAACCAGAGGAAAGAGAGGAGGGGACGTGTGTTTCTCTCTCTAGAAACTTGGTGGTTTTGGAGAGAGAATAGAAGAGGGAGATAAGAGGAGGGATGGGTGGGGTTTTTGATGGGTGGATGGACGGATGGATTGGATCAGCCAGCCGACTCCTACTTAGACAACAATATTGATGAGCCAAATCCGAGTGAGTGAGTCAGCTTGCGAGCTGACTCCACCCCCGAGTTGCAAGATTTGAGATTTTGTTTATTATATGAAGTCACCCAACTATATAGATAGTCTCAATTAACTCCGCAAACAATTTTTTTTATCTCTGAACGATCTCTAGGGTTTCCAAATTTTTTAATTGAATCTCTCCAACTATTAGTTGCACTAATCCAAACCATCTCGCTGCATAGTAAAGGTTGTGGATCATGCTTTTCCAGGCGGACTATTGATCCTCAACCTTCTTCAGAAAATTAGAACTTTTTTACCTATTTTGACTTAGGTGAGATGAGTTGGGAAGTATAATACACATCTTTGGAAAAATAAAATTTTTAAACACGATTTTATAAAAAAAATGGGTGTACAATTAGATTATAACTTGATTGAATGAATTACTTGGATGAAATTCAACGTGCTAAACCTATTAAATTGGATTACTTAATTGAATTTCTGTTTTTTATTTAATTATAATTTTATGTAAGAATAATTACACTATAAGTATATTAACTTTCAACTTTTTCTCAATAGAGTACATGAATTTTAATTTATTTTATTCGAATGCATTGATTTTTTTTTAAATTGTCAATTTTAGGTTAACTGATGGCATGTATGTTCCTCTTAAAATATCAAATTATAATTTTACTTTTTTTCTCAATTGCGTACATAAAGTTTAATTTTTTTTGTTTGAGTACATCAATTTTTTTAAAACTCGTCAATCAAAGACTTTCATCAATTTTTTTGTTAATTAATGACATTGTTGAAAACAAAATTATAATTTTATCCCTTTTTTTTGTTAAAGAAAAAAAAAAGCTTTCTTCTTAAATTATTTTATCATTTTAAATTAACAAATATTAAAAATATTATTTTTTGTCTATAAAATTTCAAACCGAACTTAATTAAGTTACCGTTAAAAAAACCCGAGTTAGATTTAAGAGCGAAAAAAAAACACAAATGAATCTTTTCGATAAAAAATCTTACGTTTGTATTTCCTTCAACTTTTACATTCAAAACCTAATTGTTTTTTTTTTTTTAATAGCAAGCCTTACTAAGTTTAGTTTGAAATTTTATAACTAAAAATAACTTCTTCTTTTTTAATTCTTTGCCAAATTTTAAAATGATAAAATAATTTAAAGAGAAATTTTATTATAGTAAAAAAGTAATTTAATATTTGAATACGTCATCAATTAATTAAAAAATTAACAATAATTGATAATTGATAAGTAAAAAAAATTGATGTACTCAATCTAAAAAAATTAAAGTTCATATATTTCATTGAGAAAAAATAAGATAAAATTATAATCAATTCGCATAAAAATTGATAGAAACATTTGATTGATAATTTTAAAAAAAATTAAAATTTATATATTGGATTGATAAAATATTGAAAATTGATATACTTATAGTATAGTTATCATAAATCAATTAAAGCTAGTAATCTTTTCTAATTTGTCAAATTTTTATGTTTTTTACACTAATATGTCAGTGCTTTCGCTTACCTCTTGGAAAAAAAAATTATCTTCCCTCTATTTTCTTTGCTCTTTTCTTTTTTTCATCCATTCACACCTATATATTTTAAATTTAAAGACGGTAATTCATCCAAAAACTTCAAATTACTCAATCCATGATCCTTTTTTTACAGGTCAGCACATCAGATCCACAACGGCCAGCTTTAGTTGACATTCGGCGGCGCGGGGGGGGGGGGGACTCGACTGTTTGGGATAGAGGGACTCAATTGAACAATTTAAAAAAGTTGAAGGATGAATACTACAAGTGTAATAAACCCGTACTATAAGGTTAATATTGTTCTCTCTTCTAAGATAGTGGTACGAGGGAGTGATGGGGTCATCAATGTCAGCTTCTCCGCAGCCGTTGTGTTGGGTCCCAGTGCAACCCTTGAATCTCATTACAACCGCCGCTTCTCTCCGCCTTGGCTTCGTTTTGCACTCCTCCCTTAAGGTAGCCCTACCATACCCCCTTCCTTTTCTCTCTTTTTTCTTTTTGCATTTGAAGCATTGGTTATGTGTGGTTTAGACTTTGATGGGTCGTGTGAAATGTTATTCTTTTTGGCAATTTTTTGTACAACTTGTATTGAGTGACTCGATCCCAGATTTTGTTTCACTATATGCAGTACGGAAATGGATGCTTGGTTTAGTTTCTTGTTTTTTCTCTCCTTTTCTTTTTCTGAGTGCAAGATTACTGATTTGTTTAATTTCTTCATATTAGTGAATTTCGGTTGAAGTGCAAGAAAATGTTGATAGAAACAGATTCTTCTTGGTGGGAAAAGAGAAAAGGATATTATCTATGCTTGTCCTACACTACACGTGTAAGGTATATGCATAAGAAATACCATCATTCATATTTCGTGATCAACATTTCTATATTATTCCTGGGCCTTCCTGGTTGATTTGTTGTTGTGCCCAGGAGATTGTAAGACTCAGCTTTTGATGTTGGTCATTAGAATATAGTTTCAAGATTATGCCTTTCCTTTTCTCTTTCGTTTTCTTGGATAAAGCTGCACTAGTGCTGTGAAATCACTAGTTTCCTAAGTTGTGAGACAAAAATATCACTGTTGAACATTTTTGGGTGAATTCAGTTGTTTGTGAACAGCTATGTGAAGCATACATGGGTAATATAAAGTGGTCCTGCTGTTTCCAAAATTTATGTATGCTATCTGATTTCTCATATTGAACAGAAAATCTCTCTTCTCTATCACCTGCCTAGATTGGAGGATGTGTGGCATGAAAATGCTTTGCAGTTCCAGGGGATTGATTTTCTTCAATTTTCAAATGATGTCTTTGCATCCACATGTTCATCTTGCTTTTGTTTCTTCAATGGAGGAGGAACTAGAAAGGGCTTTGGACACGAGGGATCATCGAAATTGGAGACGTCTGGGAGAAATTCACTTAATAGAAGACAGTGGACAAATATTCTTCTCACTGTTAATATCTTGTAAGTATAATAACAATATGGACAAAATACCACATTTTTATTTTCTTTATTGATCATGCAACAGCTCTTTAGCATTTATTTTCTCCCCCTTTTACCCTAAATTTATTGTTTATGTCACGTGTGCAGAGTTCATGTTGCGCAAATCGCTACGCAAGGAAAGCTGTTGTTCTGGGGTGCTAAGGTTAGATAATTAAGAGTGCTAATTTGACATTGAAACTACTTCTATTTGGGACCTGTTCTTACCTGTGAATTAATCTATAATGTACACAGATTAACAGTCTTATTGACAAGGGACAATTTTGGAGGCTGGCCACTTCTTCCCTTTTGCATGTAAACATTTGGCACCTCATGGTCAGTTATAACTCTTACGCCTTTGTATTTCATGTACTGTGACTGATTTTACTTTATCTGTCTGAAAAGAAATATGTTCTTTCCAGGTTAATTGTTATTCTTTGAATTCTACTGGTCCTACCATTGAGAATCTTAGTGGTCCGAAAAGATATCTTGCAGTTTACTTCACCTCTGCAATTGCAAGTAACAGCTCGTAAACTCACTGCAATACAAAATGAAAATGGTTCCTCCTTAGTTTCCATGTTCAATTCTTTCATGAAATCAGGTTCGGCAATGAGTTACTGGTTCTGCAGATCACCTGCAGTTGGTGCCTCGGGAGCCATCTTTGGATTAGTAAGTTGTCCTCAGCCCTATCTTATAAAAACCTACTGAATTTTTGGCATGATCTAGTTGAAGAAGAAGAAAAATATGATTGCACATGTGATTTTTCTTTCTTTTTCTCATTGCTTTTCTATCTTGAAAATTTATGCATGCAATATGATATTGTTATATTTCTCAATGTTAAAGAGTGATCTATACTTTCAAGTCAGAACGTTAATCGATGTTTCTAGGTTTATAGAATATCCATGGAATTTTGCAAATAGAAAAGCCCGGACCCGACGGACCTTGTTTTTTTAAATAGAAGAGAAATCAGTGACCTGTAATTCCCAAATCCTTAGATCCTAGCTATTTATTTCTCTAACAACTTGTTATTCTGTAATTCTGTATATGCATGTTTCATTTAGGTTGGATCTCGTGCAGTGTTTGTCTTAAGACACAGAAGCATGATCGGAGGTGGCAAAGAAGATCTACAGAATATAGCAAAAGTGATATTCCTCAATATGGTATGTGATATACCAAATAAAGTTCTCTGGTTTGATAGAAACTTTTCTGTTTAAGTGAATTCAGATGCATGGCCTGTTCTTGATCCATGTGAATCATTGTAGCTTTGAGTCATTATTGTTCCAACCACTGTTAACTACTGTCTTTTATGCAGATGATCGGTATGCTAATGAAAGGCATCGATAACTGGGGACATGTAAGTATAGCCTTATTTCTGATTTTTTTTAAAGGGGCAAAAACCCTACTTAGTTCACATGACCTATGATGACATCTCTCCCCTTCCATTACAAGAAAAGGCCTCTGTTTCATTTTTTTTGTTTCTTTCACTTGCCCACTAACTATTTTCCATTTTATGTCTGAAATTTCAGTTGGGAGGCTTGCTTGCTGGAATTGCCACATCTTGGTTCGTTGGACCTGCATGGAAGTATGATCCCCAGTTCAATGATGGTCGAGGAGTTTTCGTGGACAAGGCACCAATCAGGTATCTCACCAACAGGAAGACAGAACCTAGGAAAACGAGTTGAATTGTTAGTTATGCAATGGAGCTCCGGTGAACTGTAAATAAGAAAGCATAATGTTTCAATTGCGATTGATGATCCTGGTTTTAAACTGTAAGGAATCTCCTATTTCTGCGAGCTCCTGTTTTATTCCTACAAGATCTTGCTGTTGCACAGCAAAGCAAAAGATCTTTTCAGATCAAGACTGGTTTACATCTTTTGACAATAGTTTAACTATGGATGTAATCTATTTCCTTATGACAATAGTTTCTGCGTTACATCTTTTGCCTTCTGCACAGCAAAGCAGTCAAAAAGGAAACTGGATGTATTACACTTGCAAAATGCAGGGATTTTTTCTTGTTGATATCTGTACCAATGTTGCTTTCTGTAGATTGTTCACACTTCTAATGAGGATCTTTCCTTTTGGGAGTAGCTTCAACTTCCCATGTTCCTTAGAAGTGAAATGAGAGGCCTGCCACTTGTTTGGCTTTGACCAGTTTTCCATCATAGCTCATTTACATTTTTTGTCAATTGCCTGAAGAAAAAAGAAAACTTGTAACCTTTCCTCCAGAGTTTCTACCATCCTCGCCAGAAAAAATTGGGTATCAATAGTCACCAAACTGTGCCCTCGAGTTGCATGATGCGAAAATGTATTGTTAGTGAGGCCAACAAAGAAGATTAAAAATGAAAAGCCCAGAGAAACTCAACAGCCAGATCTTTCTGTAGAAAGGATCTACTGCTACAGCTGCAAAAGGCATACAACTCAGAATAATAAGAAAAACAGTTCAAAAGTATAACCAAACCGTAATTATCAGCAGTAGCATAACCAAATCAAGTTAAAAATCACAAAAGTATCTCTCTTTTCTTCATGAGATTAAAATATTCTCCTCCAAATTAGCACCAAGCAGGGTTGACTAATTTTCCAGTGTTTCTTTAGTACTGGAAATGGGGGAAAACGTTTTCCTATAAAATATTTTCCACAAAACACACACATCCTAAGTCCCCTCCAGGCCCAATTCATTTATTGCTGATTGTTGCAACAATTTACCCTCCAGCCTCTCCAAATGCTCTACCGAGTGAAATACATAATATATCACAAGGATTTGTTTTATGGGAGGCACCTTTTTTAATCCCTTATATATTATCAGTATCATGTTATCTAAAAATTGTCAAATGATCATGACCAAGAGCATAGAGCAGTCTTGCATGATATGTTTGGTATGCCAGCATCTATCATAATAATAACAACAAACAGGTACCGAAGAGCATAAAGCATGCATATTTCTTCCAATGAAAAGAATGGCATCAGCAGCTCAACAGCTGATGAACACTTGAACATATGTCAGGAAAATTCAGATCATGACAAACTATATTATGATGTGAATCTCAATCCTAAAATGCAGAAGGTATCAACTTGGAAGGTACAAACTATTTTCACAGGTGAGATTTTATTCCAAACCATTAAATAAAACATAAAAATTCTAGTGATAAATAAATAGCATAACCAAAGCGTAAGAACATGCACTTTATCTGCTTGTTAACCCTATCATGATAAGCAGAAACAGCAAAAGTCTTATAACTTGACAGTGATAACTTACATGGTGGGGTTGGAGCCAATGTGGATGGTGCAAGTGATGATAATGAGCCTTTCCCGGGACCAGAACCATAGGATACTCCAGGCATAGGAGACCAATCTGGGGCCACTGGATGTAAACGAGGAGTTGTGTTAGAACGAGATGGAGAGTTGCTTGGTGGAGTTGCAGAACCATGTTGTAGACAGTGCTGAGGAGGGTAGGCAGGTGTCACAGAAGGTGCAGGGGAATTTACAGGAGCAAAAGAATGGTAAGGCTCGCTTGGGATACTAAAGCCAGATGGAGCGGTTGCTGGAGGGAGAGATGGAGAAATAGCAGGATAAGGGGAAACTGATGGTTCAGCACAGTCACTGAGCTGCGGAGAGGGAGCTGGTGAAGGAGTAGGAGGAGTTGCATGAAGCGTGCCCTTTAAATATGATGACAAAACAACACCCTTTACTTTACCAAAGACTGAATTGTTGAGGCCAAGATTTTTTACAGGAGAAGCAGTGATTATTTGAGCCAACTGCTTCAACCTCTGTAGCTGAAGTGTCCCCAAATCTGACACAATTGAAGCCTGAACAGTGACTGGGGGAGTTATTGTCGAACCATCCTCATTTGTTATTTTCACATACACATTCTGAACAACAAGGACAAAAGAGTGGGAGTCAAACAGCTGCATCATTTTCAACTTTCTCAAGAACAATGGTAGGCTCCTCAGTGTCTGCTAGTGCTTACACGGTCTACTTTAAGGCTGCAATTTCAATGCTGTGACAATACCTCAAAAAAAAAAAAAAACAATAACTGGAACATATTCGAACCCATGATTCAATATCAATTTACACTTGGTTCAAAGAATATTAGGACCCACTTAGAGCCCCCCCCCCCCCCCCACAATACATGGCTACTTTATAGTTATGCAAAGTTTCTAAAATTGTCCACACTTTTGAGGGCTTCTACTTCCTCAATCAAATGATTTAGCTTCATTTTTCCATATTATTGAATTGAGAAATTGTTATATCTAGCAGATTGTAACATCGGACACTATAAGAACCAAAGCTAGAACCATCGCATAATTTGAAATAAGCACAGCACCTGACGCCAATAAGTGAAATATGCAAATAAGTTTTTGAATATGCTATACCTCAAATCGCCTTAGGTGCAACCCAAACTCCAACTGATTTTTTAACTCTCCAAAACTGTCCAGAACTTCAGTTATAGAATTGTTAAGAGTAAAATTAAAGAGAATCTGGGGCATCTGCCAAATTGAAGCATATTGCATCGGTATTAGAGTGATTCCCCCAGGAAACCTCAAAATTTCAAATGTAGATGGTTGCCCAAAAATCGATGTAGTCACAGTCAAATTGGATTGCTCAAGGAACAGCTCAATTAGTGATGACCTCAGCACACTTAAGGACACCATGTTTATTGGGACATTTATTGGATCGGGACTAAAACCAAACACCACATCAGTCCAATTAGAAGCATTTAATTGGTGCATGGACAGAATAGCCACCTGTTGACAATAAATTAGTTTTAGCATCAATTTGTAAGCCTGACATTATTTAAGCTGCAAATATGACAGAACAGCAGAAGATTGAAGTACAACCTTTGCGTTTGGGATGCCTATTTCGTCATTGATATCATGTTCTAATCTTGCAATGTGTGTAACAAGCTGCGCCACTGGCTTTACAAGTCTGAAGTATGCTTGTACTGTAGCTGTAAACAAGAAATAAATGGCATAAACAGCATGGCCAAAAGAGTCTCAATGACTCGGATAAAAATGAATTCATTTAGATGCACAATTTAACAGAAATACAGCAATAAGCAAACACAAAATCTTTGCATTTCAACTAGAAAATAAACTGGAAATTTATGGCCTTGGTTATTTCAAAGTGTTTTTCTTTCTCATTTTCAAAATGCATTGTTCAGAAGAATTTGTTCTAGAATAGAAAGTAGAAGATATGGTAAACTGCAAAGAGGCCACAAATTAGACCAAATTTAGCAAACTTTAAGACAACATAAAGCGATGGACAAGATATTATTATCAGATCGCTTAAAACATAACGCTATCACCATTTTCATTGAAGACTAAAATGCAGGCTTGTGTTCAATCTCTCTATGCAGAGTCTGGTGAAACATGAACCGTGCAAAGGGAGAGCAATCAGAAATCTAAAAGAATAGAAAAACTTATCCGAGCTTGATACAGAATCAGATCCTTAACATTCAAGTGAAATATATATAAGTTGTTAACTCCAATGAAAATCATTAGATCTCCCAATATCAGTCAACATCTATCTTGAGCTAAGGAAACAAATGATCCAAAATAAAAAGCCGACAATGCACATAAGATAAAGAGAATCTCCAGTGTCCGAATTAAAAGCTCTGATTTTCCTCAATTCACAGCCACCAGTCAGCTAAAATACAAGGAATGTGACAATAGGAAAATGCAATAACAAATACAACATATGCTACAGGAAAACAAAAAGGGGAGCATGTATTTATGTCTTAAGCAGTAGTTGCAAATGCCTTCAGCAAGTGGAACTAGCCAGCCACTTGCCAAAGAACGAAACATTGCAACAAGCTCCTCGTACAAAATCTGAAAGCAGATAGCAAATTCATAGATATAATAAGTGAAAGTTTCCTCTGATCATAAGAGTATAATCCATCTCTTGTATCTTATCATTACGGTGTGTACGATTCTAGGAACTGCTGAACATATTGTAAATTGGTGTAAAAGAAAAATCCAAAAACTCATCCTAGCACCCTCTTATAAATGATGCAAGATAAGAATAGAGCAATTCAAGTTCCATATAAAATGAATTTAGTTAAACAGGCCAAAAACCTCTTTTTGAAGAGGAAGATTTCGAATGCAAAAACACATCAACAAACACACTAACACATTGCTTAATAACATAACCATATTCAAAAATATATATGCTTAGAAACATCATAAACCCTAGATAACTTAAAAGCAAGTGAAATATCTGTCTAACACACTAGCTTCTAACAAGGTAAAGTTTACTACTGTAGTCAAAAATCAAAATGTAAGAAAAGGAACACACCCATCAGCCGAAAACCTCTATTACATGACAAGAAAGGAAAACAACGAAAGCCTATTTGCTCAAATCATTACAAAAATAAAAATAAAGGAAACCTAAACCCTAAATAAACAAACAGAAGAGAAAAGAAGAGAAATATTTTAATTACCACTGAGTTTAATTTCATCTTTAGCGTCGAACCCGTTAATCGAACCTACAGAAGAATGGAAAGGAAAGATCCAAAAGAGAGCAGAGACCAAAAGACACAAACTCAACACCAAAACGAAAACACATTTAAAACTGATTCTTGAAAGTCCCATCGAACATCTCTCACAAAGGAATAATCTGTTTCTGTTTCTCCTTTCATCGTCATCATCGTCGTGCCTCCGCTGCTGCTGCTGATTATTATAATCTCCTTTCCCCATTGAAGAAATTGCATCGGTCTCTCCCTTTTCTCTCTTCAAAACCCACTCACTCCCCTAACAAGTGGACTGCTGGAACTCGAAGAGGAGATGGCACAAGGAGTTGAAGGACAAGTGTTCGTGCTCTCTCTCTCTCTCTCTCTGTTTATATGTAATAATTAATTAAATGATTAAATTTACGTAAACTCTCGCCAGCTCACATTTCTTTTTCTCCTCTATTTCCCGTTCGTCTTTCACCTATCACTATTCACCACACTCCTACGCTACTTCCACTAAAAAATAATATAATTACGTTTGCTTTTTCTTTTTTTTTCTATGAGTTCGAATTAGGGTTTTTTTTTTTTTCCCCTGATGAATACTATTCTACAGCTCATGATCAGTGGTTTGTAATTATGGATTAGTGTTGGAATTAATAGTTCATTGAGCTAGAAAAATGATAGTCGTAATATTATGACAGACTGAAACGATTATCGTTGTAAAAATAAATAACTATTATAATTTTTTTTTTGTAACAGAATATTTTTCAAATTCATATATTCCCAATGAAAAATTTAAACTACAGTGATAAAAGATTACTATAATTTTCTTTCGTAATAAAATATTTTTTAAACTCGTATATTTCAAATAAAAGATTTGAATTTTGAGTATTTTGTAATTATAAGAAATTCATGCATCAGGTCACTGTAGAGTACATTTTTTAATTTTTTTAAAAAAAATTAATATCAATTGACACATAAATTGATATAAATTCACAATTTGGTTAATTTTAAATTCCATATTGAGAGTGGAATTTATATTTTGAATATCTAAAACTTAATTGGTAATAAAATATTAATGATGTAAACCTCTATCTAAAAGGTTTATCGTTATTTTAATAAAAAATATTTTAAATCTCTCGTGATCATGAATTTCTTTTTAATCATGACAATACCTTAATTTTAAATGGATAATCTATATTTGAATAGTATAATAATATATTTAAATACATATCGCTTTCGCAAATGTCCATTATGTGCTGCTATGATTGATTAATGATATATAATAACCACGGGAGAGGATAAAAAATTAGATACAAATTTGTTTAGCTTCCTTTTGGTCTTTATTAGGCTACCGAACGTTGAGGAGAAGCAAAGGTGAAAGGGAAAGTGGGGAGAAAAGAGTGTAAAGAAGGAGAGTGTATGATAAGGTTAATAAAAGTTGTGTGATAGGATAAGGGTGAAAGGGAATTGTTTTTTCTTGCGTGTGGAGATTTCAAAATTCAAAGGTTGGGTACCTAGAGAATAGATCGCTTGCAAATGCAACATTTCTTCCACCTTTTTTGACAATTGGTCATGGGATATTATGATTATTAACTATTTATTGTCTTGGTTTTGGGTGTAACTTGCGTGGGAAGGTTGGGTAAATCAATGTTAAAAGCATGTACGAGTCACACGTCTTTGGGTGCTAGACGTGAAGTTTTAGGATCAAAATGCCTATAAAGTTATTATACAAGGCCATGCATCTAGGGCTGCCTTTTTTTTTTTTTTTAAATAACCGAACGAGGAAATTATATATTAGTCCCTCTAGTTCCAAGAAGTAAATTAATCAGTCTCTCTCTTTTTAACAATTATCATTTAGTCTTTTAATTAGCGTTGAACATGTTTAATTCAATATTATTTTTATCCTATAAAATTTATTATTTTCTTATCAATCTTTTCATATATTTTTTTCTTTTTCTATTACTTGAAACAAAAAATAAGTTAAATTAAAAATGAGTAAAAAATTATAAATTAAAAGTAGACTTCAAAACATAAGGACTAAATAATTAGTTTTTGATACGATAAGGACTGATTAATTTATTTCTCAAAATAAGAAGGACTAATTTATAATTTGCTCTCGTTCAAACGTTTTCAGTGAGTATAGGTTGGTTTTAAAGTAAGGAGTTCTTGCGTTCTTGAAATCAAAAAAATAGATATAAGCATTGTAATGGCCACGAAGAAACGTGAGAAGTGTGATTTGAACCTTAAACTTTCTATTAGATGTCCACAACTTTTATTACTGAGCCATTCCTTGTGGTTTTCATATAAGAATGCTTTAAGCATGCATTTTGAACCTAATTACAATGTTTTTTTTTATACCTGAATGGAATTGTCATTCATTTTTCTTGTTTATTATTAACATTTACAAAAAAAAAAAAAAAAAAAAGGCTGATTTTGATATATATATTACTCAATTTGTCTCTATTTTTTAGGTCCAATCTATAATATGTCACTGCAAGTTTAATTACTTCTAATTTATCTTTATTTTCTATAGGTCATTCTTCAATTTACTATTTTAACATATATTTATATTGATGACATGAGAAACCTGACCTGATTTATAATAAAAATATATTTGATAAAAAAAAATCGTCATGTGGTATTAAAGTTCGATCTTTTTCATATTTATTTATTTATTTATTTATTCAACAAATAAGGTAGGAACAATTTGTCAAACAAGGGTATTTCGATCGGCTTGGATGGAAAAATCTAACAAAAGAATAGATTGGATTGGAGAATGATTCTATATTCATGAATAAATTAAGAGCAATTAAACTTGAATAGACATGTTGTAGATTTTGTCTAAAATATGAGGACAAGTTAACCTAATTTCTCTAATTTTAACACCAAAGACATCTTAATTTTATAATATTAAAGAAAAAATATATATTATAGGGTATCCAATGCCTAGTCAAGTTTTATCTTAGTTGGATCCTTTTTCAAAATATTTAAGTCATAGATAAATACAAAAATTAAAAAAATACATTAAAACTTATCATATTTCTACTTTTTACAATCACTAGGACTCTTTTAAATAACATGATTCATAAAATTTTCTTTAGATTAAACGATTTATATCTATTGATTTACTCTACTAGTTATATACATACATATATACATATATATATAAATCTTTAGTTAAAAGATAGCATTTTTTTTTTTTTATGAATGTATCTTTGACATTCACCTCACGTGTAATAAAGATGAACTGTTTAAAAATTAAAAAAAAAAAACTGTAAAAACTATAATTCTAATTTTATCACTCTAAAACTAACGGGCGCCCCCCCCCCCCTTCTTTTCTTTTTTTTTTTTTTTTGACATCATTTGTGCTATAAATAGAGCTTATTTAAAAAAAAAAAAAAAAAAAAAAAAAAAAAGCCCCTCTGAGCAAAAGTAATTCACAAATATTGTAATATCGTAATAAGTTTGATAAGAGAAGACAATTTAACTTTACAATATAAAATATCAATATTAATATGTGATATTCAATTTTTTTATCAAGTTTTATTTTATTTGGTGCCTTTTCAAGAGTTTGCAATCATAGATATAACTGAATATAAGTAATCAAGATCAAGATCTAAAACGGTTTTAGATTATGATTTATCATAAATTTACTTATGTATTTGATTATTTTCATAAACAATTTTAAACTATTCTTGTAAAAAAAATATACAATTTTTTAAAAGATTACTTGTTAGGAGTTCTTGTGATAAATATATGAGTTTTGAATTTTCTAAGTATTAACTTGTAAATATATATATATAAAAAAATAATGGCAGATATTAACCATATAGTTGAATCGTAAACTTGCAAAACACGTGGCAAGAAAACTAGTTTTATGATAAAGGTAGTGCCCTAATTCGTCCAGGTACATGCATTTGCTTTGCTTCTAGCGTCTATAGAGCATCTCACGTGTCTTAGAAAACTAGTTTTTATACCTAAATGGAATTGTCGTCCGTTTTTCTTATTATTAACATTTACAAAAATAAAAAAAAAATGTTGATTTTGCTATATATATATATATATATATATATATATATATATATATATATATATATTAATTAAGATTACTAGCTCAATTTGTCTCTATATTTTAGGTTAAATCTGTATCATGTCCCTATGAGTTTAATTATTTCTAATTTATCTGTATTTTAGGTCATTCTTCAAATTACTATTTTAACATGTATTTTATGTTGATGACATGAAAAACTTAAACTTGACCTGATTTATAATAAAATATATTTGATAAAAGGAATTTTCATGTGGTATGATCTTTTTCATATTTATTTATTTATTCAACAAATAACGTAGGAACAATTTGTCTAACAAGGGCATTTCTATCATTTTGGATGGAAAAATCTAACAAAATAATAGATTGGATTGGAGAATGATTCTATATTCATGAATACATTAAGAGCAATTATACTTGAATGGACATATTGGAGATTTTGTCTAAAATATAAGGACAAGTTGAGCTAATTTCTCTAATTTCAACACCAAAGATATTTTTATTTTATTATATTAAAGAAATAATATTATTATACGGTATCCGATGCCTATTCAAGTTTTGTTTTAGTTGGATCCTTTTTCAAAAGATTTGAGACGTGGATAAATATAAAAATTTAAAAATACAGTAAAACTTATCATATTTCTACTTTTTATAATCACTAGGAATCTTTTAAATAAAATGATTCATAAAATTTTATTTAGATCAAAGGATTTACATCTTTTGATTTACTCTACTTTTTTTATTTATTTATAAAAAACTCTTTAGTTAAAAGATAGCATAATTTTTTATTTATTTATGAATGTATCTTTAATATTCACCTCAAATGTAATAAAATGAACTGTTTAAAAATTAAAAAAAACGTAAAAACTATAATTCTAATATTATCACGTTAAAATTAACGGATCATATATATATATATATATATATTCGTATGTGCTATACATAGAGTTTATTTAACAAAAAAAAAAAAATTCTCTGGAAAAAAGTAATTCACAAATACTGTATTAGTAAGTTTGGTTAGGGAAGAAAATTTTATTTTATAATATAAAATATCAATATCAATACATAACATCCAATGTTTTATCAAGTTTTATTTCTTTTGGTGCTTTTTCAAGAGTTTGCAATTATAGATATTACTGAAAATAAGTAATCAAAATCAAGGTCTAAAATGGTTTCAGATTATGATTTATAATAAATTTTCTTATATATTTGATCATTTTCATAAACAATTTTATACTATCCTTATAAAAAAAATTATACGAATTTTTTAAATATTATTTGTTAGGAGTTCCTGTAATAAATATTTAAGAGTTGTGCATTTTCTAAGTACTAACTTGTGAATCAATCCATAAAAAAACAGTGAAAAATATTAACTATATAGTTGAATAATAAATGTGCAAAACACGTGACAAAAAAAGTAATTTTATAATAAAGGTAATGTCTTAATTCGTTTAGATGCATGTATTTGCTTTGCATTGAGTGTTAAGAAAACAATTTATGTGTGATAGCTCATACTTTTAACAACGTGTGCTTATTATCACTTATGCGAGTTACTAGCGATACATGCACTTGTTTTGTGTTTAGCGTTTACAAAGTAATTCATGCATGATCGCTCACACCTTTAACCATGTGGGATTGTTATCACTCCTTTTTTTTTTTTTTGGATAGATAATCTAGGATGTTCGGGTCGGTTTGCGCGCACCACGATTAATCCATGGATCTACCGAATACCACGTAAGCCCGAGGGGCAAGTCGGACACCGCGAGGGTGACGAGTGTACACGAGAGAGTCGAACCCAAGTGATCATCGGGGGTAAGCCCTAAACCGCTAGGCTATGACGTCAAGCATAAGATTGTTATCACTTTTTGAAGCTACGAGTGATTTGATTTTAGGTTTTAATTTTTTTATTATTGAAAAGTAAGAAAATCATTTTTTTGTGTCATTTGTTACAGAAAATTAATTATTATTATTATTATTTTACACCAAAGTCACGATAACTTGAAAAAACCACAACTAGGAGTGCTCCAATCACCTCAAAACCTCGATCAATGTTAATCAAGAGAAAGAAGAATTCCCGATGTCACATGGAGCGTCTGATTCAAGAAACGAGCTTAATCAGGAGGATCATTCTTGGTGGTTACTTCTGATTCTGAATCAAAGTATTATGAGACTGAATACACCAAATTACCGCTCTCTTCTATTGACTTTATTCGTTGTTTAGAAATTGGATTATCCATGGCTGTAGCTAGAACGGTCAAAAAAATTCAAAATTTTGAAAACAAAGCGGGTATTTTATTTTTATTTTTAAATTTCACCTAATTTATTATTAGCAGGTAGCGGATCCACACCCATGTGATGATACTGTCACACTGAAGATGCCACTCAATATACACATAAATCATAAATCATAAATCAGTCCTTCTAGTTTTGAAAAGTAAATTAATTAGCCTTCTATATTTTAAAAATTAGTCCTTCTGGTTTTGAAGAGTAAATTAATTAATCCTCTATAAATTAAAAATTAATTATTTAATTTTTTTGTCCGCTTTATAATATTTTATAATTTTTTTTAAATAAAATAAATAAATATTATATAAAATAACGAAAAAAAGAGTTTTTTTGGAATAAAATGATATTATGGGTAGTCAATATTGGTTAAATGACTAAATTTATTTCTTAAAAATTAAAAAAATAATTTAAAATTTACTCATACATAGATACATATACGTAGGGTAAGTTTTTGAATATGAAAATTAAACTCTTTTTTTTTTCAATCTAATCAAAATATATTGTAAATAAGAAATTGTGAATATTTTATTTCATATAATATGATTTTAGATATATATTTGTTTGAAAATCCAATATATGTAATTTTATTTAAGAGCATTTGGACCGAAAAAATCAGTTTTTTTTTATATATTTATAATTTTGATATCAATGTATCAAAACCATCAAAAAAATCGAATTGATATCTTTTGAATCCAAGCGAATATTAAATAAAACCTTACATTCTAGTAATAAAAAAGGGAATGTTCCAAATTATGAAAAATAAAAATAAAAATAAAAATAAAAAAGGAAAAGCCAGAAAGAGTAGCAGCCACTTCGGGTTTTCAAAATTTGAAAAACCCTCAAATCCCAAAATGCTTTCATGCATGAGCGCGCTCCTCTGACTCCAATAAGAAAGCAGAGAAACATTTTCTTTTTATTTTTTTTCAAAACTCTCTCTCTCTCTCTCTCTCTCTCTCTCTCTCTCACAGTCTCTCTTTGCTCTATCAACAGCAAAAGAGGACTCTTCTCCTTTCAGATCTCTCTCTCGGCCTATAGGCAGTATCTTCTTCTCTTTCAGATTCCCTCATTCAAAGTAAGCAAGCTCTTATTTCCTCTCTCTCTCTCTCTCAATAACGTGCAATTCCTGGAATTATTTGAAATATTTAATGAAAGTTCAAAATTTCAGTTGGGTTCATCTTAAAATTTTTTTTCCCATCGGGGTTCTTGAAATTCTTATGCTGCCTTTTGGATTGTGTCTCTGAGCATAAAAAAGAAAAAAAACTCATTTAATTTGGGCATATACAAATGTGCTAAATGTGTTATTTTGATGACCAGATTAAGAATTTGTTGTTTTGATTGCAATTCAGTAGTAGTCCAAGTTTCATTGTTGGAAAACTTTTAAGAAATGAAATGGGGATATTCTTTGTTTCTTAATTATCAAACAATGTCTATTTGAGCTCAAAATTTTAAAATATTGTAAGTAGTAAATAATTATCTTTTAATATCAAGCTCAGTAAAAAAGTTGGAATTTAGATTCTTCTGATATTGTCGATTTTTTTCCCTTAGTAGCAAATGCCAAATGGGTCATATTATTGTTTGACTAAAACATGTTTGATTGATGTTCTCACAGAATGGAATCTCTCCCCGATGCGATTGTTCAATACATCTTCTCACACATGAACAATGCCAGGGATGTTGCCATTTGTAATTGCGTGTCGAAGCGATGGAAGGATTCTCTGCCTTATATCAAAAGCCTCTACTTCCCCAGGAACTCCTTTGATAACCACACTGGCATGGACCATCCTGATACTATTGTATGGAAGATGATATCGTCGATTGTTAAATTAGAAAAGCTTGTTGTATACAGCCCATTTTCGAGCACAGGCCTTGCCTCGTGGCTACTGCTTGTGAGCTCATCGCTCAAACATCTTGAGCTTAGAATGGACAATCTTGCTGAATACCAGAGCTGTATCGAGAGCCCTTCGAAGCTGGATTGTATTAGTGCTGCAAAGAATTTGGAGACTTTAAAGCTTTGGGGTGTCCTAATGGTAAACTCTCCCAAGTGGGATGCCTTTCCAAAACTTCAAAGCCTTGAAATTGTCGGTGCTAGATTGGAAGATCCTGCGTTAACTGCTGCCCTCCAGGCATGTCCTAATTTGAGAAACTTGTTGCTACTTGGGTGTGAAGGGGTTAGATCAGTTTCGATCGAGTTGCCGAATTTGGAGCAATGTAAGCTGGATTTTTATGGTGTGGGTAATTATTCACTTATCTTAACCTCTCCTAAAATTGAATTCCTCGAGGTTCAAGGTTGTAGTTGGATAAGTGTTCCTGAGACCACTCGCTTGAGGAATCTTTCAATTTCAAACAACGCTGGTAAGATTATGATTTTCAATTTCTATGCTCATTTAAGAAGTTTTAAAATGCTATCTGCACCTCTATATTGAAGATGATTAGTTTTGATATGGGATAATTGATTTTTTTTTCCTTTGTTGGCCCTTGTGATTTGTTTTAGGGAGAGTTTACATGGTAGATTTTGGGAAACTGGCAGCTCTGGAGTTCCTGTCTATTAGGGGAGTCCAGTGGTGTTGGAATGCAATAAGTAAAATGCTTCAGTTGTCAAGTGAGGTGAAGCATCTATACATGAAGGTTGAATTTACCGGCGACTTTGATAACCTCCAACCCTTTCCAGAAATTGATTTGGTTGATTTTTTTAATAGCCATCCCAAGCTGCAAAAATTCGATATCCATGGAGCCATGTTTGCTGCTCTGTGTCAAAAGAACAGCCTGAAAAATGTGCGTTAGAAAATCTACAACTAACGAACAATTCCATACCATTTGCTTTAGTACTGTTGCACTGAGGCTTCAAGATTACACAAGTTAATGGAGCTATACTTTCTTTCTTTGCAGGTGCAGACTGGGTTTGTGATTCCTAGTTTGGAGGAAGTGGTGATAACAGTCAGATCACCACTAAATGCCGAGCAGAAGATAAGCACCCTCGAGTCGCTCTTGAAGTATGGGAAGGTTATAAAGTCAGTGGCAATTAGGATTCTTCAGATGAGGAGCAGCCATAGCAGTGCAGACGATTTCTTCGACGAGATTTGCAGGTTTCAACGCATGAATCACAGAATTGTTCGAATAGAATAATGACCTCTGGTCATGTCACTCCCTTATTTATGCAGATTAGATCCTCATTGTTTCTTTTGGTTCCCTAGTCACAGTTTTGACTGCTGACATGATCCACATTTGAACTCTTAATCATTCTTCAACTGTTAGTTTCATACCATTCTCCAATTTTTAACTGGAATATTGACAAATTGTTGTACTTCATGATCTTTTCTAAGTAAGCATATTGATTTTGCATTCATAAAACTAAACAAATTTCATAATTAGAGCTCTGTTGTATGTGTTCCAACTGAAAAATTGCACATGCTTGCAAAGAACAACTAAACCATTGGAGGCTACCCAAGATGGAATACAGATTTAAAGGTTCTAAATTGCTTCTTGGAATTGGTTCATCCCACGCAATGCGATTGAAACCTAATTTTATCAGTTGATCACTGATAAAATTTCTATGCAAAATGGTGATATCTTTTCATTTAAAGATACAACCATGTTATGTACAACATGTTTCGTTGCATGCCCCTTGTTTGTCCATGTTATTTTTACTTGTTCAAGTGCTATATTTGCCAAAAATCTCAGCCATATTTTGCTTTGCAAAATGGTAAACAGAAACGATTGTTTTTCAAGCAACTAGTTTTCTGAAAACTCATTCAATACAAGTTCTAAACTATGATAAATTCGCTATTGGAAAAGCCACATCCTTTGACGCACTAATTGAATTCCCTCTCTTCTTCCTCTGCCATTGATGGAAGCAGCCAGAAACAAGTATGAATCTTTTTTTTTTCTTTTCAATCTTTGTAAAGTTTTTATCTATCTCTGAATATGCTCCAAATTGTAGATTGCAGGGCTTAAATTAATGATGTTTTACATTAGTTTGGGTAAAAATAAACATCTTTATAGTTTCTCTCTTCCACAGGAAAAGTTAGCAAACTGTAATTTTTCAGCTGCCTGAGACATTGAATGGTAACACTCCTCAAAGACTCCATAACCACTAGCCTGGTATCAACCGTTTGCTTAGCTTCGATACCATTAAGTTTGTTGTTTGGCCAATCATGTAAAATATGAATTTCTTTTTCCTAATCACAGGACGGACCATATAAAACTAACCTCAGTCAGATGTAGAAGGCAAATGTCACAAAAGAAGCAACGAAGCATTAGTCTATATCGGTTAAAAGTAAATTTTTTAAAAAAGAATATCCAACTTAAATGTTCAAAAAAATAAACAATAAAAAATAAAAGGTGAGAAAGTGAACATTGCTCTATTCATGGTATTAGAATTTTCTTCTGCCACATGCAAGGAAAAGAAAAGAGTAGCAAAATTTCTTTCACCAAGGAACTTAAGTTTGATTACCAATATCTAAATGAGCTTCTTCTTTTGGAAGTAATGTTTCAAGTGCCACACCTGCAGTGCCGAAACTGCAATGCAGACACCCAAAGACATGATACTAAATAATGCTACTCTGGAATTTGTTAGTTCACTCACAGTCCTCATCTCTGCTTCCCTGTCAGTATTACCCAACAAGAAGAAAGGAAACTGTTAGATTGAATAAATGAGAGAAATTGCGAGAATGTAGAATGCATATTTGAATATATCCAAATGCCCCCAAACCCCACCAAAAAAAAAGAAGAAGAAGAAGAAAAGATTTCGTCACAGAGAAGAATATATACCTGGTTTTCAGATAGAGTAGATTCTCATGGATGGCCTCCACTGCTCCTTCAAGTTTCCTCAGCTCAAGTTCAACACCCTATGGATGGACAAATTAAAATACATTTATGCTGGATGGTGTTAAGTAATCAAGAAAAGAAACCAGACAGACACACATATGTTCAATGTTCATGAAAAAACCATATAACATCTAACATCAGGAGCACTTCCAAGAAAAGAAGGCACGATGGTCTAAGTTAAACGAACTCTAGCACAAATTGACCCAGCACCTGGTCTTCACTTAGTTGACAAACGAAACTCCCGATATATGATATAGAAATAAGATAAAGAAGAATGCATCCAATTCACAGGTAAATAGAAGCTGCAGAAGCTTTTGACTCACAGATAAATTCATTACAAGCAGTTTTCAGAATTTGGTGGCTAAGGAAAGAAGGTATGTTTAACAAGCTTACCTCTATCTTCTCTTTTCTGGCAACTGAATCCCAATCCTTAGCGGCAATTCCAGTTTTCCAATCAATGCTAACACTCACATCTCCGCTTCCTCCAATGTGACCATCCAACCAAAAACATGCCAGGTAATTGCCAGTCTCATGAGTCGTGAATGCGAATTGACCATGAGTCACATTCTCCTTATGGTGAAGGTTGTCCCCATACGGTGATGTCACCTAAGGAAGAAGAATATTTCAAGCAAATTAATAGTCATACAATTTCTAATGACTATGATCTCCTCCAAAACTTTGAATTATGCAAGTACGGAGTCTTGAAGACCAAACGATCACATTAGCCGGTACACCGGAGTTATACTCCCATCTCTCACCCAAACGCTAGACCTAATACAAAATTATTCATGGACCCCGCTTTCATGCCAAAGTACAAAAAAATATATATATATATGTAAGCTTCTGCAATACCTAATAGTTTCTCAGTAGTAATGTTCTTTCACACATTGAAAAAATAAAAATAATTGCTTATAATTGATCCTAATCAAATAATTAATTTCAAAATTCATTCTAAGAGATCCATATCAGATGTAATTATTAACTTAAAAGTGCAGCAATTACTTGCTTTTAAAAAATAATGATAATAATTTTAAAAAGAAAAAGAAAAAAACTGTTACCTTAACGGAAATGGTGGGGACGTGAGAATGGTCATCGGAAACGACAACATAATCAGCCAAAACGACAACGTTGCTGTGGATTTCCTCGGAGACGCACTTAGTTCCGGATGCCGGTAGATTCAACCATACGGCTTCGCTAAACATGAAAAGATTGCTGCTGCAAATCAACACTCCTAAAATGCAAACCAATACCAACTTGCCACGCACCCCCATCTCTCTCAGATTTTTCTCTTCCTCCTCCCTTCTGTTGGGTTTGGGATTTTCAATTTATGAGATCGAAATGAAAGAAACGGAGGAGATGCTGATGTACGTTATACTATGCAGTTTAGACAAGAAGGGATGATCTCTTTCTCTTTCTCTCCGGTAAACGATGCACCGTTTTGGTTCTGTTTGAATTTTCTTTTTATCTTTTTTTTTTAAAAAAAATTATTTCTCGGTTGCACTATACCAACATTTCGGTCTAAGAGAATTTTGGGCTTCAAAAAAATCATTGGGCCACCTAGCTGTTGTCCTTTTACAAAAATAGTAGATAAAAAAAATAACAAGAAAAAACTCCAAAAAAATTGTGTTTTTTCTATAAAAAATAAATAAATATATATATAATGGGAAAGGTAAAAAGACAGAACGAAAGGGAACATAAAAATTTAATAATTTTAATTATTGGATTTAGTATTTATAATTTAATAGATTGAAGATAGTATTGAGCCTAAAATACAATTCAATAATATCACCATTGCAAATCTTTTATTAAAAAATGATTATTATGCCATCCATGACAGTGTTAATTAAACATTTTTCTCAGTCAACTTTTAATAACATTTCCTTTTCAGCTTAGGAAAAAAAAGCTTTGTTGACGTTGTAAATTCAAAGTAACAAGTTAATAACATTTAAGGAAGTATATGTTTGTTTAAATAATAGAAATTACTCCTAAAAAAACAGATTAAAGGGTATTATTTTTCTTTTGGTGTCCCATTGTATGCTATGCTACAAAAATCATTGCCACTGTTACATTATGGTGATCATGTTGCGTTATGATTGTCACTATTTATATTTTCATCATTATTATCATAATTATCACCATCATCGTCTGTTGTAAATTGTTGCTATTGCCACCAGCTCATCCTTACCATCATTATCAGTATTAAACCACCTCGTATTTTTTCTACCATCATTTACAGTGTGCTAAAAAAATTATTTCATGTAAAATGTTTAAAATACTTTACTTCTTGTAAAATATTTAATAAACAAACGCTTAACTATTTCACTTTTGAATAAAAGTAAGGCTGCCTTTTGTTTTCATAAAAAAATAATTATTGTGGTTCTTATATATATATATAAAGTACAATTCTTGATTGCTAATTATTAAATGATGTTTTTATTAATACTAGTTTCAACTTACGAGTTCGTAACTAGTTTTTCATCCGTGCTACGATGCGAATAAAAAAGAACATATAACATTATGTTAGTTTGAAGATTTGTGCTATACTCGTGAATCTACCAAAATATAATGATTATTTTTTAATAAAATTTTGCATTTTACTAATGACTCGTCGTATTTTTCAAATTTTGTTTTTCAAAAGAAACATGAAAATCTAAAACTCAATGGATTTATAACTAAAAATTTATTTTGTAATTTATTTTTTTCAAAAAATCTAATACGTGTGTGCGCACGTGCGCACTATTGTCATTTAAAAATTATAAGAATCCATCATATAAATTATATAAATTTATTTTTTTAAAAAAAATAATTTGTAAAAATTTATTTAAAAATCCATGCATAGAGGACAATAAATCAATAAATAATATTTAAACAAAATAAAAATTTATTTGATGAAAATCTTAATAAGAAATGACAAATTGAATAAATAAATTTTAAACAATAATAATAAATCATATAGGTATATTTATTTTATACGAGTAGATGTGAATATAGTGATAGATATATTTATTTCATGTAGTGAGTTTAAATATAGTGATAGATAAATTATAAATCAATCCCATAAATTATAAATCAATCCCTTTTGTTTATAATTATTTAATCTTTTTAGCCATGCTAATTTATTTTTAAAAATGTCTTCTTTTCTCATTTATCTTTTTCGTATTTTTATCTATTTTTTATTTCTTAAAACAAAAAGTCGAGAAAATTGAAAAATAGCAGTAAAGGACAAAAATTAGTTTTTGAAATCAAATGGACTAATTAATTCATTTCCCTATGAAAGAGGGATTGATTTATAATTTGCTCTTAAAGCTCCTCTCCTCTCAAGAAAATAAGAAGGAAAAAAAATGCATTCACCGAAGCAATAAGTGTTTAATTAAGAAAAGAAAATGAAATGACAAAAAAGACTAAAAGAGAAATAAAAAAAGAGATTAAGTGAAGGGCAAATGTGAATTTTCACAAATACACTGAATGACATTGAGAGTAATTAAAAACAAAAGGAAGTTCATTTATAATGCAAATGAAAAAAGAAGAAGGGAAATGACAGAAATAGGGTAAGAAAGAAAATTGAAAAGGGAATTGGTCAAGGGCAAATGTGAGTTTTCACAAATTCACCGAGTGGCACTAAAATGAATTAAGAGAAAAAGAGAGGTTATTCGTTACGGAAAAAACAAGGAAAAAAAACAAAAAGCTAAGTCCATAGTGCTATTGGGTGAGTGTGAACAGTATGTCAACAGTGAAATCACCAAGCCTTTTAGTTTTTTTTTTACAATTTTGAGGAGCCCTGGTCTCCAAAAAGATGCTTATGCCTCATATCTTATGATTATTAGAAAAAAAAAATCAATCTCGATTGCTAATTTAGATCTTTCTAGATACCAAGGTAAACATATTGGGTTTTTTTTCATATATAATCTTTGCATTTTTAAATTTATTTGGGTTGAGACCATATGCTCTTTTTATATTTGATTGAGTATCTTTACTTTTTAATTTGTTTTGTTTTTGTGCTTTCATTTTAACAACATTAGTTCTGAATTGAAATAATATATTTATTTGTAAATGGATGGCACATGTCATGCATAGGAATCTCAATAAAGAAACTTAATGAAAACAATTTGAAAAGTATAGAAACAAAATTATTGTTTTTTTATTTTAAATTTTTATGTTATTTTTTTTTAATATCATTCCAAATGCACGAAATGTGTCATATGTGATATCCAATCACAACAAAGTTATGCAATGTTTTTTTATAAAAAATAATTATAATAAATTGAAAATAATACTTTTAAAAAAATAGCATGTAATTATTAAAACAAAAACATGATGATATGCAAAATCGACTAACCACGTATTACTAGTTAATGGGTTTAATCCTCTACAAAAAGTAAGAAATTCTAAATATTTGACAAATTAAAGTGAAAAATGAGCCTAGTGGCTAAAAAAAAATAGAGCCTCCACCATATTTTCTTATTTGACATAAATAACTAGCTATTAGTCAGCAGCATCATTGTTATTTTCATTTGAATTTTAATAAACATATTTAACTGAATGTCAAGTTCCTTTTATATGTATTTTAATAATTTAAAAATAACATGTAATGGTAAGGTCTCACAAATGACATCTTTTGTGGTATTAAATACAAAATCTCCATAAACAATAACATAAAAATTAAAATATAAATAACATTAATTTGGTCCGTATATTTTTTAAATTATTTTGATTTAGTTTCTCTATTGAGATCCCGTGTATTATATGAATGACACATTCAGGCGTAAACATATCATGTCGGTTAACGAACTTATAATATCATAACATATGGACAAAAAAAAAAAACAAAAACAAAAACAAAATGAAGAATAAAAGGATTTAATCAATATAAAAAAGACTATGAAGTTTTAATTAAAATAATTCGAAAAGTACATAAACGACATGGGTAAAGCCCTAAACATATTTGATATGTATATACTGAAAGTTAGTATTATCCATGTATCGGATCTTAACTCAAATTTTATCTGATTTTTATGTAATTAAATAAATTTGGTATATAATTTTTATAATCAAAATCTATCAATTTGTTTATTAAACGGATTAAATAGAAATTTACCTAAATTAAATTCAATAATAATCTGATGCAAAATTAACATTAATAATATTTAAAATAAATATAATATTTTTAAAACACGAAATATAAAAAAGTAAGAAAAAGCATGGCAATAATTAGATTGTTCTCAATTTGTTCTCAATTATGTTTTATTTTAAAAAACAAGGTTAAAATGGACAAAAAAATCAGTTTGGATGGAGATTTTATAAATTAGGAACACAAATGCAATACTAACAACAACTCATTGATTATTGTTTTCCCTTGCATTTATCGGATTTTTTCACAAAATTAATTAAAAACACAAGAACAAATTGAGAACAATCCCCAAAATATAAGGACTGATTGTGTAATTTAAAATAAAACCACAAATAAAAAAATGGGTTTCTGATAGTGCTGTTTCGTCGTCTTGGTCTTTTACCATCATGATATAGCATCTTGCTTTCTGAATTCTAACCGATGAATAGCAGCAGAGAGTAGCGGAGGATCAAAAATCTGTGGTACTTCTATTCCTACGCCTATGCCTGTGCTAATGCTACAGATAGAAAATAAAATTTAAATCATCTATTTTCTTTTTTCTTCTTGTTACTCCCAAGAAACCAGTTTTGTATTTTAGGGTTTTGATTTTGGTACTTTTATCTCTCTTATTATATTTTGGATCTCTGACGGCGTAATTTTATATAGATATTCTCCTCATCTAGGGTTGACGATGACTGCTATCTGACTTTCTCTGACCTTGTTTGGTTCCTCAGAAAACAAAGAAGTGTTGGCAATTATTGGTGAGCTAATAATAATTTTGATTTTTCAGGCCGAATTTGTTGACGCTGTTGAAGCTTTACTGTTGGTAATTTTTTGTTACAACAAGGTTAGCATAAAAAGTTGAGGCAATAGTAAATGCCTAGGGATTTGTCGCGTTCGAGGTCGCGGTCGCCTTCATATAGGCGAAGGCGTTCGCGGTCTTCTTCCTATAGGCGAAGGCGTTCTCCGTCGCCTGTGGTGAGTAGGTATAGCAGGAGGAGTCGAAGGGACAGGAGCCGTTCTCCATATTCTTATAGCAGGTGATCCCGTTTATGTTTTTGCTGTTTAAGTTTCTTTTAATTATTTACTGTTCGAGGAATTTTAAGAAAGATTGAGGACTCGTTTTGTTACGGATTAGATATGCAAATTGTTGGAGTTGATCTGTACGGCGATCTTATCCCTTTCTATTGATTTTTTTATGTATATTTATCTGTTTTCTTTATCAAGCTTGCAAATGGGATCTGACTTTAGTAATTAGAAGATTGAGTTAGACAAAAGGTTGAAGCAATGATGCTGCAGATTTTAATTTTATGCATAGTGGAAATATCCATCACGAGGAGTCGAGGATCGTGGGGTTCTGTCTTTCCTCTTATTCTGCTGTTATTATGTTTTAGCATGTTGCCAACTTCTGACATCGGAGAATCTGGTTTGGTTGAAATCTTTTGCGTGATCCAATGTTCTTTTAGCTTAGCCTACAGTTCAAATGTCAAAGTTCAGATCACAATTCACCAAAAGCTTTTTGCAGAACATAGCTTTGAATTGGATTTTAACGTGGAAATTGCTTGTTATTTGGCTTCTTTTTTCAATTGCTCCAGTGGATGGAAATGGATAATTTGACCGTTCAAGTTATTATATTCTTGCAACACTTGGCCATTCCAAAAGACTTCTCTTTACATGGGTTGGTGAGTCCTGTCTTGATTAACAGAGTCAATTGCTTTGTTGATTTTATCATAAAAAATGGGAGGATTATTTTGACATACTGACAAGGAATTATGAGTGTTTCATTGGGCATCTGCTTTTGGGGAACTTAGCATTGCATGTAAGTTGGAGAGATATCAAATATAATTATTTGGATAAAAGCATATAGAGTGCTGTAAGGGTGCAATAGGATTCACGCTCTTTATAATAAAGTTACAAAAACTCAGTTTCTTCCCATTGTATTGGGTGGGAAGTGAGCAGGTGATGAGTGCTGATGGGTGTCCTTTTTCATTGCTCGGTTGTGATATTAGCTTCTTCGTGTGATAAAAGATGGAGCACACGATGGTGTATGAGGTAACTGTATATGCTTCTATGTTTATTGCTAGATGGTGGGAGGGATCCAGAACTGCTTTGCACATTATTGATGTGCATATTACTATTTTTACTCAATAATCATGTTTCTGTATTATACAGATGGAGAAGTCGCTCTATTTCCCCTCGCCGGCACAAAAGCCGTACTCCAACTCCAAGACGCCGTAAAAGTCGTTCTCCAACTCCAAGGCGTACTAAAAGGCAAAGAAGTAGGAGTTCCTCATTGTCTCCTACTCGTAAATCTTCTAGTCCAAGTCTCGGGTCAATGGAGCGCAAAATTATCAGTGAAAAAATGAGAAAAGAAGAAGAAGAGAAGAAGAGGTATATAAACTATCATGCATCTTAGCTCAGTCTATTATCATGTTTTTATTACTGTTCCTAGATTTCAACTTTAGATTTTAGCTATTTTTTCTTTCGTTTGAATTTTTGGTATATTTATTCATGTATTTTTGGGATTGCTTTATTGATTGCATACACATTATTAGTTTGAGCTAGAGAGAAAATGCTAGTCAATATATATTTGTTGCTTAACGAACCAAAACAATTTTACTCTACCCATGTGGCTGAAATGCAACTTTATGACATCTAATTGAGAGATTCTAGCTTCATGTAGTCTGGTCCATGGTAGTCCAAGAAAAATAACTAGGAGATATGCTAACCCATGGTTTGCATTGAGACATGAAATTCCATGTCTTCAATTGCATTAGTCTGATTATCAGTGTGTTAGATCTTGCTGGTAAATTGCTATTGCTAGTTGATTTTTTGTTTTTTCATGATTTTCTTATGTCCTTAAACCCCTTCTTCTGTTTGTTATTAGCTATTACATAAACAATAAATAAACACGATCTGCTTTAATTGAGGTCTTTTTTTTTTTTGGTTCAAACTACAAGCTAATGTTACTTCTTTTCTCCATTTTACATGTCGCGGTTACAGATAGCTCAGGTTTAGGCATCAAATTGTAGAGTTTAGTTCCTCTTTTTACCTAGCTATCTACTAAGAATAGTGAGGACCCGAGAGCAATAAATTCAGTAAGAAAGCCTTGAAGGTGGACCATTTTTTCTCTTTTCAGGTATGCTGTGCTATAATGCAGCAAAGTGAGTGCATTGTTTGAATAAAAGTTGTCAAACTAACTGGACACTTTATTGACTGAGTGCTTTATTGAAGTTAGTGACATCTAATTTAATCACACTCCCCATCTCTCTTGCTCTGTGTGCGCATGTGTGCATGGGTGTGCAAGTGCATATATGTATGCATGTTTTTGTTTTGATAAAGAAATTTTGTTTCCAGCTACTCCCTTGATATATACTAATACTAGACAGCAGTCTCTGTTTGTATGATTTAACAAATTCTCAAGGATGCAGTTAAGAGCTTCCTTCAAGAGCCACTAGTGCCATTTATATAGAAGCTGTTGTCTAATTCATTTATGTGTGGTCTTTGGTTTTAGTTTTGTGATATGGGTAGGATTTAGTCTCTGCTGCAGTTAATGTCATTATGGAAATGATATGGCCATGTCTTGTATGATGGTGCAAAAGTTTTTCATTGGCAATTTGGCTCACTTGGCTTGAGCTCTTCCTAGCCAGCCAGCCAGCCAACAAAGTTTAGCCTCAATTGCATTAATATTTTTGTCACATTTCCATGTAAGAATTAACACCAGGCAGTAAAATGAATGAGCAAGGCTATGGTGGTGCATGGGATGACAATTGTCTAATAGTGGTTGCATGAATGTTCACATGTTACAATGTGATAGGTGACTAAATTGTGAACTAGTGCCTGGTTTCTATGGGTTAGGGTTAGGAGTTCGGATTTAACTTTTTTATCTCCACTTGCATTTAGGGTTCACAAGAATGGTCGGAGAATACATGACCTATTCTTGAGTTGTCCCAATGCTAAACTTAGGAAAATATTTGCTAATTATGGTAGTTTCTGTTTGATAACTAGCCTACCAAATATTTCTACACCATGCACAAGGCACATTGGCACCAGGCAAGCAGTCTTGAGCAAGCCAACTGTCTTTGTACCAACTTTCACCCATTACACATGGCCGCGATAACTTATTAAAGTGAATAAATGTATTCCATTTCAATCTTAGTTTTTTAACATTGTACCTTGCTTCTCTGCTCAATCTCAGTTCTTTGTTCTGGAGCCTTTTCAAATAATTGTCTTGAATTAGTAAATTACAATTTTTACTGCCAGTCATTGTTGTACACCTAAAACAGTATCTTACTTAAACCTACCCAACTTTCATAACTTGGGCTGACCACATTGAAAAGGTCTGAGTCCACATTAAACTCTGGCTGGGCTGCTTGCTTTGATCAAGCTGGAAATCCTTCAGTGTATGGTTTCTGGGCCTATTGTATCTTGAATTGTCTGCTTAGTTGCATCACTAGCCTTTTGTCTTTGCTTTGCTACTTTCAACAGTAACATGCACAAAAGAAGAAAGAGACTGTATGTTTCTAAAACATAAAGATGTTCTTTAAAAGGTATTTTGGTGCTAGAATTGAGGATTTGAATCGGTAATTAGTTTTAAAACTGCAGCTGGTTACTTGACAATCTTCTCCACAGGCTTTTCTGAAGGAAGATACTGCTATAGTTCAACTTGTTATATTTGATGATGAAATTGGGTGCCTCGTTTATCTACTGTTCACCAGTTTTGGTACTCATTTGTTTGGATCAGGATTCGGTTAGAGGTATGCTATATAGTTCATCATGATGCATATGTGTAGTACCTTTGTCGTCATGCAGGTTAGTTTGCAATTTACTGTAGTTCAGAAAGAAAAGAGAGAAGCAAAAAATTGGGAGGTTTGAATGTCAATTGTTGTTTTACTTTTGTGTGGATACGAGGACTCTTGGAACCATAAATGCAGCATTTACGTCTCAAGGAGTGGCCATTTTGTGGATTGACTTTTCTCACATTCTCAGGCGCCAGCAGGAAGCAGAATTAAAACTAATAGAAGAAGAGACAGCAAAGAGGGTGGAAGAAGCTATTCAGAAGAAAGTTGAAAATAGCTTGAACTCTGAGGAGATTAAGTTGGAGATACAGAGGTGTTTAGAAGAGGGGCGGAAAAGACTTATTGATGAAGTTGCCAAACAACTTGAGAAAGAGAAAGAAGTTGCTCTTATAAATGCTAGGCAAAAGGAGGTAGGTATTTGTATTATAATAAACTACAGCTAATATATTGCTCACTCCACTCCATTGACATCATTAGTTCTCCCTGATGTTTTGTTCAGAGTATTTGTGGTGAAAATCCTTTTGCATGTATTATTCATTTGTTATTCAATTTGTTTTGTTGTTTGCTATCATTATATACCCAATCACCCTACCAGCCACCCTCTAGATCTGCATAAACAATGTTACAGCGAGGAAATGCCAATTAATCTATTGTTATGGTGGCATGGTTTCTAATATGGATTTGGAAAGATTAAAAAAGGGTGCATACTTACTGTCAAGGGTAAAAAGCCCTTTTCCATGATATGGGTGTGTTTGGCCGATGACCTTTTTTCTGTTTCAGTTGCACTCTTTCAATCATCATGGTGTTTGTTTTAGAAATCTTTCAAGCAGGGCTTGTGATAACATGGCCAAGAATCTTTGTGCAGTTGTGTTTCGTCTTGTAATTAAAAGTAGCATTCATTTTGCAGCTTCCTACAGGCAGCTGGTTTATGAGTCTAGTTTTTGCTCTTGTCAGTCAGCAAAGGATCATTCTCAATTTTTGTTCACGTGCAGGAACAAGCTCGAAAAGAGAGAGAAGAGCTGGAAAGGATGCTTGAAGAGAATCGGAGAAGGATCGAAGAATCTCAAAGAAAAGAAGCTTTGGAGCAGCAGCGGAGAGAGGAGGAACGGTATCGAGAACTAGAAGAGCTACAAAGACAAAAAGAAGAAGCAATGAGGAGGAAGAAGCAACAAGAGGAGGAAGAACGTGTAAACCAGATGAAATTGTTGGGTAAGAACAAATCTAGGCCTAAGTTGTCATTTGCACTTGGCTCGAAGTGAACGCTTGAAGAAGCTAATTTCAGTTTCTATAAATGTATGTGATAGGCTCTATTAATGTTATAGCATTTGTAATTCCAAGGATGGTGCGATGTTTAATACAGTTTTTGGTGCTGGTGTCTCAGTCTGAGATGTGATTAGCAAATTTATTTATTTTAGACCCATGTCATTGCCCTAGCTAGCAAGTAATGATGGTTTTCGACCTATTTGCTAGCTAGCAAACCCTGGGTATATTTTGTGAATGCCTATGAGAGACAAGTCCGAAGCTTTTTTTCTTTTGAACTGGATGGCAAGTCTATAACTGGTTCTTATTTAGTTTGCTTATGGTAGTGCGAAGAAACAAAGCAGAGAATGAAAAGTACAGGCTTTTTCTGTACATCTCCAGACACCGTTACGATAAGAAAAGTAGCATTTGTTCTTGCCTGATCAAAAGCGTAATACTTATTGTTGTGGTCCATTTTGATGTTCCTTTCTGTTTGATTTCCAGACATTTTTACGTCTAGGCCCAAATTGTTTGGATTTCTAGGTGTAGGTGTGCAGACTCTGACATGATTTTTGAGAAGTCCGAACCACGGCCGAGCTTCTTCGGCTAGTCGGGCCGATTCAGCTACTGTTTCGATCAATGTTATTGAACCTGGCCTGAACAGCAATCCGATTGGCTACTAGATCATCGGGTCAGCTAGTGGATTACTAATCCAAACCTTGGTTATTTGTACTTCAATAAAAATATATTTTCAAAGCACGAATAAAAACTAGTGTGATGGTAAGTGCATAATTTTAGAATTTTGATGCTTAGCTTAGTGATCCAAAGGCAAATGCACTTCGATTTCTGTGAATAATTACTGGATTCTCTTCTAAATGTTCCCTACAAACTGACTGGTATTAATTTGGTATAAGAAATGTAAGATTGTCACCATCACTTTCGTTTGAAAAACCTTCAGAACGTTTTCGAAAAAGTTCTTTTAGAAAAACACGATCTGCAAAGGCAGTGCCTTAGGAATTTTCCAAATGCCTTGCTGAATTTCTTTTCTAAATAGCTTTCTATAATCTGATATTGATTTGGTGAAGGAACGTAGAATAATCAGTTTCCTATTTTATTTTGAAGTAATTTCTAATGTAGAATTAAGTTACAAATAAAGAGAGTAGAGGCTAATCAATTAGTTTTTAAAATTAGAAGGACTGTTTTATTTGTTTTAAAAAACTAGAGAGACTAACTATAATTTACTCAACCATGAGGAATGAAAATTGCAGAGCTGGGTCTCGAATCTCAGTCAGACAGCTCAACTACTGGTTCACATTGCTAACACTAATGGTCTGGCTGTTTCAGTAATTTTCCTTAAAGTAGAACTTGTGGCAATGGTTTAAGAAAACAAAGAATCCTTCCAAAATCTTGTGGAGCTTCTAAATAATGGCAGGTTAGATTGGCCTGACCATTGTTGGATGGATGAAGCCAATCATAACTAGATTATAAGTACAAAGAACAAAAAAAAAAAAAGAGAAGAAAGAAAGATGGCAAGGGCATCTGATGAAAAGTTCAAATAAATATAAAAGTACAAACTTATTTTTCAAATTTACTCAAAATCAGCAAAATAAAAAAAATAAAAAATAAAAAATTCCAAATCCCTCCTGTTGGCAAAGTGGTAATATGCTTTGACTGGAACCCAAAAAGAGTTAAGTTGTACTTCTAATATGAATTTTCCTTCTTTTTTTTTTTTTTTGTGATAAGAACAGAAATATTAATATAATTTCATTTTTTTTTTGCTCACACACCCAAGACCCTTAACAGACTTCTGCTTGGATTTGTACTCGTAATCTCTTGTTACAAAAAACCACTACCACTGAGCTAGAAGCTCTTTGGTACCTTAATTTCATTAATTTCTCTTTATATATATATATATATATATATATATATATATTTATTGATGACTACGTTACTTCGCAAAGAAATTAATGATCACACAGAAGAATTCTGTAATGAAGCATGCATGAACACAAGTACATAAAAAAGAATAAAATAGGAAAGGGGAACCTTTGCCAAAAGATTATCGGTAATTAATAAACAGGAGGAATGTAAGACCAAGCTCTTGGCAATTTCATGGTTGGTCAGGGAAAACTTTGTGCAAGAAATTGAGGAAACGTTTTGCATACAATTTGGGCTCAACAGCAGAAATCGACATAGGGTCATATTTTAATGATTTGCAAGCATGCTCAACTTTCTTTTTCAAATTGTATTCCTGTAGTACATCAATTATGCCCATGTAGAGAACAACATCATAAACCTCGAAAAGTTCAATCTCCGTTGAATCAACCTTGTCCTGCATAAGCTTGTGGCTAGCCTGAGCTGGCATGTTCACTCCTAGCTGCACTCGCAACCTAATCATATGGAAATTTATCAACAGTTACCTAACTATTGCTTGATACATAAGTGAATCTATCAACTGACAATGTCTCGAAACGTCATAAACTAAGCACAGCTGAAATTATCATGTTGAGATTGCTAGAATATAAATTACAAGTTTAAATACATCTATGAAGGCTTGCTTGGGATCATTGCTTGGGGGTTAGAGACCATCTCAAAGAAAGTTGACACCCATGATTGAAAAGACAAGCCAAACTGGTCAGAGTTCAAGTAAAAAATAAACAAGTCAGAAGGAAGAGTATGGGTTGAGAAAGGGAGGAAAGAAGAGCCAAATGCAGAGTTGAATAGTGAAATCAGATATCAGGAGTCTAACCTCAGAGTGGCTCAAAAATTGTCTACCAAGAACTGATGGAAATAAACAGTGGGGAATGATCATAATTTGGTCCAACAACATCTGTTTTATGAGCATAGATCAAAGAAACTGACCATGAATTTTGTGCTTCCTTTTGCTGAGAATGACTTCAAATTTCAACTTTCATTATTTATATGGTGTGATAATCTCTGAAACTGAGATATCTCAGCCAATATGTTGGGTAAATTATTAGGTTGGCTTGCTTATCATTTCCATAAATATAACAGTTTTCATGTGAAGGTATTGAGAAAACTAAAAAGATATTCACTTAAAAATATACTGTTAGTGCCACTTATATTTAATTCTACATGCATAATGACTTACAAGATTCAGGAAGGGCAAAGCGACATTAATAATGAGGATACTAAAGATAGACGTGACTGTAAATGTTTAATTAGTTTAAAAGACTAACTCAATAACTTCATAACACCAGGCACATTTCGGCCAGGAAGGACTAAACATTGATACCCTTAGCATCAGAAACTCTCATTCTCTTGGTATTAAAAAGTTGTAACTAGAAAAAGTACCTTCCAGTGCCAGGCAGCAAGAGATCAACCTCCTTCTCACCAAGAGAATATGCTTTCAATGGATTTCCTCTGATGTGAGGGCCCGGTGCAGTGCTCACAGAGTTAGGTTCATGGGTCACTAAGATAAGGCCTTTTGGAGGAATCGAGAACTGCCCTTGTGAGTTTATACCTGGTGGACGCAAAAATGAACATACCGAATAAACATGACCACATGCGCAGACACTGCCAGAAAAAAGAGAGGTGACCTTCCTCCAAACTAGAATATTCATATTTGTTGTTGCCACTTTGATGTTCATATCAAAAATGTCATTAATGGATTCCAAATCTTGAAACTACCCGAGAAACTCCTGATCAGATTTAAAATGATACAATACACACCAAGACTACATGAGTCTGACAGAGCATTTTTGAAAGGCATACCCTAATTCACCATCCCTAAAGGCATCACTAAAAGTTCACTTTTTCAGTCTGTGTAGAGGAGTCGACTAGAGTATGAAGGCCTGGTTAAGCAGGGTATCCAACCACAACTTACAGTAATCCACAAATGGAATTTCTCGCTTATGGACCTATTATCACAGTCTGACACTCATGGCTTGCCTTTCCAAACTAACAGCCACTCAGCTTGGTCTACTGGAACCATTTTTGCCCCAACTAGTCAAAGCAGCTTTTCTGCAAACTATAACTTAGCATGGTTACAACTCAAAAAGAATAAACTAAAATTTTACAATATCTACTCTCAGACTAATACATCAATCCAAGTTTCAGTGTAAGAACCAAAGCATAAACTTAAGAATTCACATCAAGATAATCTTTTCTTATCTTCACTATCTAGAACCCTAAAACAGTCTTGCACAACTTTTTCTGAGTCTCCCAATACTTTCCACAAACTGCAAAATGGCCAGACCCAAGACCACCCTAAACCGTCTTGCATAAACCTTTTCCAAGTCTTCCAGTACATTATGGTGAAACCATAGCAGTTAAAGCTATCATAATTCACAAATACATCTAGCAAAGGAGATTTCATACTCACTGCATAATTTAACACTTAAATGAACCATTAGAAACTATTGAAAAAATTAAGAGCCGATTAGAACTTAATTTCAGGTAGGTATGTGACTAAAAAAAGGTGTTTGTGTTGGAGGGACACCTACCGTCTGCAGGTAAACCAGCATCATTCAGCATTGTAGCAGGTGGGTCTAAGATGGCTCTCAACTGCTCAGGTGCTCTAAAATGTAATCCCAAGAGAAGGCTATAATCAATTATCTGTTGAGATTCTAAAAACTTGCAGTCCAAAGAGAGCTGCCTGCACAGGGGGAAAATATTTCTACTAACAATTAGAAGGCAGGAGACTTGATCAGACAATCAAATGTCACTAAAGAATGATATTTTTATGGATTCATTTTGAAGGATATTCAACCTGTAGTATGAGCTAATATCATATGAAGAGAACTAATGTTCACATGAAAATCACATAACTTCATCATGAGAATGGCACACGAAATGAATACATGAGGATTGAGGAAGCATACTTCTCCCATTTCTATCTCAACCTAATGCATAACAGATGTAAGTGATTAGATGAATTATCCTATCAACACCTTTTCTAATCTTGACTGAACACCTATGCATGGATGAAATAAGTAGCAAAGTTTGAGGTTCCTTATCAACATGGAAAAAGTGACTTATACATCAAAGATTATGTTGGGGAATATCCTTCCAACTTGGGTTGCAGTTGGGATCACGCTGTTCCACATATCTGGTACACTACGATATGCTACAGTACACGAATCAATGTGGAGAACGGAAGGAAGAGAAAGCAGTAATATGGATGACTGACTCTGGACATCTATCTTTGAAGGCAAGAAAATGCTTTTCAATGATGTACAGTGATATTTGTATCAATTATGTCACTAGGAGACACAAGAACATCTTTGTGGAAGAGGAAGGGTGAAAAGTGTGCCATGCTCATGTAAATGGAGTTTAATGTCCAAGTTGTACAAGATTCAAAAGTCTTGAAGCCAAAACACTTTCTGACCTTGAATTATGCTGCTCAAATATTCCGAAATCTAGATGTGAAAGGTGACGAGGATTATGAACATGTTAGTGTTTTTTTTTTCCTGCAGACTTCCTTTACGTTATCCAATCTTATTTTTCCCGTACCTTGGTTTTATCGTTTTTCAGGATTTTGTAGAAAATTTTTGTTCAGCAGGTCAAAGGAAAAAAATAAAAAATCGAAAGCAAATGATTGTACTGCAGTGAACAATCACTGGAAAAGGAATGAAAATTTAACAACAAAGAGTTCACATCAGTGCAACATCTTAACCCAAAGGTAGAGATAAGAATACAAAAGATGTCAGCATATGGATAATAGCAAATCAAAAGAACTTACTTGAAAAGAGATTCTCGTAACAACTTGTCCATTCGAAACTCGCATGCTAGATCAAGATCTTTTAACGTGGTATTTTCTCCAACCTTATCTTTATCTGTACGTCTCCCTACAGTTGAACCCTTCAGGTCATAGCGACCATGAATTCTTAATTCTGTGCAAAACATATTTCCCATGACTACAAAGCGTACCTATAAAGATAGGAAACCAAAAATCCTCATTAACATGAGCGACATGGATGGCAGAAAGGAATATAGGGGCACATGACAGCTGCAGATACCTTTCTCCCACCTCTCAATGTTATTCGGTGGACCCCAAAAAATTTTGTGATGAGAGTATTTTCATGCTTCCCTACATGAATGTAATATTTATGAAGCATCTTCAGAAGGGTCTGCACAGAAGAAGAAGGACATGCACTCATTTATAATCCAATGTTGATTAAGAGAATAAGATTAAGAAAAAATCACAATTTGCCATTTCAGAAAAACACCTTCCGGTTAGGATCTTTATTTTGATAATCACCAATATCCTAATATTTTATAGTTTAGGATTCTGAGATTCATTAGAATCAAACCTGACTTTGCAATCAAAACTTTAAACATGATAAAATTAGCCTAGTGAAGTCCTCTGGATCAAATGTTTAGAGTGCAATTCTACTATGTCGAGTCAACCTCCGTTTCTTTTCTTTTCTTTTGTTATTTTTTCAAGATAATTACATTGCAACTTCTGGTAAGTGGACCATTTTTAAAAGAGAATAGAATCATATTGTCTGTGCATGCCTTTATTTTTGTTGAGATATATCTGCTAAATATATCCCATTTGTATATGCAAGGTTTTGTCTCTAAGCAAGTTTTATCAACTAAGTCTTTATTTAAACACAAAGATAAGTATACAAGATATACACAACTGACCTCTTCCCAGCTTGACACTGAGGCAAATAAACAAGCCATTTATCATGAAGATAAAAGTTTTGAAAAACATCTTCCACCATCAAGAAGTTCCTAATGTAACTAAGATAATACCTTAGAGTGCACACTAAATGGTTTTCAAAATAGAGGTCCTAAAAAGGAGAAATTGTTAGGCAGTCTACCAACTCACCCATAAAGTAAGCCAAAACTAACATGTATGAGTATAAAAAGTTCATTGACCCTAGATGATGATGTTTGAATCCATCCACATCTTATGCATTTATTGGCTTAGTGTACAGAAGAGTTGGTTAGTCTACCTAACAATTTCCCCTAAGAAATAATTATAGACAAACAATAGTTTCCTCTTATTTGGGTGGAGGGAATTTCCCTGTGCCCATAGGTGTCATGATATTAGGCTTCTGCATGTTGGAAACATTAATTTTGCTTTGAAAGGATTTTTTTTTTAACTATATTCTCTTACTTTACAAATCTTACTTTCCTTTTCTTTAACTTTTTCTTTTTAGAAGAATATGGGTTTGCAATATTTTTTAAGGCGAAATTAATATTGCTAGCAAATGGCAACATAAAATCATCACACCTATGGGCAAGAGTAGTTCTTCCAACTCAAATAGGAGGGAATTATTGTTCAATAGAGACAAACCTTCAGGTTTTTACTATCTGCTACTTTTTGCATAAAATAAATATATTTGGAAATTGATGACTTAAGAAACTTATTGGAAACACGGATCTGACTAACCATAGCATATAACCCAATAAAATATCAAAGAACACACACATAAACATAACCCGATGATAGATGTACAAAGTGCAACTTTAGGAACAAACATAAACATAACCCAATGATTTATGTACAGAATGCAACTTTAGGTCAATTCAAATGCAACACGAGCAATGATCAGCTTGACTAGACAAAGACCCTTTGTCATTAAAAATATGGATGATATATTTTTCAATATTTTTCACAAAAACCATCCAGTATCTTTTTGTTCTCCCCTTAACCCCATAAAATCTGCAAATGAAACCATACATCACTAACTAAGGGTGCAACTATTGATCTTAAAACATAGACCTACTAATGAAGCTTCACACCCTACCTTCTTTTCTAGCTTACATTGCTCCAGATTTGCACAAATGCATTTATTTGCTAGTGAGTCCATTTTGAACTTCCTACTTATCCATGTGAAAAACTCTCAGCTTCAGTAGGCAACTGGAATCTATTCCCCAATAGAAGAAAGCACATGGAGAAGAGCAGCACACACTTATGTGCACCTAATCATGATATATAAAAGCCTAATCATCTGAAAAACCTCACATCTAATCGGATCAAAGCCATATGAATTATCCAGTCTCCACAAGTCAGCCTTGAAACTCTTTGATCCAAAAGGCCAATTAACTGATGGCAAGAAAAGGCTAAGTATTGCTATTATATGCATCAAAATATGAAAGTATCTCTAGAACCATCATTCATTTTCCTTTCTACTACCCTTATGCTGTCACAGAGAAGACGCACTCTCTTCAGGCTCTTGATAACTCTGAGCAACTCCATGCAGTTGCATTTCTTTGACAAATGGATTTTAACTAGGATGGTGATAGCATTCTCTTCATCATCTGCACAAATACCTCTTAATCCAATTTAGCAAGACTATGAAGAGAAAATCTTTTAAGAACTATGCTCCTTTTAGAACTAAGTTTCATTAAACATTTAGTAAATATCAAATGAACATGTCGATAGCCACCATCCACATTTCAATCCCCCCAACCCCAACCCCCCCCCAAAAAAAAAAAAAAACTGAAGTTTACAGAATCATGCAGAAATGAGTGGCATCATTCACAGGAAGAATCTTTAAGCATGATTGTGAATAAAATCTCAATATGTCGTGCTTTACTCCATCTTTCAAACCCTATTTAAAGCATGATTTATGATGTCTATCTAGCAGGAGAATTTCCTTTAAAAGCAAGGTAAATACCAATAACAATTGCTGGAAAGTCTATGCAGAATCAAATAGGATTTGTTTCGCACCTCCATTTCCTAGGTGGGTTTCGCTGTGAACAATCAGTTTGAAACCTTAACTATTAAGGATCTACAGATCCATTGTATGTAAAATTGTTTAAGGAAAACAAAAGGCTAGAAACAGAAGCATTCAGATATTTCAATCCTACTAAAACAATAGCAAATAAGACACCTAAGGCCACATCATGAAATGGCATGCTTTCATGGATTTTAGACAACTGTTAACTTCATTCAGACAGACAAGTTACCAAAGAAACACTGGGAACTTTGAGCACGCTAAGCGATCAGATTATATTCAGAATGAGGGTTTGTCTGGATTCAAACCTTGAGTTCGAACTTTTTTAACGTCTTAATCACAAATCTATCATCATGTGAAAGATAGAAGATACTGCCGCTTTTTCCAGGGGAAGAAAGCTCCCTTAGACCATCATCACCGCAAATGGACATCATGTACTCAGCTGCATCTAGCTTGAACATCTCCCTTAAATTCCTGAAATGACAAACCCACACAAATTGACAATGTCTCACATACATAATATTATTGAATATCAAGCTCTATTCTTCACATTCACGCTTACATTAATATATATGTGAAAGTTTATAATTGCATGTTTGATTAAAATTTTAAAATGTAAACCCCATGGGCGGAGATTTAAGTCACCTTAACAGATCCACTCGTGCAAGTTTAAAAATACACTACAATAGCAGTCATAGGGGAACTAAGATCGAAAAACTGAAATTAGCAAAAAGAAGGGAAACCTTCTCGACATACAGGCTTCAGTAATTAGAAAGATAATCTTAAGAGAAGATCAAATGCTGATGTCAGCATCTGAGAGGAAAGTAAGCGAGAAAGTGAAATAACAAGGAAATTATTGCATCCTGTGCAGGCACTCCCTTGCATAACAGTTTGCGATACAAATGGGTGTCATTGAATGCTAGAAGTCCCAAACTCTTATAATCTCCCTTAAAATAAATTTCACATAGGAAAAATGTCCTTATTTTAGGTATACACATCCCAGTAGACCAGCAATTCCCCATAAGCAAGGAATGGTCGTAATATCTTGGAAACTTGTGGCAAAGCCAAAGTCTGTTTTGTTTAATAGTGTGGTCAGAATAAAAAAGAAAAGGAAAACAAAGAATCCTCAACCAGTGAATCACAACAAATCTAAGCTGAAACCCGTTCAGCCTTGTGCTTCATTAACTTACCTGTCTACGAGAACAGAAAAGAGTGCTGAAAGTTATAAGATCTCTCCAAATTTACACATTTCTCATTTAAAAAACAACATTCATCTAATACAATTAATAGCCTCAATGGCCTAATGGCAGATGCCTCACTGCAAAATACAAGGAGGCCTCACAAGACCTAGGTTTCGAACTTGGGCTAGCAGTGGTAAGAATTCTAGATGAGGAGGAGCTGCAGAAAGCCACCTCCATAGTATAACCTTTTATTTTTCTTTTGATAGCTTCCATAGTATAACCTAAAGCCATTAACATAGTATGTCTGCTTGAAAATGCAAAAACAAGACCATGAGAAAAAAAATCATGGCATCTACTTCTTTCTTATAATCGGAGGAACCATCTTCCGCTGTACACTGTTATACTAGGTGCTTCACATCTGAACTTACATCTGTACTTTTACAAGAAGGTCATAGGAAACAAGGAAGTCATATTTATAAATTGTAAGGGAAACTGTAATCAGTCCTTGGTCCCTTTTGATTTGAGCTTTGGTCATATCTTCTAAATCCTAATATGATCAAGAGTGTCATTGTAATCAAAGGTCTTGGTATAATTCGAATCAGGCATTTCTGCACTATTAAGAGCTATTTTTTTTGTTAATGATAGTTATATGATACCTTTTCAGATGGAAAACAGAACACATAGTCTCCCCAGTTTACAGCTGGAAGTCATTTGGGATATATTAGAACCTACGGCCCTGTTCTCATGCAGCTGTGTGTGCTGCTTGCAATGTCTCATTTTGTGAGTTATGCAAACATATGATGATAAATACCTGAAGACCATAGGGCAGTAGTCTTTCCAATAGAAATCAATAGAATAGTGTGGAGGTGTAAACTGGGAACCCTTTCTGGGGAAATACATCCTTATTCTAGCTCGATCTCCAAAATCAGAATCTCGAACTTCGCGCATGGGCACTGGTGTAATCTTGCCAACAGTGTACCTGTGAAGTTAAGATCAAATATTTTGAAAGCGTGCTAATGTGCAAGAATATGTTCATGAAACTTTAAGTGAAGAAAACTTTTTATTTAAAAAATAAAATAAACTTGCACATGCCTGAAAGAGCTATTAACCCTGGCCAAAAGCCAAGATTGTTAAAATACCAATTTAGACCATTTAAACAAGGATGATCAACTTCCTACGAGTACAAATATATAGCATGAGATGGAAGAAAAGGAAAAAAAGAGGATGTCTGATTCCACCCTGGCCGTGATAGCATCCATGCACACACCAAGTAACTAAGATTTTAATAGTTGAAGTTGCTCTCAAAGAGATCATACCAAATATAACTTTACGTATGGTCCATCTAAAAAGTGAAGAAGAAAAGTACACATGTAGTCAAATGTTTTAAGATATTGGCAGCCAAATTAGTACTTTCTACCAGCTAACAAGTATTGGATTTTTTTTAATTAATAACAAGAATTTTATTTGGTACAAACCCATAAGGTTGGAACCTTGCTTGGATAGTGATATCACAATGGATCAAATGCTCAGATATTCCAATTCCCAATAGCCTGTCACATTTTGCTACTTTCCAGTAGCACATATGAGAGTCAAGAGAAGGTACAAATACAATAAGCATTACCATGCATGCAGCAGCACATTTCTGATGAAAGTGTTGATCCAGTCAGTTCTAGTCCAGTTTTACAAAATGGCATATAGAATTATATATCATAACCAAATAATTAACAATTTGAGAGCAGAAAATGTACATCAGAAAGAAACAAAAATAAGGAGGAAAAAAAAAACAGATAAAGTAGAATAAAAGCAGGAAAGATGGACTTCAATGGCTATCCATTTACCTTATACCAAGTTGTAAATTAAGCATCAGGTAATAGCTCCGATTGCTTCTGAGTATATCCACATATGACTTCCTTTTTGCTTCCTTCACATGAAATTTGTTTCTCTGTTTAGTTTTGCATGATGGTTCTGCATTTTTAACTTTCTCATTTTTCAAAACTCCTTGCAAGTATTCCCTTTCATAAACTACAGTACAGTTATCCTGCACCCCAATTTGACCTTCATCAGAGGTTTCAGACAACAAACACGATGGTTCGCGACATAAAATTTCTCTGGCAGGATTACTAAGACTCGAGCTTTTATATAGTGAGGCAGTTCTTTGTGAGAATTGGCCAGAATCCTTTAAGATTCCACCGATTGACATTTTCTCAGATAGACTGCGCATGACATTTGGTTTTGGAACCCTGACTTCCTCTGAATTTAAAGACAAACTTTGAGACAACATATTTATTCCACTTTCATCACAGCCTAAGGAGCTGCACCATCTCCTTAGAGATGGATGTTTAGTTCCAGCTGGGTAGAAAGTTCCTTTTCCATCCTTATAGCCCGTACTCCATGTTCCAAAGTAGTATCCCCCATCTGCAAATCTATAAACTCCAGATCCATTTCTAGAACCATTTAACCAAAAGCCATCAAAAACATCACCATTTTCCCATTTCATAACTCCTCTGCCACACATTTGTCCACCTTTCCAATTCCCAATATATGTATTTCCACTATTCCAAGAGTACCTACCACAGCCTTCATGTATCCCCTCCTTCCAAGAACCTTCATAAACATCTAAATTACAATACTTTTTCCTTCCAACCCCATGCCGTATGTTCATTCTCCAGGCCCCTCGGTATTCAGACCCATCAAGTCCTGTAAAGGTGCCGATTCCATGAAGGTAACCGCCAGAGAAATCACCTTCATATATTGCTCCTGATGACCAAAGTATCCGTCCTTTCCCAGTCATTTTACCTTCTTCCCAGTCACCCTCATAGACTGTTCCGTCACACCATATATATTTACCCTTGCCTTGGGGAAATGTTCCCTTAAAACTACCAGTATAGACATCTCCATTTGATAAGGCCTTCTTGTCCATACTGGAATATGAAAAGTACCAAATAAAGAATTTTTCATTATTATTGTTATTGAGAATGACAAATGATGATTTTTTGTATGTCCAAAAGCTTATTTTTAACTGGTAAAAAAAAAAAGAAAAAAAAAAGGAAACATTTCAACATAAAGGAATATTGGTAACAAGATTAGTACCTTTCACTGTCTTCAATATCTAATAAGCGACGTAAGAGCACCATTTGCTATTTTGGTTCTGAAAATAAGATAAATTTTATCATGCTTAAACGATAGATCCACAAGATTCCTCCTCATTTTTCATATTAGCTCAATATCAAAGTCAAACATCATCTCAATTAATTCCATGGTGATGAGCATGCCAACCAGTCAGTAACAAGAATTAGATTCTTCTAACCAACAAAACCGATGATGGCAAATACCAAATTGCCATATAGCTGGTTGATTCCTCATTCTCCACGGGTTTGAAAGAGAAATAATGACTACGCAAAAATTCCCTCATGCGAAATTAATAAAACCACCAAACATATTGTGTTATCTCTTGCATTTGCGCAAAAAAAATCATCCAGTAGGTTTACCACTATCCATTTAAACTAAATATGAAATTAATACATGAAAATAAACATATTGTTTGTATCCCACAAAAGGATAAGAACCCTATTCAATTCCCTAAGCCAAATGAATACAGAAGGCCAGAAAATGCAAAAATAATCTTCGAAAATATCAACAAAAAAAAAAAAAAAAGGAAGATCAAATTAAAATGAAAAATAACCAAACTACACGAACAAACAAAGAGAAAAAGGCACTGAAAGAAATCATAAACTCACCTGAAACACACTAGAAAATCAATCCATGCATCTTCCAATCAATTAAGCAACGAGAAGAAGACGAATCTCTTTCTCCCTCTCTCCCTCTCTCCCTCTCTAAAAAACAAAACCCGAAACTTTTTAGCTGAAAAGAAGAAGCAAAATATACATAAAAAAAGAATAAAGTCTGTCTCTTGTCCTATTGTGCCTCCAGATCCTTTGCTGCTGCTGCTACAAATTGACACTTCACCTCTTTTATCTCTCTAACAATATTGAATTCTTTGTTTGTTTTTTCTTTCGCTAAAAAAACGTCTCTTTCTTTGCTGTCTTTTCCTTTTCAAGTGTTGTGATGTCTGTCAATTGCCCATGCATCAAGTTCCCTTCCCTCCTTTCTTCTTCGTTCTGCCTACTTTCACTTTTTCTTTTCCTTTCTTTTTCCAAATTATATTTTCTCTCCTTCATTTGACATTCACGCTCACCCCTCTAACCCTCCAACTCTCCAGCTCCAACGCCGACTGAAAAGACAATCGGACATGCGCATCCGGATGCTCTCGGGAATCTCGTCACGTGTCAGAAAATCACTAGAGGGACCAAAGTGGTTCTGTTCAAAATATGTCTCTGTAAAAGGGAACGGGACCCACTTGCAGATTCGACCGCATTTTCATGGCTGGGTGTTGGTGATTGGATGATGGAGAGAGGATGAAATAGTGCGTAACTGAGCTGTACCTGATTTGCCTATAAATTATGTATTATTTATTTATTTAATAACAATAAATAGGGGTATTTAAAATTATTAGAAGGACCGTTGAACAAGAAAGGGATAAATTCCACAGCTCACAATTACAGGCATGATTCTTCTTTTGTCTTTTTCTTTTTTTTTTTTTAAAAAAAAAAAGGAAAATACTATACCAGACTACTAGTAAGTAGTTTTTTATGTTATCAAGTCCGACCCAGTGTTTTTAATCCTTCTAGGTTATCATAGTATTAAAATCTAGATTAATCTCTTATTGTTCTTTTAAATATATAAGGTAAAAATAGTTATTTAGTTAGTTTTTTACGTATATAAGAACTCGAACTCAAAACCATTTATATTTTCTTAATTTCTTAAAAAGAAAAAAAAATTATTGAAAATTTTGTACGATAAAAAAATTATTTATACCTTATTTCTATATTTAGTATGTATATTGATAAGAAGACTATTTGAGTTTAGAATCTTTTTTTTTTAATCTCGATTGTAGTGGTACGAATTATGTCATTATTCATAGATTTAGCTATAATACTATGTATCCCTAGCTTTTTTTATTATTCCAATAGAATCAAATTCGACTAGATACTAAAAATAAGCGAAAAAGATTAAACGAGGGGAACATAACTAAGTGGAAAAGATTAAACGAGGGGAACAAAAGATTATAAGAGATATTTCTCTATTTATCTTTTTAGTCTTCAACACAAAAAAATGAACTTTTCACACCCCTTTCTTATGTCGAAAAAATAATAATTTTTGATACCATTCATTAAGATTTCTATTCTTCATTTTTATTTTTTTCAAGTTTATCATTAAACAATTAGAGTTTTTTCCATTTAAATTAACCGTTTTGGATAATCAAGTAGGTCTTTTTTTTAATAACATTTCTCATGTGCAAAAAAATTATCATAGTTTATTGTTAACAAGTGAAAAATTTTATGATCAAGAGCATGTTAATATTAAATTAAAACCCAAATTTGAATGTGCTGAGACTTAGAAATTTTAAATAAAAAATTAAACATACAAGCTTTTTGTATTTGATTTGAGTTTGAAAATGTTTTTTAATGTTGTAATGTTATTTGGAAGTTATAAATAATTGTTTTGGTGTTCTTATGGGCGATTTGATGGTGGGAGTAGTGGTAACTCATTCTTATAGTTTGAGATAGTGCAAGTCAATCCTTATAGTTTTATCAATGACAATTCAGTTTCTTTTTTAAACTTTTAAAAATCATGTCTTGAGTCTTGTAATTAGAATAAAGTGTTTTTTTCTATATTTGAACTTTGTACTTTTTGAATTTTTTAATTAAAACTCTATTTTTTAAATTTAATTGAGACCTTCTATTCTTCTAAATTTCTTATTTTAAATCTTTTTTTATAATTTTATTAATTAATGATCGATACGCAAGCATTGTAAAAGAATAATCTTGAAGAAGTGTCAATGACTCGATTAGTGAAATTATAAAAAAGATTCTAAAACAATAAATCTCTAAAAGTATAATGTTTAAATCAAGCTAAAAAACAATAGAAGGTCTCAATAAAAAAAAATTTGAAGAGTACAAGATTCAAACGTGGAAAAAATCCTTAAAATAAATATCAAGTACAATTAAAATTTATGAGCCGAGAGAAGAAAATAAGTTTGCATAACTAATTTTTTTATCAAAATATTTTTTTAGCCTCTCTTGCATGCTTTTTTTTTTTTTTCTTTATTGATAAAAGGTTATAAACAATCTCGTCTTTAATAATATAAGTTGGTTTTCTACTCAAATTATTAGTAACGCTCATAAGCAACAACGAGAATATAAAGACTATAGTAGGTTAATGTTAACTTTGAATCCAATTCCTTCTATTCCATATAACCAAGCAGCTCAAACGTGGCAACTCACAGTTATTGGTTTCATTGAATTTAATTTTGATAGTGCCTTTTAATCTTTTTGCTAAAGCAAATGCTCGTGGAATCATTGCAAGGTGAGGGAATGTCAATATTCTTATGGCCAGATGTGTTTAAGTTAGATAATTCTTAAAAGCTACAACAATTAAGATTTTAGATCTACGAAAAGTTATTTTTTCAGTTCTAATTTTTAATCCGAAAAATTTCATAAAAAAATGTCGAATTCATTATTTATATTGTTACCTCACAACACTTTGACAATAACCAAGTTCATCCCATTCTCGGACATACAATAAAAGAAATTGATGATTTTATTATTTCTTAAATTAGGCTACTCATAATTTAGCACATAAAACCCTCAACGGTTGTTGTTCTTGCGACAATTCTAATATACTAATTAGTTGGATCCAAAATCATTTGGAGGGTACCGGCTAATTTTTAAACAATAAAGTCCACCTCTAGAGAAAAAAAGAAGAAGAAGGATGATTAGCCTTAATTTTTATGAACTTGTGGGCTAATTTGAATAAGTTGATAGAAAGAACACATATCATCCTCAAGAGTTTCTCTCTAGCAACATACATAATAAGAAGACGCTTCTTTGCGCTTGAGGTCGTAGCCCAGTGGTGAAGTTGAGGGTTGCTCACCGATGACATTGGGTTCGATTCTCTTTGTGCATGTCCGTCACCCGCATGGTGTCTTACCCGCCCATTGGGCTTGCAAGGTGTTCGGTAGGTCTAGGAATTAGTCGAGGTACGCACAAGTCGGCCTCGAACCCCGAGTTATTAAAAAAAAAAGTGCTTCTTTTTAAAGAAGTAGGGTTACCTTATACATTTTACTTATCAATTCAAAATCATTTTTATCGTCAAATCTTGATAAAAAAAAAAATAATTCAACGCTTACTTGAAGATCTTGATAAAAAAAATAGTTTTGATAAAAAAAGTAGTTTTGATGAAATCTTATTCAAAATAAAATTTTCAAAAGAACTAATCAAGGTTTTGTTCTTTATTTCTACAACATTGTTTTTTTTTTATTAAAACCTCTAATGGATTTTCTTACTAAAATGGATTGAAAATTATAAACTAGATATGTTTGTATGTAATTTTATTTTCAAATACCTTGATCTTAGACTGGATTTGAATTAGATCGAATATAAAAAATATAAAAAATCTAATCAAGATACAAACAAGTTGGTTTACAATTACATGATATCTATTTCAGATTGATGTGATTTGGAATGGAATATGCTTCTTCATTTCATGACTTCACTATCTTCGTTTTTTCTTTGCTTGGAGTTTTTGGAAGCGCCAAAAGCAATCTGCAACGAGCGTTAAAAAACAACAAAATTTATTCTTGTCATCGAATTAAAGCAACAAAATCCCAAAATGAAGAGTAAATTGCAAATTAGTCCCTTATTTTTGAAAAACAATTTAGCTAATTCCTTTTGTTTTAAAAACTAATTATTTAGTCCTTTTTTATTTTATGTTATTTTCTTATTTGTTTTGTTTTGTTTTTTTTTATAAAATATAAAAACTAAATAGATATTAAGAAAATATTGAGGAGAAAAGCAATTTTTTTAAAAAGTAATATTAAATTAAGTATGATCAATGCTGGTAAAAAAAACTAAATAATTAATCTTTTTAAAAAAGAACTAATTAATTAATTTATTTTTTAAAAAGTAATATCAATTTTTTGGATTGATATGATTTGGATTGAAATCTGCTTCTTCATCTCATGACGTCCGAGTAAATTATAAATTAGTCTCTTTTTTTTTTTTTTGAGAAACAAATTAATTACTCCTTTTCTCATTTTAAAAAATAATTATTTAATCTTTATATTGTAAAATTTATTCATAATCTAGTCATTTTTATTTTTTAAATTTGTTTTAATTTTTTTAAGAAAAAAATAAAAAATAAAAAGATTGATAAAAAAATAAAAGATTTTATGAAATAAAAATACTATTAAATTAAGCATATCAATAATAATGAAATAATGAATTAATATTTTTTTTGAAACAAAAGAGACTAATTAATTAATTTCTTAAAACTAAAGGGACTAATTTATAATCTACTCCATGACTTCACTACCTTCATTTTTTCCTCCCTCGAGTTTTCGGGAGCCTCAAAAGCAATCTACAACAAACATGAATAAACAACAATACATAGTCTCGTCATCGAATCAAAGGAGCAAAATTTCATTATCTTAAAATGAAGAGTAAATTATAAAGTTGTCCCTCTAGTTTTGAAAAATAAATTAGTTAATCCCTTTTGTTTTAAAAACTAATTATTTAGTTCTTTTTGTTTAGTTTATATTCCTTTCTAATTTGTTTTGTTTTTGAAAATATATGAAAAATTTAATGAGATGAGCATACTTTTTGAAAATAAAATAATATTAAATTAAGTACTTGGTAAAAAAAATAAAAATCATCAAATCTAAAAAGAATAATTTAAATTACTCTAAAATCAACTTCTTATTTTTTCCGATAAATAATTCCCCATTGATTACATCCTTAAGAGAACACACTCAATCTCTTTTTAAAACAACAAAATCTTTAAATCGATATTCAAAATTCAATCTCATATTCATCTAAGAAATCCAATTTTTTAACACTCTAAGTAGCATGTTTAAAAATTAGGGTTCTTAAAATTAGTTAGTTGAAGAGGTATTTTCATTCATCATTGACCAAAATTAGAGTAAATCATAAATTCTTTCCTTTAATTTAGTAAAACGAAATAAATAGTCTCTCTTGTTAATTAATCAGTCCATCCCATAGTTAATTTAATGTTATTTTATTTTAAAAAATATTTTTCTCATTAATCCTTCCTTCCATATTTTTATTTTTAAAATAAAAAATAAAATAAATTAAAAAAGAAAAAAAATTAAGTTACAGATAAATTTAAAAATATAGGGATTAGTTAATAATTTTTAAGACTAGGAGGACAATTTAATTCGTTTTGAAAAACTAGAAGAACTAATTTATAATTAGGTCGTAAGAACAAGTACCGCTCGTAATAATAAAAATAACTCCTAAATAATTTTTTTTACCTTTGCTGCCTCAGTCTCAAACACAGAATGGAGTTATCAACTATAACCACTGGCACAGGCTTTCACCATATCCTCACCCGCCCAAAACCGTTATCTTTTCCATCAATTCCTTGTATATCCACCACCGCCGGCAGCTGGCAACGCACTTCCGCTGCTGGAGCAGCAACAACAACACCAACACTTGTCGATGAACCTTGTAATGACACACAACCGGCAACAACTGCAAGAAGAAGACCGAAAGATGGTGCAGTTGATGTTCAAAGGCGTCACTCGAAGTCATACTTGGCTAGAAAAGCTGCCATTCTTGAAGTCCAACAGTCCACTCATTTGGACTCTGCTCTTCAAAGGTCCTTCGTTTATTATTTTTCTTCTTCAATAATCCGCAGTGCAGTTACCGACTTGAGTTTGGTTTATAGGTTTTTGCATTCAATTTCGCTTCTTTAGTTTATGTTTTCCAAGAATTTTAAGGTAGTCAAGTGGAAATCTGAACTGGGTTTATTTTTTTTTCCTTTTCTAACGTTACTTTTGGATGCAAATTTTTATCTACTTGCCTGATTTTGTTTGGGTTCTGGTATTTTGCTGTGATGCCTTTTTTTTTTTTTTTTTTTTTGGAGTTTAATATGCAGCTTATGTGTTTTTCTTTTGCATGGCACTTAAAATTTTTAGTTGTTTAATAGTATTACATTAAAGAGATCCTATAGAAAATCTGTATTATAGGTGGAATTTGTAATTCTAAGAATTTAACCTTTTTTGGGAATTGTTCTTAAGGTTGAAATTCGGCATGCCTATCGTGCTAAAGCATTGAACAATTCTTTTTTAGGGGTAGATATGGGGCTTGAGGTGATTTTTGTTGTCGATATCAAGATTGAGAGATGGAACTTATGAACTGTTTATTGTCCAGTTATTTGAAACTAGCTGAGTTTCTTAAAGATGGTTTGTGTGGGAGGTTGTGCAGGTGTAGGCAGGTTTTGCTGTAATCATAATTCTAATGGGAGTTTTTTCTTGCAGATGAGGTCTCTCTGAATTAGCCCCATACCTGACACTACTCTTTTCTGAATTTAATTAGATAGATATGTACTGTTAGAGAGACAGGTTTCATGGGAAAGGACTTTAAGAAGAAAGAAAAGGGAAAACGGAAACAAAACTTCTGTAATTTGTTGTCATGCATCTGTAGTATTGGTGATACTGCATTGATCATAAAATCAATCTAACTAAATTAGGCCTCGTGCATGAATCCAGTTTCTTCATTCGGTTCTGTTACGAGCTAAACTTCTTGCAACCTGTTGTGATGCTAAATCATTCCTTGTCACTTCAACTCACATTACTTTTGATCTACTGACCTGTTTTCTCACTCTTTACTGATATAATCATTATTGCTTTCCTGAGGTCTACACTGGACATGATCAAACTATCCTGGACAGCCATCCTTTAACATACAACTATCCTGGACAACCCTTTTCAAGTTCTTTTTCCACCTTTCTGCATATAACTCTTCCTGCAATCAGTTCTTCAACATGGTCCCTCTTCCTCTCCAAGATCTACATTGGATATGTCCGAACTATCTTGCCCCGAACTTCTCCTCAATATTTGCCACTTTCACCTTTCTGCAGTTGTACTCATTTCTTATCCATTCTTGTGTTCCCACACATTCATCTTAGTATCTTCATCTCAGTTGGGGTTTGTTTAACAATTCCATTACTCTTCTTTATTTTAACTATCCTTCTCTTATTCTATGAGTAGTATTGTCCATTCTTCGTCAATACCCCCACTGTTGTTTAATGGATCCTACTATGTACAAAAAAATCATCCTTTACCCATCCTTATGTCGATCAGAAACTTCTCTCTTCCCTCACATTGCTAAAGTTCCAATGAATTTACTTTATTTTAGCTGTGCTACCTGAAACCTCTACAGATCTAGGGTTCTTCTTTGGTTCTCTTTGACGCTGACCTTTCTTTACAAAGACTGGGATCCTTGGTTGTGATCATTGCCTGACCTTTTCATTACCTCTTATCAAACACCGTGCTTCTACATCTTTTTGGAATTTTAGATGGATTTTCTTTTTAACCATCGTGTGTGTGTGGGTTTGCTTCTCATGTACTGAATGTCCTCCTGGTTTAACTATGTGAATAAACTTTTTTCTGAGGAAAGAAGAGCATTGAACATTCAAATGTTACACAAAGCTTCTTGTGGTCTCAAAACCAGTCAACCTTTCCGCAGCTTTTGCACATGAATAGAAATTACTTCATTTACTGGGATACATTAATTTGATTACATTTTAGATTATTTTTCTGCAATCAGATAGTAAGTTTGCACTTCTGTAATATACCATGGTTCACATAGGGGACACTGATCTCACTGTTATTCATAAGGTGATCTCTCTCTTTTTGTTGGGGGTATGATGAGATGTGGATGTGTAAAGAGCCTTACATTAGATTAATGGGAGATTTTGGCAGCCAAAACATCAAAATGAGGACTCAAAGAAATCTGGTTGTGTTTTACTTGAATATCTTTCTGATTATTCTCATCTTAAAATATTCTTTTTATTTCTTTGATTGGTCAATTAAGTTTTTTGATGTCAATGAAACTGTCAATCTATTACTCATTGTACAGATTAGGAGGGATGCTGAAGGTGCAAGACTTGAATGTCATTTTGCGAAATTTTGGGGAGCAACGCAGATGGCAGGATCTTTCTCAGGTTCTACTACTTGAAAACTGCAATACTTCCCTTTGATATGCTAACTAATGCTGCTCTTCATGGTTTTATATTTCTATTATTCTGATGCTCAAGCTTCTTAAATGCATGACATGACTAACTTCCTTAAGCTTTCAGCATGACATCTCTTTGTTTCTTAGTTTAGTATTTTTTGTGTGTGCTCGTAATCATAGTCTTTCACAGGTGCAGCTCCTCTCAAGGTGAAATATATATATATATATATATATATATATATATTTTCCTTTTTCATATTCTTAGATTTGATTCTTCCATGATATGATGTTAATAATAAGTCGAGTCGCTGGGACTATTGGCCCCAGATTAGAAAAAAATTATCTTCTACTTTAACTTTAGATTTATTGTCCTACCCTTGAGACTATTTGGGCACTTTTATATTTCCTTCCAGTGGAGTCAGCACGTATTTTAGACTTGTTACAATATCTTATACACACAGAAAAATGATGAAATTATGGTGTTCAGTAATAAGAACAAGAAATACATTTGACACTATGCATTATCTTTATTATCGTGAATTCACATCCTATAGTAAGTTTCTTTCCTAATAAATGGGTAATTTTCCTTTCAACTTTCCGTGATGATAGCTGCATGTGTAGAAGCAGAGATAAGGCTCGTATGGAATTAGACTCATTGGGGCATAATAATCATCAACAATTCAATTTGCTCTAAATTTTTGCTGCAGCTTCCCATTATTTTGACTCGTAGCCAGTTAGCACCGGAGCTGAGTGCTACCACAGCTTAAACTTTCTGATGATCTGTCAGTCAAAAATAACTTTAAGAAAGTGGAAATGAGAAAAGTTTCTGCCATAGCAGGGGATTATAGTGTATCCAAATTCATATCTTTCAGTTGCATATAATTTAATTGAATACTTATCATGTCTCTCAGTTGCATATAATTTAACTGAATACTTAAAGGTAAATGACCAAAAGAAATACTGAAGGTAAAAGCACAGTAATTAATAGGCTTACAGCTTCAATTCATTGAAACTGGGCAAGGGATCTAGTCAATCCAATTTTAAAAGATTCAAAATTTTGCTTTATAGAGTCTTCATATTTTATTTTATTTTATTTTTTGATATTTTTGGGTGTGGGTAGGATCAGTAACTCAAGAAGAGACACACTTTGGTACTGGATAAGAGTTGATCACTAATAAGTTCTTGTAATTACATCAACCAAATTGATGCTTTTGAATAAAATAAGCTAAAGTTGTGCTTTGAGAATTCATGGATCATATTAATGTCTCCATCTTGCATTTGAATGCAGCAGAATGCTTTAGTTTTCAGGTATCAAAATGCTTTCTTTCTTTTTCATGATACCGCATTCATGGATAGCTTCGTCCCTTTAACCATCATCAGAAAAGTAAATCCACGTTTTTGTTTCTTCTATTTTGAACATTCATTTTTATCTTCACCACAAAAGGATTTTTTGCTAGAGTTATAGGTTTATTGCTTTTACAGCTCTTCATCTCTAATTTCTACTCATTTTGTGATGAGAATTTTCCATTTAGAATTCATTTCACCTGCCAAAAGGACGTGTGTTATTGCCCCCCTGTTCTCGGTGTGTATGTGTGTGCATGCATGCCAAATGGAGTTTTAATATTGTTTTTTTTCCCTGTCTCTATGTAACCAATAACTTTTCTTTCCTCTAGTTGTCCTTGTTCTTGTTTCATTTTACTTTTGTGACTATTGCAGCTCTTTGATTGGATGCAACAGCACAGCAAAATCAGTGCTTCATCTTATAGCAGTTATATAAAGTTCATGGGGACAAGTCTAAACCCAGCAAAGGCGCTAGAAATATACAACAGCATTCCTGATGAATCAACAAAATCTAATGTCTTCATATGTAATTCAGTTCTTAGATGCCTGGCCAGGAATGGCAAGTTTGATAGCAGCATGAAATTGTTTCGTAAGATGAAGCACAATGGTCTAACGCCAGATGCTATTACATATAGTACGGTATGTAAAATTTGAAAGCACTGTTTAGTCATTTAAATTTGCAACTACAGCCAGAGAAATGAAGATAGAATTCAATGTTATGGTGGACACTATCACACTAATTGTGTTGGCATTTGGTTTATTTTTGCTTCTTGTCTAACAAGTGCTGTAAAAACATGCATCCATAATATGGCTCCAAGAGTGGAAACAGTTGCTGATGGTGACTGAATGAAGTGCCCTAAATCATTAAGGAGTATGGGTCTTAACATCCTCCTGTATAATGTTTTAGATATCAAGTTATGCACATGCAACTTTATGTCTTCCAGGAAAATATCTTTTAATGGTTTTTCTCTGGTACCATATAACAAACCCACGTGTAATAATGTGTTAAGTTATATACAACTTTATATATGCGTGTGTATGTATGATTTAGACCAAATCTTTATCTGTTGAGATTATTATTATTATTATTATTTTAAGTTGGTTGAGCCAGCACCCAATCCTGCTGCAGAAAGAGAGAATGTGTTCATTGAGAATTGATATGGTTAAATATTTACTCTATATAGGCTCAGCTACATTTCTGTACAGCATTTTAATCTATTGGGAATAGATGATTTTCTTGCATTCTAATTTTTCTGATTTCTTTCATTCACCATCGTCACTTTTTTTTTTTTTTGTTCTTAGCTGCTTGCAGGGTGCATGAAGGTCAAAGATGGGTATTCTAAGGCATTGGATCTGGTTCAGGAACTGAATTACAATGGACTGCAGATGGATAGCGTAATATATGGGACACTTTTGGCAGTTTGTGCTTCAAATAATCGGTGCAAAGAAGCACAAAGCTACTTTAACCAGATGAAGGCTGAGGGTCATTCACCTAATATATTTCATTATAGCTCGTTACTCAATGCATACTCTTTTGATGGAAACTACAAGAAGGCTGAGGAGTTGGTGCAGGACATGAAATCTTCAGGGTTAGTACCAAATAAGGTTTGTTTCATGTTTTTCTTGCCATGGGTTTTTAGTAGTGTAATATCTGTGCTTGTTTCCATTGCAATAAATATAATAAAATTCTGTATTCATTGTTCCTAGTCCAAGTGTCTATTCCTATCCTCTTATTTCCAGCTCCAAACTGACTTGGTTTCAGTGGCTCTGGATTGATGTTGGTTCAAATAATAACAATAATTGTGGGAAAAAAGTAATCAATAGCCTTTCCTAAATAGATCATTAAAAAATTACACGTATCAAACACCAGTTTTTAAATTTAATTCCACTGCTAGACTTCAATGGCTTATGCTTGTGGAAATAGTTATGGACACGCTTTTTTCCTTATCATCATGCCTTTGTTGTAGTTAAGAGGAAATTTGACCATAAAATATCTAATTGAGGTCAACCGTATACTTGTTGCGGAACATTGCTTTATAGCTTCTTTCATTTTCTTCTTGTTGCAGATTCAATTTTTCTTGATCTTTATTTGGTACATTGTGCTGCTTAGACCTTTTGATTTGATCTAGTTTTGTTTATTTGTCAACTAATAGATGAACATGAAGACCAATTCTTGGCCTTATTTGCTGCTTTTTTATCCCTTGGACTTTTTTATTTTCATGGTTTTCTTTTGCTTGTCAACAAATAAATCTATCATTAAACCTTGGCATCAGAGTTCTTAATTTCATTCTGAACATGCTTGCAGGTAATATTGACAACTCTTTTAAAGGTATATGTAAGAGGAGGCTTGTTTGAAAAATCCAGGGACCTTCTGGAAGAACTGGATACCTTGGGCTTTGCAAAAGATGAGGTAAATAAAGCCCAAACTGGCATATTTATGCTTGATCAAAGCTGTATTTTCTGTCTCTTATGTTTTTGAATGGAAATTTAGACCAAGGAAATTATATCAACAAATTGGGTGCAGGTTCAATATTTTCTGGAGTTTACAGCCATCCTTTTTTTTTCCCCATTTCTTCTATGCTTCTGTAACTCATTGCATGAAAATCAATTTGTAGATTCCCTACTGTTTATTGATGGATGGCCTTGCTAAGACTGGGCGTATAGATGAAGCAAGATCAGTTTTCAATGAAATGAAGGAAAAACGTGTTAAATCTGGTATGTAATCTATGGCATGTTGGGCATCTTACAATTCTTATCAGATACATATCTAAAACATCTGTGACTATGGATTTGGTAACCTGCTTGTGTTTGTTTGAAGAAGAAGCTTAAATGTCATTTATTTATTCATAGAGTTAATCTCTAAGGGTTTTGTCTTAAATTAAGTGGAAGCATATTTAACTTCATATATATGGTCTTCATCAAGTGTGCTGGTTTCATCTTGATAATCCTGGTTAATCCTCTGTCATCAATTTTGGGGATTGAAATTATTTGGCAATGGATTCAGGGTAAGTTTTTCTTTTTGGTTTTGGTTTTGATTTTATATTTGGCCCTAGCTTATAAAGCTCTGCTTTTTTCGGAGATTGGAGCCAATGTTACTACAAGAAGTTCACTACAATATGATGCTTGCATGGTTTATATGAACCTGTACCACTTTTAATGCGTGAACATTGATTTTGCTTGACCATTTTGTTTGTTTTATAAGCTGTCTGAACTACATTTGTTCATGACTACATTTTATCACATTCTCAGATTGCTAGAATATTTTGTGCATGCTTCTACAAGCTATACATTCTGTTGTTTTGTTTCAAGAGAAAAGCTACATTTTGTGAACATCAATCATTTTTCCCACCTTCAGGTGGCCATTCCTACAGTATCATGATTTCATCATTTTGCCGAGGTGGGCTTTTTGAAGAGGCAAAGGAGTTGGCTGAGGAGTTTGAAGCCAAGTATGATAAATATGACGTAGTTATATTGAATACAATCCTTTGTGCCTACTGTAGAGCAGGTGAAATGGAGAACGTGATGCGAACTATGAGGAAAATGGATGAATTGGCAATTATTCCTGACTATAATACTTTCCATATTCTGATCAAATATTTCTGTAAGGAGAAGTTATACATGCTTGCTTACCAGACCATGGAAGACATGCATGGGAAAGGCCATCAACCTGTAGAGGTATGCTTGCTTTTGATTTAGAACTAACTGTTTGCTAAGAGACTTCTGAGACAGCCCCTTTCATTTATTTATCCATTTGGTTTCTTTTCTAAAACGGTTTGAAGTCTTTGATGTTATTGACTATTGAATTTACACATGATCATGCAAATCATAAGTGTACTTCGTTAATTATCCTTTGTGGATTTGCCAGTTCATATTTGTTAGAAATGATATGCAGTACCGAAAGAAAGGTCTTTGATGTTATTGACTATTGAATTTGACATGATCATGCTTCCACTCTCAATAAAAACGTTATTGTTGCTATCATGAGATAGAAGCCGATTCAGTACTTGCTAGTAACCTTTGAAAATGGGCTGCAATCTGTAATTTAGAATCAATAAATTCACCTGAAGGATTGTGACTTTGAAACTTCTAACATCTATTCTTTTTCCAGGAGCTTTGTTCCTCATTGATTTTCCATCTTGGTAAAATTAAAGCCCATGCAGAAGCCTTTTCTGTTTATAATATGTTGAAGTATAGCAAAAGAACAATGTGTAAAGCCTTTCATGAGAATATTTTACACATTCTTATTGCTGGAAGGCTTTTCAAAGATGCTTATGTAGTAGTTAAGGTATGCTATACCTTCTTGAAGATTATTGGATATATTTTCCGTTCTTGCTTTTATTTATTTTTCTAAAACACTCTTGTCAGGATAATGCAGAATTGATCTCTCCAGCTGCAATTAAGAAGTTTGCAAACTCATTTGTGAAGCTTGGTAACATCAATTTAATAAATGATGTTATGAAGGTTATTCATGGTTCTGGATACAAGATTGATCAGGTAAATATGATGGTCTTATCTGAAATTATGTTTGGAAATATTTTGCTTGTTTTTGTTTGAGGGAGAAGCTTGCAGTTCAGTCGTTACTGCTAGTTCATATTACTATGCCGAACTCATTATGCATATTAGGTTGTGGGGACTCTATTATAAAGATAAAATGCATCTTGGGAATTGTAAATGCTAGAGGCATCAAGATGATTTCCTGTATCATATTGAAAAAAGTTTTGCAGCTTTCTTTCTATAGTCTTAGATGGCATCAGATTACAAGATGGTCTCCAGTTGAGATAAGAAGAACCAAGGGTAGAATTCTGAATTTTACCCGTAAGTATATGGGTTCTATCAATTACCCCGGACATTTTATGTCTATGCCAATAAGGTCTTTTGTGTATCTATGTTAGCAAAACTAATGGAAAATGCTTTTTATTTTGCGAACTTCAATTTCCTCTCAAAAGTATAGATGGCTTATCAGTTAGCTCCTTAAACAAATTTTAACATGATTCATTTTAAAGATAAACACAGAATTTGATCTTGAAAGCAAATTACTTGAAAAATAATTTAAAAAAGGCATGAAAAATATAATTTATGAATTTCAATCAATAAAAGAAAGGTACAAAACAAAATTCACTTAAGATTTTTTTAAAAAAATTCGACCAATTAAAAAATGAAATTGAAAGCCACGTTCGCTTTAGATTCAATCAATAAAACTTTTTTTTATATAGATAGTTCATTTTGAAAAAGAAAAACACATTCAACATGCTAAATGTACTAATTTTATTTGTGGTTGTCCTCCATAATCCAAAGAAGTTAAGTTGGGTATGCACACACATTAGAACTTGCAATTCCCAAAGTCAGCAATTGCATTAACTCTTGAGGAATATGACTTTGAGTAGTTGATAGATAAATGCACGGCATGCAACTTGGGAGTCCAATTTCCCTTGCTCCTTTTCCCTCTCTTATCCTATAATCTAAGTCACTTTTCAGCATAATCAGCTATCTTCCTGTCACAGGGATTATTTCAGATGGCGGTGTCACGTTACATTGCTGAACCTGAAAAGAAGGACTTGCTTCTACAGTTCCTACAATGGATGCCAGGCCAAGGTTATGTTGTTGATTCCTCAACAAGAAACCTGATCCTCAAGAACTCACACCTATTTGGTCGCCAGCTCATTGCTGAGATCTTGTCCAAGCAGCACATGATGTCAAAAGCTCTGAGATCTCATTAGACGAAAGGAGGTTAAGGTAATCCAACTTTTGGTATCCTTTTCTAGCAGTTTTAACCCAGTGGGTTGCTTTTTTTCTCTCCATCTTTTATTCCAAACTGCTTTTCATGAATACCTTGTAGATTGAACAATTGGTTCTGACTATAAATGCATATGACCAGATTTACAAGTGTTTCTGTTTTAATGTAACAAGTAATCATCACCACAAAATAAAAGGCAATCAGTGATCATGATGCTATTTGATGACAACACTTTTTATTAAAGCATTGATGCTGCCTAACGATCCAACTTTTATGACCATGGTTGTTTCTGCTGGCTATAGATTTTTTTTTTAAAACTTTTGAACAGAAACTGCCTATACATGAACAATTGATATGTTTATATTAAATGATGGGACCATTTCTCGTTCTACGATTAAAATACATGTACAACAAATCCATCGCAATGTCTCAAGAGATTTTAGATCCTTTGATCCCATTTCCCTCAATGTTATATAGGTGTTTCTTTTCCTCTTTCTCTCCTCCATCCTTCCACTGGCAACTTATCACTTCTTGGAACTAGGGCCTTGAGTGTCCTATGTTGGGCATGGCCAAACCACTTTTTGGCAGATGTGTTTATGTCATGCCCCAAGTCCAGGGGCTGGGTCGCAACCTGAACAGTCGCACTATGGGTGCAACACTGAATTGGATATATTGTCCTCATTAGCGAAAAATAATTCCTTCATAAGATATTTCTTATGCCTCATTCAATTTCTTCATAACCCTCCCATGTGGGATATGCAGCATCACATTCTTTCCCTCCTTTTAAGTGTGCGATGTCCTCATTGCATCATGACCTCAGATTTAGGATTGGACTTGCATCAGAACTGCCCAACAAAGATATATTGAATAAAGGATCTTTATTTAGGACCTTAGCTTGATCTAGAAAAGTCAGCTGATCTGATCAGCAAAGATCGATCTCATTATTAAGGTTTCTTGTGTATTGATGCTTGCAGATAGAGTCAGTAAGTTTATCGGTTTGCATGTATTCTTGACAGGTTTAGTGTTGTTGAGTTCTAAACTCTCTCTATATATATATATTTTTTTCAAGTTTAAGTTTTATGAGTTTCTTGGGATACCCAAATGTATGTTCTGTTATCTAGCTCCTGGAGTTTGACTGGTAAAAGTCATACTTAAACCCTACTTGAATTCTGTCTTATATTTGTCAGCATATTTCTCTCTCTGTTGATTTTCACATGATTATTGATTTCTACCTCTTTATTTCCATAGGAAACAGTTTGACAGAGAGCTTGGAGTCGGCACTTTTCCCTCTTTTAGTGATGCGAATTCCCATTCTAACAATCTTAGCAAAAAGAACTTAGGAGGAAATGGCTGACAAGGACAAGATACATTGTCTTTTCTCTTGCTGGAATTGACGCAATTCCATTCTAAGGAACACAATTAAGTTATTGTACTGCACATGATCTCATTGTTTCTGATTCTTTTAGAACAGAAAGGAGCTGGTTTGTGAGGCAATATTTCATCAACAAAGAATTGAGGATTTTTCCAGCTAATGCCAAACTGGGTGAAAGGGTTTGTAATCTATCAAAAGCCAAAGAGAATGCATCGCTCAGCTGGTACAAATACACCGTCAATAAAACGGCAGGACCGTCCTAGGTATGTTGCTACTGTGTATTTTGCTGTAGTGGCCCTTCATAAAATCTAGAGTATTGTTAAATATATTTGTATCCATTTGTTTTCGAGGATATAATGAAGTGCTATATTTCCCAGTTCAGAGGAATTTGTTGAGATGTACCTGCTTTAGTCTTAGATTGCTGATAAGATGAACAATTGAAATTAAGACATGCTCATGACTAAATGGCTTCATTTTCACCAGTTACTAAATAGAGATCAACCTACTAATAGAGGATGGTTTCTCATGGGATATCCTTGCTTCAGCATATGTTTCAAATTTACGACTAACGTAAGAATGCCCACAGGGCAAATGTATCTAGCCTCGTCCTAGAGAACATAAATAGGAACCGAGTGGTCATGGCACATTTGGTATCTGTACAGGATACAAATGAATTCTATCTGACCAAGCATTTCTTTCCTTTGGATCGAGAACCGAAATGGATCTCCAAACTGCACTATTACACTTAAAACCACTTCCAAATGCTATTTGCCAAATTTTGTCTCCCTTCTTCACCTTTCCCTTGGCTTCCAGATAGCAGAGTTCGTACCAGACCGAAGAAGATGACGTGTTACCAAATCTATACAGCGTCATCCTTGAAGCTTCTCCATCTTCCTTTTGCAGCTTCAGATTACTCTCCACAGCATCAATTATAGCCCTTCCCCCAGCATGTATACAGAAATGCTTGAAAGCCTTCTTAAAATTCGGCACATATATTTCCTTTTGTCCTGCTGTAACCCAAAGTTTCCGACGAATAATTGCCCACCCATATTGAAGCTGTTCATAATACGGCAAGACAAGAGGGCCAAGCTCAGATATATTGGTTCTTAAAGCATTGCCTGCGACATGTAAAAGGGCCCTTGATAGTGACACTCCTATGAACCCTTCTTCATCATCTTGTTGAATGACAGAAGTGTATGATCGGTCATCGGATCCCATGTGGGTACGTACAAGGTGCTGGAGCTTGTACTTTGCTCTCCGTCTATCTTGCTTCTTGTTTGACAGCAGAATAGCAGCTCCACCCATACGAAATATAGTGTTGGTTACAAGCATCGACTTGGTTTTACCTACATAACCATTCGGTGTCACAGCTTCCATGCTCAGAACTAAAGCCAACGAGTTCTTGTGAACTTTGAAGAGTTCTTTAGCCAAACTTATCGACAAGAGTCCAGCACTGCACCCCATTCCACTTAGGCTGATGCTCTTTATGTTGCTTCGGAACCCAAACTTGTTTGTGATCATTGCTGTTATGGATGGAGTAGGACAGAAAAGGCTGCAGTTGGATATTAGAATATCGATGCTCTTAGGACTGATGTTGTGCTTCGACAGAAGATCTTCAACGATTGTGAAGAGAACTTGCTCTACCTCTTCTCGAGCTGGTTTAAACGAAGAGTTAGGTGGCAGCTCATGCACTGCAATAGGCATGTAAGCTTCATCTCCTATGCCTGATCTTTCCAACACTCTCTCTTGGAAATCACTGTAGTCTGTACTGAAGGTACCACTTGTATGCAAATGTTCTACGAAATTGGAGAATGGGACTCGCAAGTTATCTGCTGGAAGATAACAGGTGAAGTCAATGAGATAAACACAATTGGATCTGAGAGCAAAGTAGATAATTGCAAGCATCAAAGTGATTACAAGGAAGAAAGGAGCGAAGGAGAAAGGAGCTTCAAGGAAATGTGCTAATATTTCGGCTCCCATTGTTGGAAACTTGAGTTCGACTTCCTTTGCTTGTTTCAATTACTTCTTGGGAGATGAATGTGAGTTCTTTTATGCTCATGCCATTGAAAAGAAGTTTTAAGAAGCAACTTTTTATTGATAGGCACATGGATGGAATGGGGTGGTCGATCAAAGCTACCGTTTCCTAATTGAAATCCCATCCTACTAGAAGAGGAAAGATAAAGGCAACCTCATTTGTATAATCAGTTAAGTCACTAGTCACAACAGATACATGCACACATAGATCACAACATATACATGCACAAAGAGGACAATCAAAATCAGATTGAAAAAAAAAAAAAAAATTAAAGTAAAACAATGGATTACTATTCACTATACCATTTGAAACACTGTTTATTCAGATTTATTTGTACTATTCACTAAGATTTAGATGCATTATTCATTTCACTATGTAATGCTATTTTTGTAATTTTTAAACATTTTAAAAATATTTATTATCAAAGTTTTTGTGACATTATAATTTGGTTCTTTTTTAAATACTGTTTTTTTAGCTCGTAAACATTTTTTGTTTAGTTTTGATCCCTCTTTTTTATTTCATTATCGTCATTTTGGTCTTTTCTTTTTGTTTTTCTCTGATTTTTTAATTAAAAAGTTTAAGGCAAAAAAATGTTTAGAAAAAACAATTTATAAAATAAGTTTTTAACTAAGAATCCATTGATTTTGACATTTTTTATACTATTATAAATTTTTTAGCTTTTGGATAGATATAAATAAATATTGTTTTTTAATAAAAAATTATGAAAAATATAAAGAATAATTAGTAAAATACAAAGTTTTGTTTAAAAAATTATAAAATTGAATGAATTTTTATTCATTTTTAATTTAATATATTTTAGTATATGAACAATATAACACGAAACATTAAACTAAAATAATTTTTAAAAAATAATTTTATATGTTTTGTTCGATTCCGAAGTGAGTAAAAAAACTAGTAAAAAAGTAGAAAGGAATTCATAGGCCAGAAGCAGGAAGCCATGCCAAACATAAAAGATTCTTTTCTCTTCCAAATATTTGATCCCTTTACAACCCATAAATCCGTCTCTTAGATCACTTACAAATATTTTGTCCTGGTGTTAGAAGATGCTTGAGCGAAGCAATCAACCTATCCATGTTGGAAATATTCAGAGGATTCTCAAAAAATTCTGAATTTGGTGGGCATTGTGGCAGAGAATAAAAGAGTTTGCCTTTGAGCTTTGAAGTGGCTGATTTTGCATGTTACCAGAACTAAGAAAGGATAATACAAAATACTTAAATCTCAAATCGATCGTTTAGTCACCATCATAATGATTATCACAATAATAAAATAACGGTTATGACAGTTATATAGTGTTGAATAACGATAACAGAGTATTTCAAATTTGTTATATAACGGCCATTGCAAAACATATCAGCTGTTATTTAAATCTAAATCAAATCTATACGGATACCTATAAACGGTGCTAACCTGCAGTTGTCCAGGTTCCTTTCTTTCTTTGCTGGCATGTACTTCAACCTTCCAGGAGTTGCAACTACAATGTGGACAACCTTCTTCACAGCCTCCAACTGCGACCTCGTATCCACTCCACCAATACATAGTAATGGCCTCACTTCTGGATACCCAGCCTCTCTCATCGGAATCAAAAATTGTTCCACAACTTTATAAGATTGTCTGGCAATCACACCAACAGGGCCTTCTCCAGGCATAATGGGCATCGCAATCTCTACCTGTCAAGCAGTCATCATCAGTGGAAGCACAAACACAAGCGTCTTCCCGGATCCTGTAAAGCCAACCCCAATCATGTCCCTTCCTGTTAAGATACAGGAAGACCTTGCACCTGAATAGGAGGAGTAGGTTGCACGAATCCCTTTGGTTTTTATCTTTTTTCAAATAGCTCAGGAAAGCCTCATATCTTCAAAATTCTTAATCGGTGGAGGAATTTTTCACCATCAACTGATATGTCACTGTTTTCGAATAGCATCGCATTCCTTTCTGAACATTACCCTGATTTCGGATCAACAATGGCAAACACTAAAATAACTTCGCTACCAAGATCATCCAGGCCTCTTTAGAAAACTTGGGATTGATTTTTAATTTTTAAAAAATAAAAAAATATACTTCTTGATTTTGAAAAATTTTGGATTTTTTTTTTATAAATAAATTGTGCTTTTCTCGCCGTGAATGCAAAACATAAACTCAAAATATGGTTGAAAATTAAAGAGGGGATTAAATTAAAAAAAAAAAATCAAACATAAAATTAAAAGTTTAAATATTATTTTTTAAATAAATTGAAATTCATGAGAGGTTTGGTCTATTAGACCAAACAAAACTAACAGGGAAAATCTTGATTTTTCCTTCTTGTCCTCAATTCCTTTCTTATAAAGAAAATATCTTCCAATCGCTTAAAAGTTGAGCAGAGGTTTTGCTTAACACGAGAATGGAGACTCCATACCCAGAACCCATAGCTCCAGCCAAAACGCGCATAGGCTGGATAGGGATAGGGGTGATGGGCGCTGCCATGGCATCTCGCCTTCTCTCTGCTGGCTACTCTATCACCATCTATGCTCGCTCTCCATCAAAAGCCCTTCCATTACAATCCAAAGGAGCCCAACTCGCCAATTCCCCTTACGATGTCGCCAAATGCAGTGACGTTGTCTTCACCATGGTGGGACACCCATCAGATGTTCGATCAGTTGTTCTTGACACTAATCACGGCATTCTTGCCGGCCTTAATCCCGGTGGCGTCATAGTGGATACCACCACCAGTTCACCTGCTCTGGCCCGCGAAATCTTCCAAGCTGCCAAAGCCAAAGGTTGCCATTCTATTGATTCTCCGGTTTCTGGTGGTGATATCGGTGCTAGAGATGGTAAGTTAGCTATATTTGCTGGTGGGGATCAACTTGCTGTGAATTGGTTGTCTCCTCTGTATGAGGTTTTTGGTAAAGTTACTTATATGGGCCAAGCAGGGTGTGGTCAAAGTTGCAAGATAGGGAACCAGATTGTAGTGGGTGCTAACTTGTTGGGTTTGAGTGAAGGGCTGGTTTTCGCCGAGAAAGCTGGTTTGGATGCGAGGAATTTCGTGGATGCAGTGAGGACAGGGGCAGCGGGGTCTATGGTGATGGAGTTGTTTGGGGAGAGAATGATCGAGGGGGATTTCAGGGCTGGTGGGTTTGCTGAGTATATGGTGAAAGATATGGGAATGGGTGTGGATGTTGTGGAGGAGAGTGACGATGAGAGGGTGCCTGTCTTGCCTGGTGCTGCTTTAGGCAAGCAGTTGTTTGCTGGGATGGTGGCAAATGGAGATGGGCATCTTGGCACCCAAGCTCTCATAACTGTCATAGAGAGGCTTAATGGCAAGTAAGACTTTCTTGTGTCTCATTCTGGCTTATGAGCTAGCAGCAGCTATGTGTTTGAATCAATCCATTTATAGCTTGAATATACCTGTGTGGACTAAGATGAAGAGGTTGGTGTAGTGTAGCATGTATTATGTTCTCTTCTGCACATCAAAACTACATAACTCTGAACTTTGTGAATAAGTTGCTAGAATACATGTTCTCTTCTGCCCATCGAAACTACATAACTCTGAATTCTGTGAATAAGTTGCTAGACTGGTTTTGTGTTCTATGCAAGTGAAACTAACTTTGTGAATAAATAGCATCTGTCATTGCACAATAGCTTATCTCAAGGATCAAAATAGTAAAATGCTGGATATGTGTTGATTATGGCTTATATTTAGATGGAAAATAATGCTAGTTAGACCCAGAATTGATTAAGGTATTTGGTAAATATCTTGACGAGTGTAAACGGCATGTGGCTATTGCATATTAGTGTTGATGGTTGGCACTGTTGCTGCCTTTCTCATCTGGAACTACGCAACTTTTTGCAGTTAGTTTTACAGAAACTTTCATATGTATTCTGCTTAAATTAACCATGCATGGAAATCAATATGTACAATTTATGTCTCTGTTAGTGTTTGAAAAATTAGAAATGAACTTGAAAAATTGATGGTTTATACTATACTTAGTTACTATTAAGATTTCTGTTTCATTGAAGAATTTCAATATCGGAAGTTGAGATTTGAAGAACAAGGTAACCTTATTTAAAAGAAATGTTGTGCATACAAAATGTTATTAGGAACACATCTTACTTGCTGATGTGATCACTTTTGTTGTTGTTTTAAGACTCATCTTATTTGCCGTTCAAACTTCATCCTCATTTCTGCACAAAATTTTAATCTGAGTTTTTTTTAATGTAAAGAATCAAACAAAATATTTTGCAGAGTTTGTACAGCTTCCTTTTTGTACAAAATTACAGAAGTACAGTTTTTTCTTATTTTGTCTGGTGGCTCTGATTTCTGATCACCTCTCTTATGGTTCAATTGGATAATTTTCTCTCTTTTAGCCCTCACGTTTTGACATTATTTGTCTTATGCCCTCCTTCAGGTGATTTAATCTTGTTCCTTAAGAAAGGAATCAGCCTCTCTTATTTTGGTTCATATGACGTCTCTCTCTCGTTTTGCACATACCATGTCGAACCTCTCTTTATAAAGAAGTCGAAGTCTCTTTTATTAGTCTTCTGTAATTTAATGAAATTTTCAGAGGCTGAGAATCCAAAATTATGATTATATTGAAAACCTCATGAGTTTCTACCCAAAACTTGAAAAGTTAGCAAATTCTATGAGAATTCAAATATTACTGGTTCAATTTTAAGTTGTTGGTCAAAGTTTACTAAATTTCTGATTCAACCATATTTGTAAAAGCCTCATGGCCGACATCAGATAATCCAATTATGAAACAAAACGTGGCCCTTGCTAGCTGAGAAAATGAGATTGGAATGGGAAGTATACGGGGGCAAAGGAGAAGAAAAATTGAAAGAAAGATGATGAATTCGTACTAGTGAGAGAAAGGAATGGAAACAAAAGGGCAAATGGTAAAATGAATTGAATTTGTACTAGCTAACAATTAAGTTTAATGGTAAAAATTGTTTGTGTTATATTGCAATTTGGTATTTTTAAGTTTTTATTATTACTTTACGTAATTTGAATCTTAAAATATCAATTTTTGAGTAAATCTTATCCAAAGAGTATTTTTTTTTCGTTATTTGCAATGATCAACCCAATTGACCGTTAATTTTTTTTTCCGTTGGTAATTTTTTAAAAAAATTTAAAAAATATTTTTTTTCTATTTTTCAAGAGATTTTCTTTTCATGCATTTACCTATAAATAAATAAATAAAACCATTAATTTTATCACTAAACTTTTTTTGTCTTCCAAGAAAAGAGCTTTCACTTTTTGAATCTATTTTTAAAAAACTAAAAATAAAATAACTTAGAAAAATTTTTAAAAATAGTTCTCTAATTTTAACAATTTTAAATGCATATTATATATTTGAATCAATTGTGAAAACACAAAATCCTATAAAACATGTTAAGATGAAAAAAAATATTAAATAGTTATATTTAAAATTTAATGATCGATAATCACAAGAATAAATTTATTGACATGAAAAAAAAACTTTAAATTAAAATTAATTATTTGATAATTTTAATTGATCAAATTCAACCAATAGATATTTATATTTTATTAATCATAGAAGTTGATTGTTTTAATGGATAATAATTCCACATAAAAGTTTTTTTTTTAAATTAAAAAAAGCTATATACAAATAATAATTTGATTGAATGTAGAAAATCAAAGGGATTAATATGTGAAAATTTTAAATATAATCTCTCTTAAAAATAGAGAAAAATCATTTTAACTTTCTTTTTTTTAATAATGAAAAAAATTAACAATTGAAAAAATATTAATAATCAACTAGATTAATTCTTACAAATAATAGAGAAAATACAATTTGGATAACATTTGCTCAAAATACAACTTGGATGACATTTGCTCAAAAACCAATATTTTAGGATTCAAATTATGCAAATTGATAACAAAAACTTGAAATTACCAAATTGCAATAAAACAGGAGCAATTTTTGCCATTAAACCTATCAATAAGGCTATATATTGCTCTATTAGCATTAGCATTATTCTAGGAAATAGAGATGTAGACAGAGTATAAACTTCACTTTTATGTTTAATTCATAGGCTAGGAAATCAATTGATTGTAAGTTATTTGTAGGTTTTGTTTCTTACCATATCCGCTTTCAATGTACAACTAGCTTCTCCATTTAGCTGGAATGTTATATACTTTTGGCAAGTCAATATATGGATCATGCCATGATTGTGATTCAAGATGAGCGAACAAAAGCTTCTTTCAAGAGAAGATTCCTAGAAAGTATATATTTGTAAACCCACAACCAACCTGAGTGGGAACGATGGGCATGATTCTAACCACGGCTAAGGGGTTACGGTGCCAAAATTTCCCAACGTTGTTATAAAAGATGAGAAAGGGAGGGCAAGTAGAGAGAGAATGGAGTACCTACATTTATAGATGGTGTTGCCGTCCGTCGAGTGAGATAATTTTCCCTCCGTTTGCATTCTTTTACTGAACAAAGGAAATTTTCGTTATCCTTGCAATTTATTTCCCTTCCATTTTTTTCCTCCTCTTCATACCCTCTACCCGACAAGAGGCTAGATTAAGCCTTATCAATGATATAATTGGTTTTTAGTTGGGAACTTACAAAAAAATTAATATGGCTATGACTAAGATTAAACAACTTTCAGCTTTTGGTCTAAATACAAAATGTACATGTTTGTATCAAAAGTCATAAACGCAATTAAGATGTTTCTTCAACTGGAACACTAGTGTATGTACAAGAGTAACTCTCCACCTTTGAATCATTCTCTCTTATCCTAGTCCAGGAAATCTTCCAGGTCTTGAACAGACTTATCCTACATGCAAAGATTCATTTTAATAACAGTTAAGCGACAGTGAGGTGCTTTGAGAGACCAATATATATATATATATAGTTTCAACAAACCAAGGTATAGAGCTTCACAATAATTTTCTGGGAATGCACTTTGTCAAAAAAGTTCAGTAAATGAAAAATGCAATTGATATAAAACATTAGGTTGCCAAAATATGGCCAAAAACAGATGGAGAAAATTTAAAAAGAACACAGTACAGAAGAAACAATAAAAACTAGGGAATGACGGACCTCATAAACCTTCCTATTTTTTTTGTCATGACTGATGACTAAAAATCAAGAATAGAATAAAGATAACTTCAAGTTCATTAGATTTTGTTGATTTTTGTCTAACATTTGATTGGCTTGAAATGTTAATTTAATATGAACCTAGGTTTAGAAAGTGACATGCAGTTCAGTCCACTAGAAAGCGGCACTGTCAGAATTTTCTGCTCAAATTAGATGGCTCCTTTAAGTGAATGTCGTTCTAAAGTAGTCCAAAACGATCCTCTTTTAACATAACATATTCTAATATCATTAGTCATTAGAATTCGATATTTATTCCCCTGAAAAATTTTTGAACTGGTATACAAAAACAAGTCAACCACAAGAAAGGCAAGTCGAGAAATTCACTCTCCTATACAACAAAAATGACGGGGGTAGCATGGGCGCTACTGAGTATCACATATTTTGGCAGGTGCTTTACATGCTAAATGACTTCCACACCATCCGCAGACCGAGATTTAAATGGTAGATAATAGGAATCTATGGAAATTTATTAGCACTTTAACAGTTGGTATGGACAATCAAGTCTAACAACGTATACCGGAATCATCATAATTGCATGCACAATCCAATTTCCAGACAGTATGATGGCAGGAATGGTTGGGAAAATGAGATACCATGAGAAAAGCTTCTACAGGAGCAGCAGATACAAAGGTAAACATCTGTGGAATTCTAAATTTCGCAATCAAAGAAAATTAGTAAGTGAAAAGTTTCTTTGTTTACTATCTCATCTACTTCTGTAGTTACTAACCAGAGGTCACTTTTGATAGGTAACAAGGCAAACACAGTTGATGGAAGAGAGCGAAATTGAGCAATTAATAACCTTTGGACAAACTCATTCATATATCTAAGAAAAATAACAGCATAAATGGAAAAGTAGTGAGAAGAAAACCTTTCTGTTTCAATACTTCTCTTTGCCAGCATAAGCGTCAAAAACACAGGAACCATCGCAGCACATAAATGCTTCAGAGTATGTCCACTAACTATATGATGAGTCCATTTGTATATGGGTTTATCTGCTGCTTCTTCCACCTTAGCTAAAAGATAAAAACCTGAAAGCAAAGGCATAGATCAATGTCAGCAAGCAAATACTACAGAAGAAGTTCCATTCTTGGGGAAAGTAGTAATGGAAACACAAACCTGCTGCCCAAAGCCAATACATGGAATGAGTGTACATTGGAGGCAACAAGATAGCCATTAGGGGAATGGCAATACAAGGAACAAACTGAACTAGAGCATACGGTCGAAGGTCATCAAAAAATCTGTATCGGAAATCAATAATCAGTTAGAGATTAGATAAAAAAAAATAAAAAATGAAATAGACTGAGAGGGCTCTCACCTCCAATAAGCAATGCTAATAACACCTGCCAAAAGCAGAGGGATAATGGAAACAGTTCCCTTTCGCTCGTCAATCCTTTCAATGATAAAAATGGCAACAATTGAAGTGAAAGCAACAGTCATCTGCATACCATAGCATAGCATTTGTTTATCTAATTTTAGAGATACTTAAAAACACTTATCGTAAGTAATTAAAAAGTTAAAGTGACTGACAGGCAAGCGATCCCAGACAAGACGATCGTCATCAGGCTTAAGATGGTAATAGCTAGAGCCAAAAGCAACAGCAGCCACACCTATGAAAAAACATGTCCACCCCCATACCTCACCTTGCAACCTTTCCGTTTCATTTAATTTTAAAAATAATTATTAAAAACAAAACCAAATTGAAAAATCATTAATGAGGAAAGCAGAAGCAGAAGCAGCAAACCCTAACCTGAGTTGAAAATAATTGCGATAATGACAAAGAATAAGGCCAATCAGACCAATAACAAGGAAAGGAAAATTCGAAACCACATTCAGTGTATTCGGTATCCCTGAAATCAATAAAAATCAATCATACAACCTCTTCATTTTCCTATCGTTGGAGCTTCTAATAACAATTAAAATTTATAATTATTATAATTACCCAAGAATTCACGCTGATCAGCGAAATCGTGGTATTCCTGAGATTGAGGGATGGCTGGAGTCACCGCCATGAGTATTATGAAGCACAAAATCGCTACGACCCATGCGTAGACACTGCGTTTATTCATTTCTTCTTCTTCTTCTTCTTCAATTCCTCCCCTCTCTCTATCTCTCGGTGCAGAGTTGAACTTCGGAGAGAGAATTCTTATAAGAAAGACATTTATTTTTTTTGACCAACGACTAGTCGTCTGTCTCTCGTAGTGCTTCTATTCCATTACCAAAAAAAAAAAACAATCACATACGTACATGTGGCATCCACTCGTGATCGAATGCTTAAAGTTTAATTTTTCACAAAACCGGTTCTGTGATTAAATTTCTTTAATATTAATATTGTCCAATATCAAAATTAAAAATGCACTTCAGAAAAGTGATTAATTTCTAGTTTTTTATTTTATGAATTAATTAAAGTACTAATCTGGTGGAGGTAATATTAACAAATAAATAAATAAAACATAATATTAGTTTATTATTCATTTGCAGTGTTCCATCTTTTTTAAACATTGTTTCTTCAATTCGTAATTTTTTTATTCCACTTTTTTTTTTCATTTTAGTCACTTTCATCCTTTTTTTCTTTTTAATTAAAAATTTTAAGATAAAAAAATATTTAGAAAAAATAATTTACAAAATAAAGTTTTTATTTAAGAATCCATTGATTTTGATATTTTTTCTTAAATTATTATAAATTTTTTAATTTATAATGTGGATAGAGATAAATAAATAATATTTTTTAATAAAAAAATTTATGAAATATAAAGAATAATTAATCAAATATAAAATTTTGATTAAAAATTTATAAAATTGAATGAATTTTATTCAGTTTTAATTTGATATATTTTGATAGACTCACAATATAACACAAAACGTCAAACTGAAATAATTTTTTTAAAATAATTTTATGTGTTATTTTTAATTTGCAGCATAACGCAAGTAAAAAAACTAATTTCAACTATAAAGAAAATTTTTATTATATTAATTACAATTTTTGTACTTTAAAAATAAAAATTCAGTTAGATTCCAGATATTTAATTGCAATCATCAAATTCATAATTTTTTGAAATTTCAAGATTGACATTAAACCAATTGGACATATAAGGACCAAAATAAAATAAAAATAAAAATATGAGAACTAAAATTTCCCACAACTCTCCTATAGCGGTGGAGCTCACTCCGTATGAGTAGTGAACCCACGTAGCCAATGATCTCCAGCATCTCCAATAACAAATTTCATTAAAGTCCTTTTTATTTTTATTTTTTCTTACGGCAACTCTATTTTCAATAATTAAGTTTTGTGGATTCAATATTACCTTTTCAATATAATTGATTATAAATATGCGATATGAATTAATTTTTGAGAAAGTTTTTTTTAGATCTTTTATTGTCGCAGCAATTGTCGAAGAAAAGCTTATTAAGGCTGTGTTTGTTTGGGGGAGAACAAATTCTTGAAACTTTTTTTTTTTCGAGTGTTTGTTTCATATTCAGAAAAAAAAATCAATTGAAAATGATTTCAAATCAACAGAAAATGATAGGATAATTTTGGAAAAATGTTTTCCCAGTTTTAAAAGAGGAAAACATTTTCTTTCTCACGAGTTGTCTCGCTCTCTTGTTACTTAACTCTCTCTCGATATATTTTAACAATTTTTTTCTCTATCTTCTTTTTATTTAAAATATATCATATTAATTTTTAATTATTTCTTATCAATTATTTATTTATTTTTTCTCCATCTTTACTAATATTTGATTTTTTTTATTTATAGATACATTAAATATTCTTAAAAATCATTTTTACACCTTAAAATTATTTTTATAATAAATATTTCAATAACTTATCTCTTTTTTTTACTATTGTCTCAAACACTACCTAAGCTATAGTTAAATGATCGAAAATGATTATTACAAGACTATAATTTTTTGTAAAAAAAAATTAAAATTAATTAATTCATTAATAAATATATTATTTTTTCAACACTATTCATTTGCAATTAAATCAATAATTTGTAATTTTAATCAATTGTAAAATTTTGTTGGTAATTGTAATGAATAATTAGTTACAAATTATTCCAACATTAATCTTTTGAGATCAAATAAATAATTATCTATAAATGATAACTAATAATTTATAAAATTATTTTTTAGAATAAATTATCAATTCAATTTCTTAAAAAAAAAATTCTTAATTGAGTTACTAAAATAATAATGCTAGGATTACTTAGAATCTTTTTTTACTAAATATGAATATTGACTTAATTTTATCCCAAGTAATTTTGATGATTTTGTTTGATTGTTAAAAAAGTACATTTTATTTTTTGAATTAAAATTTTAGAGTTAGTATTGATGAAAATTTATTAAATTTTTCTAAATGTATCTTATATTATGAAATTATGAATATGTCTTTTTTAAAATTTTTTCAAAACTTGTTGATATAACAATCACATAAGTTTGTGTATTTTAATTTTCCGTATCAAACAAACGTTGGAATATATTTTTCAGTAGTTTTTTTTATATAATTGTCAAATGGCTGAAAATATGTTCTTGGAAAACAATTTTCAGGAAAATAGCTTCCTCGGGAATAGGTTTTTTTATGAAACTTGTTTTCCCTCAAACAAACACAGACCTAAACTAAAACAAAAATTGCAAGTGACATGAAACAAACATAAATTTGTTGTTTCATTCAAAAAGTTTTGTTGTAATTCATATGAAACACATATATTTAAAATTGATCACGAGTATTTTGATAAAACAAGTATTTACATTTTGTTAGAATGTATTTGATGGATTTGAAATGACATCTGCTAAAATAAAGTTCAATCTTTACTTTTTAAAAATTTTATTAATAAGTTAAAATAGTTTAATTTAAAAGAGTCAAACTTTTTTCAATTGAAATCTTATTATTTAAATATAGATGATACGAGCATGATTCCAACAATTAAGAACCATACTCGTTTTACTATAAATACCGATCTCACATCATTGTGAGAATGTGAGGAGAATTGAAATTTTAATTTCTAGAAAAACCTCTAAACACATTAACTCTCAAAATTCTTCCACGCACATATTAGACAACATTTTAAATTTTTTTTGGAACTTCTAGTGTATCATAAGTCCAAAAATCCAAATTAATCTTTCGCTGTTCTATCGGATATATAAAGTTTTTGTAAACATAAGGACTTGAATTTGAAACCAATGGCCTAAGCCATTGGAGTCCGTTCCACTTAAATCAACTCTCTTGGATGGATAGCTTTTAAACTTTTAACTCATCTTAACTCTTCGGTTGATCAACATTAACTCATCCATTTACCTTTAGCTTTAACTCATCTTAACTCATTCATATATCATGCACCTTACTAGCAATGTCTATTTTTTTCTCACGCCTCTCATTATTTGCATCTATTTTATTTAGTTGATTGAGTCTATTTTATTTAGTTGGTTGATTGAATGTTATTTTTACAGATTACAACACTAACTCTCTATATCTTAACTAGTCAACCAATTTTTTCGTACATATCCTTGAAAAGGTGATTAAACCGTTCTAACATATTCAAATTTTAGTTTTGATTTTTCTATATTTTATAAAGATCATTACCTGCCAATTGCCATGGTACCAAATTGAAATTACATAAAGCTACAAGTATATATAATTAGGTATATATACTTCAAGACAGACCTGATGAAGCCTTATAGCTAGCTTGCCTATGTCATTCTTCAATCAAAGTCTGAACCGAGATCTCTTGGTGGTTTGATGCTTGACACAAGAACCCTTGTAATATCATGCAATAAAAATTAATTGCGTAGGCTTCAGAGCAGCTTTTACTAAGTTTATCTGGCCTTCCCATCTAGCTTGCAGTAGATCAAGCTCAGAATGGAATTAATTAGCTAGTTGAGCCAACAAATTACCTCCTTTCTTAAAGTTTCTAGATAATCAGCTCCAAGTGGATTTCCATCCATCTGCATGGCCATAGAAAGGAAAATTAATTACATGAGAACGTATACGTAGTCTGCTTTTTTGCTAATAACAGATTGAAATTGTAAAGTGGATCATAAATTAGGGTTTGTAGTTGGTGATTATATGTAGTTGGTCTTTTTCAATGATAGCTGATCATGGAGGTTTTGTTAGAATTTCATAAATGTGAATAACAGATATGTGGCAAAGAATAACATACCTGTCTTATATGCAAATTGTAGCAGATTCTCTCTTCACAGACATTACTTGATGAAGCGCTTACAATGCTCATGCTTTGTTCTTCTAGATTTCGAAAAAGATTTGACACAGCTGCGTTTTCTTTATCCCTCTGTAAGCAGAACTGTATAATCACTTCTCCTTGTCTAACTTCATGGATTAAAATTGTGGGAGTTTGACGTTCTTCCGTGCTTAGGTCTTGCTGATCAATAGGTTTCCTGTCCTCAATCTTTGATAACATGGTATTCTTCTTGAAATTCAGTTGTTCTATTTCACTCTCCAGCTCTGGAATGTATTTAACCACTTTATCGATTATGCCTGGGGCACTCCATTTCTTCTGCGGGATCTCCAAAAGATAAGCAAAAAAAGATTAAAAAAAAAAAAAAAAAACTGTTCTATTAATTATAACGTGGAGGAGTACTTAAAGAAATGAATCAAAAGAATAACGATCATGATGCATGGAGTTTATGGGCACAGCCAGCTAGCATGAAACCAAAATCTGAACACAGGTCCTTAATTACCATACTTTTTGAAGAAAATTTATGCTTTCGAAATCCGAACCTATGAAAAGAGAAGGCTAGCTAGTAAAGAGTAAATGTGATAGATATCAACCTTTGATCTTTGAGATTTCGGGAGCAATGAAGCAAGAGCCGAGTAGGAAGCATTGAGCTTCATTCTTCGTACTTTCTCTTTAGCATTATGTTGTTGTTTCTTTGATGTTGACCCTCCTTCGATATTGGGTTGCAACACCATTTTGTCCATTTTCAGTTTGAACCTAAATTGGTTTTTCTCCCCCTTCCCGAGTCTCTTTCCCCATTTGCTGGAAGCAGCCGGTGATTGATTTTCTTCCTCAACAGGGACTGACTTGCGGCTTTCCTGCATAATTGGCTCCATTTCATCGGAAGATTCAAGAGGGCAGGATAAATTAGTCTCCCTTTGATAGTTGTTGGCATTGCTCTCCATTAATCCTCCATCCCTTGTGTCTTCTTTCGGTAGTCCAGCAGGATTTTCTTGCTCGTAAAGAAGCATAACCGGATCGAACTCACAGCTAGTTTTATCACCTCCACTCTGATGATTGAATCTGTTTTCTGGAAATTCTTCACTGATTCTATACTTGGCCAGTGCTGAAAAATATTCTTCTTCAACACAAATATTGCTTGGATTCAAATCTCCAAAAAATTTATCATAATCGCTGACTTGTACCGAGTTGCTGCTTTCATGGATAGCTGAGCATAGATTATCTGAAACTTTCAGAGGGACCATAGATGAAGTGCAATCTGTATGGTAGTTGAATGTGTTTGGAATTGAAGCTTTGGTCAATGATGAATTTGTTCCATGGGGATTAAAACTTCCCAGACTTGAGTTGCCACTGCAGGTTCCATGATTCTCCAAAGGAAGTAATATACTGCCACTGATCTCTTGTAGATACGGCCACTGATTATCTGAAGCAGCTTCAAGAGGTTTGGAGATGTCATGATGATCTGTGTGATTGAGATTTTTGCTAGCTGAACAAGACATACTTGCAATATATGAAATATATATTGAAAGAATTTACAAACTTTCAGAACATTTAACAACTAGAAAAGGAAGAACACGATTAATCAATCAATATTGATGATGACGATGACAAAATTATGCCCTAGAAATTACTTATTAAGACATATATGACTGAAATATCCAAGAGGAAGGAGATGTACTAAAGAATCCCTAGCTTAGCTTAGTTATATAGTGTGTGTGTATATGTGTGTGTGTAGAGTCAACGTTAAGGAGAATAACGTGGTACGTATAAGATATATTTACATTATTAACCTTGGTACTAAAAGTCACATGCAAGTTGCATTGGAACACTATGGCTAAAAGAGTTCAATCTTTAATTTCCTGAAAAGTAATTCATTTGAAAAGTTTTGATATCTCTAAATTTTATTTTATTTTTATTTTTGAAATTAGTTTGTTCGATAATTTTTAGCTATCATCTTTTTTTTAAAAAAAAACTTCAATTCTTGATATTTTGACGAAGTTTCGACATACATTAAAAAAAATTCAATCTATTTTTTTTGAAAAAATTCTAGACTTTGAATCAGGAATTATATTTATTTATTTTTCTAAGAATAAAAATTTTAAAAAAATAAAAAATAACTCGTAAATTTTCTGGAGAGATCTAGATAAATCTCATCGAATGATTTTCATCACGAAATTATTTATATAATTGTTATTATTTTTTTTTATAAATGACGGAAAAAATTAGCCGAACAATATTAATGGAGAGCTGATATCAAGAACTAAAGCATATTATGATGCTATGTAATCTGACGAAATGCAATCGGTTTTTAGTGTCTGAAACCCTAAAAGTTAATGAACTTCTTATAATTCACTTAATTTGGGCAGGGCAAGAAAATTAAACATGGTCAGAAACACTGTTAGAAATGCATCAATAAGGGATTTCATGCACCTTCCTTTTCCTAAAACAAACCCTTCTTCTTCTTCTTCCTCTTCTTTTTATCATAGTATACTAAAATTAAGGCAGACAATATGACGAATTATAAAGATCATAGCTGTTGCTCTTAACTTGTATTTATATCTCCCAATTTCCCAAGAGATCTTAATTAGCACATTGCTTTTAGAACGCACAGATATTATTATGCATTGTTCAAAAAAAAAAAAAAAAAAAAAGAAGATGAAGAAGAGGAAGAAGAAGATCACGCATAAATGCCATAAACATCCATCGATCTATCGTCATTGAGAAAGAGAAAACTCCATACCTCACAATATTAATGGATGATAGGATATGATACACTTGAAATTAATGGATGCGTACATGAAGTCAATATCTATCACCATTGAACAGAAAGGTTCGAAGTGCTGAAAGAGCAGAGAAGAATTAACGGGTGCATACATAAACCAAGGTCCGTACATACACACACATATACATGAAAGAAAAACTACACTATAACTATATTAATTTTAAATTTTTTTCGATCAAGTATATCAATTTTTATTTTTTTCATTTCAGTCTATCAATTTTTTCGAAAAACATTAATCAAGTTTTTTCGTTTAATTTTTCATTTAATAATTAAACAATAATAATAATTGGAAGAAAAAAGGAAGCAACATAATCATTTAGTCTTCTTTTAACTATCACGTCATCCCTAGATGAAAAATTAAATGAAAAAACTTGATTAAAATTTTCAAAAAAAAATTGATATTAGTAACAAAAAAAATTAAAAATTTTTTTTATTCAATTAAGAAAATATTTAAGTTGGTGTACTTAATATATATATATAAGAGTAGATTATAAATTAGTCCTTTTAGTTTCTAGAAACAAATTAATTATCTTTTTTTAAAAAAATAATTATGTTCTTAAATCTACTTGTAATTTAGTCTTTTTTGTTCTTTTTTAATTTATTTTTAAAAATAAAAAATATGAAAAACTATGGGAAAATTGATGAAAAAAATTTGTAAAATAAAAATAATATTAAATTAAGCATTTTCAAAGCTAGTTAAAAAGCTAAATAATAATTTTTGAAACAAAGAGGATTAATTAATTCATTTATTAAAACTAGAGTGACTAATTTATAATTTACTCATATATATATATATATATATATATATATATAACGGTCTTTTGGATGTCCTTTTGTAGTACAATCGCTATCTGCAAGTACATGATACCAAACAAGCACTAGTACAGCTTCCCTCCCCATCTCATTGCCTTGGGTTGCCCGCTTTCTCGATTACACGCATAAATTTTTTAAGGACAAACCTAATAAATAAACCATAGATGGTCTTAATTTTGTCTTTGTACAGTTTTTTTTTTTCAATTTTATTTTTAATTAAAAAATTCATCTTTTTTTTTTCCATCTCATTTATATGTATGTCTAAATAGTACTTTTTATAATAATAAATATACTAAAATAAAATAGAGTTCACTGTATCTAAGCTTTTTTATCTTCTTTTTTGACTTTTTGTAATTTTTTTTTGTTTGTTTTGATCCATCTTATGTGATTTCTCATTATTTTGGTCTTTAGAATTTCAATCATGTGATTTTGACCCTGCATGCCGTAAAGTTTTTTTCATTTTTTTGTTTCGGTTGTTATATTATATTTTTATTTTAATCCTTCATAGTTTAAAATTATTATTGTTGTACTTATTTTTTATTTTTTATTTAATTTTTCTTAAAATATTTTATTGAATTATTGACAATAGATTCTTTTATTAGATTTTAATACATTATTGGTGTAATTTAATATGTTTATTTATTTAAATAATTTTTTTTATCTTTCGAATAAAAAATTATATTTAAGAGTGTATAAGTTAAATTTTTTTTGGGTAAGTTTTGATATCAAATATGAATATGAAATAGTAACAAAAACAAAGATCTGAAAAAAAAATTCTAGATGGAGATAATGTAATCTCCAAAATTTTACTATTCCTAAGCCTTTTTTTGGCTTTTAGTTACATTTTTCTTTCTACTTTGGTCCCTATTACATGATCCCTATTTTGTTTTGATCATTAAAATTTTATTGTGTGTATTTTTGCTCCTACTTTATGCATAATGGGTTTTTTTTGGTTTTACTATTCCTATATATTTTTTTTTTACTTCTAGATAAAAATTTCTTTCTATTTTGGTATATTTTATGTGATCTTTATTTTATTTTGATCATTAAAATTTTATTATTTTACATGTATATAAAATTTCTACCATTTTGTATCACATCAAGTTAAAATAGAGATTTCTAGGTCTGTTTGCTTATCTCTATATAATATTTTTTTATTTTTTTTTAATAAAAAACATATGACTAGTTTGATCATATCAAGCCAAACAAAGTATAGATTTTTTTTATTTTTTTATTTTTTTGCATGTTCTTTTAAATAATTGTTTTGCACCTAATTTTTTTTATTGAAGTCATCGTTTTGTATGTTTCTTATATTGTTGTTAGATAAAAAGCAATTCGAAACTCTTTATTCTCGTTCCTGTGAAGGAGATTTATCTAAAAGTTTTGAAATAACTTTTTTCTATACTATTGTCTTATTACCACCATTACATGGATTGGTAGAACATTTTATTTTATAATTGTCAAATAATTGATAGTCCATATTTAAAAAAAAAAATAAATTATAATCAATTTCATATTATCTAAAACAACTAAAATAATCCTATTTTATTCTTTTACATAAAGCACCGATGTAATGGATAATTATATATTTGTTGTAAAGATAAAATATCTAGTGTTTGCATTCAAGAAAGAAAAGAAAAGATAAATCTTAACTCTTGGTTTCAACTCAATAGCTTTTTAGATAATTTTAATGCTAAACAAATAAAAAGATGAGTATTTTGTTCTTTTAAATAATATCAAAGAACTTGGAACATGAGTTATCTTTTATTTGCTTTTTTCTTTTTTCTTAGATGTTAGAAATAATTAAAAAAAAAAAAACAAGATGGATATTTTTATTAAGTAAGTATCTAAGAAAGAGCGTTAAAAAAAAATGTAGTTAGCACTCAAAACATATGATACAGAAACTCTATTTAAGTTTTTCATATGATATGGAAACTCTATTTGAGTTTTTAATTGGATCTAAATTATCATATGATAGTTCTTCAAAGAGTTTTGATGCTTGTTAGAACACAATATTTAATCAATCTTTTTTTACCATGGCCGAATTTATAGAAATTCAATCTGAAAAGAATTGAAGATTTGGATAGCTTTGAAACCTGCATCTTATATAAACCAGAGGGAATTTGGCCACAGAAACGATTCGATCGAGTGAAGGGAAAAGAATTCCAGTTTCGGAAAATGGTCGCACGTGTTCTTCGATCGGTAGACTTCCAAATACGAGGTTAAACGTCAGATCGATGACTTGCAATTAAAGAAGAGATGTTGAAGAATGTAGATGGAAATATATTAGTTAAAGAAGGTGATCATAATGTACCTGTGAGATTACTTCTATCCAACAATAAATCTTAACTCTCCATTCTTCTCATTATTGTCTGATCAATCTAAGAATTTTTATTTTTCATTTCTATAAAATAGATTTTCCAAGAAAGTTTGAATATTTCTATACTGTTTAATTAAATTATCTTATTATTATCGTGTAAATTGTTAAAACTTTTTATTTTATATGGTTGAACATATGAAAAATCTATATAGCTCTTCTAACAACACACGAAATGCATGCTAGTTAGATCTAAAATACTAATGCTCATTAATTTTTTAGTCAATTTTTCTTTATATCAGCATTGCATAAAATATGATGATTAGATTTAAACTATTAAAAGAAATTGATAAAAAAATGTGATGAAGAAATATAAAAAATATTTAATATCACGTTGGTAAATTTATAAATTTGAGATAAAATTGAAGACATATAAGATATATAGGGTTCAAACGAAATTAAGATTTTTTTTTTTTTTTACATTTTTTTCTTTTTTGATCCTAAGGCACCTCAACTCTCAAACATTTTTCAGTAAAATGAATTATTTAAAAAAAAAAATAACTCACGTATTTAAAATAATTAATTATATGAATTCTAATAAAAAGGCAGGGAAATAACAATTTACATAAAAATGGAAAAAAAATGCTGTGTTTTATTTCTTTGTTTGTTTTATTTTTTTATTTTTTTATGCTTCCGTGCTGCCCTTCTTTTTTTTTTCATTTCTTATATATTAATATTCTGCCATTGTTTTCTCAATTAATAATAATAATAATATATACCTATTTTGCCGTTGAAGTTCTTTCAACCTTTTTACTGTTTCGTTACAAAGAGATGGATGCCATTGAACAGAGTACACTTCCCATTTTTTTCAGTAATAATTAATGTCTTTGTTGCAATCCGAAAGCAGCACAATATGATTAAGAAAATACACAGGAAAGTCGATTATTGATTCAAGGTGATAGAATTTTATTATAGTTAATAAACTCATGAAATAAACCGTCGATCATTGGATGAATCAAACGGCACGGTAAGAGCATTTTCGTCTGAATCCAACTAAATATTGAGCGTTTGAGCCAAAAGATCGGACTAAAATCCCAGCTAAACTCATATATTAGTCTAAGAAAACTGTAATATGCCAATGAATTAGCAAATCATAGATGTTAAATCAAAACATTTTGAAGGGCACGTAGTCTAGAAAGGCAAGCCTTGAAATAATATTAAACAAAATTGAATGAGAGAGGAATCGCTATATAAATTTTCGTAGAGCGTGCAGAGATAGTATGCCTGCCTGCCTGCCTGCTTTCGAATTCCTTCAGTAGCTGCTAAGATTTCTTAGTGTACCATGAAGTTCACAAAACAATTCCATTTCATTTGTCTGGCCTTGCTCTTCATTTTGGGAGCTTGGCCCTCTGAATCCGTAGCTCGAACCCTCTTGGATGCACCCATGGATGAGAGGCATGAGCAATGGATGACTCAATATGGACGTGTATACAAGGATGATAATGAGAAGGCTACGCGTTATAACATATTTAAAGAAAATGTTGCACACATAGATGCTTTTAACAGTCAAACTGGCAAATCTTACAAACTTGGCGTCAATCAATTTGCAGATGTTACAAATGACGAGTTCAAAGCTTCACGCAATAGATTCAAAGGCCATATGTGCTCTCCACAAGTAGGTCCTTTCAGATATGAAAATGTTTCTGCAGTGCCAACTACCATGGACTGGAGAAAGAAAGGAGCTGTGACCCCTGTCAAGGACCAAGGACAGTGCGGTAAGTGCTCGTGTCCTAGTGATGATAATATTGAGATCTTAAAGAAGGATACTTAATTTCTAACTCTTTCTTTGTGTTGAATCAAAATGTAGGTTGTTGTTGGGCATTTTCGGCAGTGGCAGCCATGGAAGGAATCAATCAGCTAACCACTGGTAAATTGATCTCCCTTTCGGAGCAAGAGGTTGTTGATTGTGACACTAAGGGTGAGGATCAAGGTTGCAACGGCGGTTTGATGGATGATGCCTTCAAATTCATTGAACAAAACAAGGGCCTAACAACTGAGGCAAACTACCCTTATAAGGGAACCGATGGCACTTGCAACACTCAAAAAGAAAGCAGCCATGCGGCGAAGATAACCGGGTTCGAAGACGTGCCAGCGAACAGCGAAGCTGCACTAATGAAGGCTGTCGCTAAGCAACCAGTTTCGGTCGCCATTGATGCTGGTGGATTTGAGTTCCAGTTCTACTCGAGTGGTATCTTTAATGGAAGTTGCGACACTCAACTAGACCATGGTGTTACTGCTGTTGGTTATGGAGTCAGTGATGGAACAAAATATTGGCTGGTGAAGAACTCATGGGGTGCACAATGGGGCGAAGAGGGATACATCCGAATGCAGAAAGATATATCTGCAAAGGAAGGACTCTGTGGCATAGCAATGCAAGCTTCTTACCCCACTGCCTGATCAGATGTTTCGATCATAGTTTTAAAACAGCGGAGGGTTGAAACAACAGTCAAGGTCACCATTACAGACTTACGACTTATTATAATACTAAAAAAACAATAACAATCGTTACATAATGTAATAATTGTTATTTAAATTTATGGTTCCAATATCTAAAGCCATATACTACCTTTGATGGTTAATTCTATCATATATTATAATACGTGTGTTTGTTTTTTGAAATTTATCCTTATGTTGTTTAATACCTGAAAAAATTGGAAAGGTATCTTATAAAATTTGAATTTTTTCCATGGAGGTCTTAGGTGGTGTTTGTTACATAGAATTGGAGAAAAAATTCATAAGATAGGGATGTGAAGTTTCAATTTTGGGGATTTTCTTCTTTAGTTTGCTTAAGGAATATTGGATTGTCAACAAATCTTCTCACTTCCATTCTTTGGGAGAAGAGTAATTTCCTAGTTTAGACTTTAGTGGGTTATTAACAAAATCTACTTATTTAATGGATGACACAACCATCCAATTATTGATATTTTCTCTTTAAGTGACTTTTATAAGAGTTATATAAAAATAAACATTACTCTTATTAACTAAAGCACAAAAAGAGAATACTCACGTTTCATTATATCACTATTACTCATTTCTATTGTTTATTTTTTCTGTTTATTGACATTTTTACACTTGATCTCTCATTTTCTTAGAAAAACTCTTTGATCCCAACCTTCATTTGTGTTGCAATCTAGTCATTGAATGCTTATATGAGAGAGAAACGTAGAGGGAAAAGAGAAGGGAGAGAGAGGGACAACGAGAGACATTACTGCCACCTCAATTGTTGAAATCACCATCATTTTGTTCATCTTGAAGAGTAAAATTCATTTATGATAGTCACAAACTATAAAATGATAGGAGGAGGAGATAAATCGGGATCTCAAAATATTTTAAGTTTTTTTATCTGATTTGAATTTTTGGGTGCATCAAAATTGATTTTGAGGGTCTAAATGAGTTTTCCGATGATATTTATGTGATTTTGAGGTGTTTTTAGATGAAAATAAAGTTGAATTTGATTTTAGAAGATCACAAATTAATTAAGAAGACTGACTTTTTCGACAAAACAGAGTTCATTGAAAATTGCAAAGTTGCTAAAAATATTTTTTTTAACCGTCTAGGCCCGGGCGCTAGGGCGTTGCCCTTAATTGAGGGCTTTTTTTTTTTTTTTACTTTCTTTTCAATATTTTTTTCATTTTTCTTTTCTAAGGATTTTTAAGCAAATATTTTGAAATGTCAAATGCTTTTTTTGTTCAATTGTAGTCTGACAAGAAATAAATATACATTATATGTTTTCATATTATAAAATAAACATATATTTTAGATTATATATTTCAGAGATGAGGATAATATTTATTTCTATAATTTGTCATTTCTTATAAAGATTGTCATCTAATTAATTTTAATTTTAATTTTTTAATTTGTTTAAATTTTAATTATAAATATGATTTTTCTCTATATATAAATTTTAAAATAAAAATTTAGAATGTGTATATTTAAAAAAAATTATATAATTTACATGATGAATTCTTAAATTTTTAAATGATAATAACATGATTAAATTAAAAATATAATAACATGATTAAATTAAAAATATTTAATAAATTTGATAAAGTAAAAAGATTTTTTTTTCCCTAATCTTTGATGCAATATATTTTAATGGATTCACAGCGTATACCTTCAAACTTACATTTTATTAAAAACTAGTAATTTACTATAATTTGTTACATATTTGACTTCTCGTGCAAACACCAATATACCTTGCTATGTATGCTTCAATGTCGTATACAAAACGATCTATGACTACCAAGACTACATTTCTAATCTCCTTCACATGCCATGCTTGCTATTGTTGTGCAACATCTTGAGTTGCACGGTTTTCGGGTCCGGGAGTTTCAGCATAAACCTGTCCTTGGTCTCTCGCATCTCTAAAAATGGAAAGGAATGAGTTAAGACCTTCAGAAGAAGCCCCACCTAAGATCCATAACAACAGTGAACTAAACGAATTCAGGGACCCGGAGTTGGGACCGGTTTCTGATTGCCGAAGATCCACCTGACCTGGATTCTGCATAGGGTTGGCTACTCTTTCTGGGTTGTCATTTTCCAAGGGTTGTCCAAGCCCAGGATCCCCTATTCCATTGGTGGGTATTGCTTGGCCAGAACCAGGTCTTAATGCAGGCCCAGAGGCCATGTCTGCATTGAATGAACCTTGGTTCCTAGTGTTCAATCTAGTGATGTGTAAAGTCGATGCAAGGATGGTAGACGAGGTGATATGGAAGTCTGGGTGTTGCTGAAGCTGTGAACGCCGGTTTTGCATGAACCTTTGGAGAGTTGGTACCTGAGAAGAGCCCTCCCATATCAGAGAAATAGCAACAACAAATCAAGAAGAAACATAAACCTAGGTCACCAAAGTGATCGCAAGCTTATAGAGAAAACACGAACCATAGCCATAGAAATAGAAAAGAATCAACCTAGCAATGCCAAAATACATGAGAAGGTTCTAATTGTTACCTCAAAACGGTTCCAGAAGTATAGAATGAGGTGTTGCATAAATGCTGCAGCTGTGGAGAGAGCCAAATATGAAAAACCTGCAAAAACATTACAGTGAATGATATTCTCAGACGAAAATAATCCTACGAAGCAAGAAGATTGACCAAGAAAAATGACTGGGTCCATACCATAAGCGTAGGAAAAGAAGTAGATGTGGAAAACCAGAAAATATAGCAAGAAGAAACGAGGAAAAAACTTCATTGATATTGGCGTGCGGACACTGCAAAATAATAGCAAGTGGAATCTCATTATACAGGCACCAAAAAAAAAAAAAAGCACAATGATACAGGCACGTGTGCACACACATCTACACTTTCACACACGAGTTTATCCAACACACTGCTGAAAATATGGAACGTAAAAAACAGAAACAGCAGATTTACCCAAGGAAAAGAGATTTCTCACAACATAGAAAAAACAACAAGTATAAAAGGAAAAGGAGAAATTGCAGCAAAAATAGTCCTCAAGTTAAACAACAAAAATGAGCCCAAGTGCCCAACCATCACTTCAAAGCCAGAGCGATCCAGGCATATTGTTGCAAGAAATTTGGTACTTGTTCTCAATGAACTAGGAAGCTACTGATGGTGATTGTCCACAATCAGACCATTTTAGTAACAAAAGATGCAGGACCAACAAGGCCAGCTTTGCCTTCACTTGCATCTGCCGTATGCCAAGGGATCATGGATTGCGAACAGTCAAGTAATCATAATCATTGGGATCAAGTGCATCCAACATGGGCCAGTTATACCATGGCCCTGGCCAACAAGGAACTATAGCCTGATTGTGGCCAACGTGGTCCATTGCAACTCAAACTACCACTAGTAAGGACAAAGTTGAATTAAAAAAAAAATTAAAAATACAGGCCCAACACAGCAATCTTGATTAGAGCGAAATGACTGTTAGCTTGCAATCAACAGCAATTAGATGGGCTGCAACCAGATGATAAAAATAAATCACAGGAATCAAAGACAACATGCATAAAATATGGGAGACAGACCTGATCAGTGTGAACAGTTCACACAACCAAACAAGGATTAAGACCATGAAAGCCAATAGCTGATCACTGTAAAACTCGAACAGGAAAAATAAGATGCCAATCATTATCTGCAAAGCCCAGCATACAACTCCCATCAGTCATCAGGTTATAGCGAGAGCTACTAGCAAAATTATTGGAAAAGAAAATATAAACTATAAGCATATCCAAGCAAATAACAGAAATATTAGCAACTCAACAAGATGCGCTCTTACAGGTACAAATACAAGTGACTCAATCACATGCACAAAGATCAGCTGGAAGGTTGGCAGCCGATGTCGAGCATGGTGTTGAAGCTGCACTGCAAAAATTCAGAAAGGGAAACAGCCAATCATATGTAAAGGAAGAAGTAGACAGAACTACAAAGCCTCGTGGCAACTATGAATGGTGTGGTGCGGTCTCACTCGACTAGCAATGATAGATTCACAGTTCATCTTTTCAATGTAACATATTAAAGCATCCTTTAAATAAATCATTAGACACTGGCTGAACTACCTAGAATACCAAACCACCAAACCCTCAAGCAAGAGTGCAAGATTAAAGGAGACTAATTAATTACTATAATTTTAACACAAGTAATTTAACCATACATCAAATAAGGAAAAAAAACCATATTTTATGGTGATAGCACCATACTAATCCTCAAAAAAAAAAAAAAAAAACACGAATCTTAAATTAAGCATACCTGTAAATTTCAGCATGCGAGTTTGTGTCTCTCTTAATGTAAACGATACTGACATCGTGGTGGTGAAGAAAACAAACAGTGACATCATAAGCACACCGCACTTGGTCACAAGATAGTCTTCATGAAAAGCAAGGAAAAACATAATCATCAGAGAATTATTTATATCGATTAGTCCAAAATAAGGTAAAACATTCTTCTACGATATATTTAGCAAACAATAATCTAATTAATAGTTTATAAACGCAAAATGCAGCAATCACAATAATACCAGCTCAAGCAATAAAATCATAGGAATGAGAAAGATCACACATGGACAGCTTTTCCAAGAAATACTATGGCTTTTATTCTAATTGCGGCACCAGCAGAATATTAAACGCAAAATGCTAAAGACATCAATCTGTTCATGCTTGTATAGGGATCATTCTCATTTTCAGCTAGTACTTGTTAGATAATAGTAGATCCACAAGACATTTAAATAAAATAAAGGACCCTGCAAATTAAAGTATACTATGTACCAAAGTCAAAACATAGCCAAGATTCTTCAAACAATTCCTTGTCTTCCATCAAAATATGCCTCCTACTCCATATCCAATATAGTGTCATAGCAGCCATTGTTATTGTTGATGCAGGATTGAGGAAAATTGCTTAACTTACAAATTTTTCACTCAGTTAAGCCCAATGTGAAGTCCCTTCTCATATTTCTTTATCCAGAGACCTCTGCAGTTGATAAGAATAGAAACCTAGCAAAATCCTGGCAATCTCTTACCACATTGGCCAAGGTCCAAGGGCTACCTCTTATTCCTTCCTTTCATTTATTATTTTTGTTTTTTAAAGCTTCAAGAGTCTTTATGAGAGTTTGTGTCCAAGCTTCTTTACCACGTTGGAAAACAAGAAAATAGAAGGATGGAAAATTTTAGGATTAATGGGTCCTATGTCAAGGGCTCGTTGATTTAAGAAAACTCTACATTAGACTAAACACTGCAGGAAAAGCCCCTGGCTTCACCAGTCAAAGAAAAACTAAATTAGATTAAAAGGAGTTAAAAATGAAGCAGTTTTTACTTCCCTACAGCTATCCATTTGCCACAAGGATTTGGTGGCATCAATACATAGGCAATTCTAATTACTTTTCTTTAAGGTTCTGAACAAACATTCAACCAGCATTTCCCACTAGACATATGCACAGAGCATCATGTATACAAAAATTTTAAATACATAACTCACAACAGCAGCATTAGATATTGCCAACTCATTGAATGAAAAGTACTGCACAATTAGAGAGATGGCATGATAAGTAGACAAACCTCCACAGCTTGCATGACCTTCCTGCGGCTCATGTGCATAACTAAGATTATAAAGCTCTTTTGTTTGGAAGTTATAAAGGTACCCTGAAATAAAGTAACAAAACATAATCAGACACAATGGAAGGCAAACTAAACTCATATTGGGACCCCATATATCATCTCAAACTCAATATAGAGTTGAGATCCATTTGGCAAAAGCATTTGCATTCTTTATTCGTCACAGTTGTTACCACAAAGAAACATTTTGTAATATGATCAATTCTCAATGCTTTTGATGCCCAGATCACAAAAACAGAGTGCCTTACTTATCAAATTGCCAGATAAATATAATTTAGAAAAACTCAAAGATGAAACAACAGTGTCTCATACTACTAATTTACTAAAGCTTTTCTTGGGAAATGAGCCTCCATTCTGTCTTGTCTCGCTTGAAAAGGCAACTGCTTGAGTAGAGAGAAAATTCAGGGGTTGTACAAGTGAACTGGAGTGTTTTTCTTTCTTTTTTCTTTTTTTCTTTTCTTTTCGTATACAATGATAACAGCAAGCACCTTCAAAAAGCATTGAATTGAGGCTTTTTGCTGGGTGAGCTGCTTTTTTGTTGGTAACTTACAAAATGGTGATCCTGTGGAAGGAAAACATATCCCTCATCATCCCCAAACACCCACATAGAATTTAATAAGGTGTGTGCCCCTGCACATGTATGGATGTTTTCTATCATAATTTTCACTTCTCCCTCAACCAAATCTTGATCACAAGACCTTGATGTTCAGACAAGATCCCATCCACAAGCTATGGTGAGGGAGGAGCATTTGTCAGCATCTACTAAACCATGACAAGCTATGCTAAAAAGAAAATTGCATGTAAATGAACATGTAAAGGAAAGCAGTGAGTTGGAAGCAAATATGAAATGACAGAACCATATAATACCATCACTGGAAACCAAGTCGTAGTGAAACCAATATAGAGTGAAATGGTAGATAAAAAATCCATCTGTTCCTTGACAATACAGCTTGAGATCAACAAAAAAAGGAGCACAGACTAGGTCAATATTTGTGACAAGGTGGTGCACCTCTGGCAATCATTGACTATGTTTTAAGTGACTAACATTACTGATACATGACCAAAAAAAAAAAATCACTCAAACAAGAAAATGTGTTCGTAAAATCAAATTACCTGTCATTTGCATGCAACAATTCATACATAAACAAGTAGGATGATCAATCCAAGTAACAGAGTTTTTACCTTGACCAGGAGAACTCAATAAACTATTCATCAGTATGGTGTCATATCCAACAACTCTGTTTATGAGAAGTTGCTGCCACCTGGAAATAGGAAAATATGCATTAAATAGTGACAACTATATGCACAAGCATTATGAAATAATAGAAAATTATTCTCAGGAATTCACAAAAAAGATCTACATATATTTACCAAAAAGACTAGTGGATGGTTCACTAAAATATGGGGCTTTCATACTTTAACCAAGGGAGCTGAAAGTAAATCCCTCATATCCCTACAGAGGTCCTCGGAAATTAACTTCAGCTTTTTTGCTGATGGGAAAATTGCTTCATAAGCAGGCACTATGGCACTACATCGGCAAACTTAGATTTAAACTAAGGCCCAGTTGAGTTCATTTTAGAGTTGACATGATGATAACATCGACTTAACATTGCATGACTCTTGGTGTTCTCTTTAAATGCCTGCAACTTATCTCTCATATGAAGTCAATTTTTTGTCATCAAACTCCAGAATTATCTAACCATACTCAACCTCCTAACCCAAACCTTTTATAAAAATCCAACTCCAAATTTTTTCAAACCCTAACTAAAAGGCAGATTACCAAAACCATCCAGCATGGATGTCTATATAAATGTTACAATTTAAAGCTTATGCCAGCAAATATTGCCCAAGGATGTTTTGTCGATTTCATAGAAAAACCACCCAGCTGTGCATGATGTGTATTTAACAAGAAATATAACCTGTTTCCAAAGCAGGGATGCCGGGCTGATATACTAATGTTAACAGTGCGTATATTATGCCTAGATTTTGCTTCTTCGGGTAGCAAGAAGAAACCCTGCAAACCAAAAATATTGATAACATTAGAGCAAACTAAATACATAATGATTAAACAAGCTTCCAAACTACAGAAGAATCATTTATTCTATATATGTGAAAAAAATAAATCTACCATGGCATCAACAAATGCAACAAACCTTTACACCGTGGAAAGACAGAATTTAATGAAGAATGAACTTGACATTGTACCTTTTCCATGGTGTATAAATAAGTTGGTTCAAATGCTTTGCTCTTCTTCTCCAGCCATTGCACTGAAATAGATAGCACAACTATTAAACATATTCCACCACTACAATGGACAAAGAAAGTCACAAGCTTACAAACTTGGCCAAAACTTTTTAACATGTGCAACCAGTTAATTTAACACTACAAAATGGTATCTATAATGGTCCCCATAATCAAAATAGGTTTGATACACAAAAGAAATTGAGACACCTGCATATATGACAGAGACAAAACCTGCCAACCAACCAGACTATAATCACTAGTTCAGGTTTAGCAAAGAGAAAATACTTTACTTCGGTTGCTTTCTGAAGCCACTGAAAGAATGGCATATTCAGTTCCACAGCTAAATCTGAAGGTCATCTTGTGAAATGAAATGGCCATTGAGCCAGGCTATGGCATTCTAATGGGATAGGCCTTAACTTCTATCTTGACATGAAACCGACTGATTTTTGTCAACAAATGTGAGTTCATAGATACAGTCAAAACAGTCAAAGAGGAAACAAGGGGCCAATTATTACCAGCATAAGAGTTAAGCCTGTCCAAGTAAAGTATTCTCATCCACTTAGGAACATCAAGGTTTAAATGTATGCCTGTAATATCCTGCACTTAAAAATTCAAAATCAGAAAAGGAACATTTATTCCACAATACATGTAATCAATTAAGGGATGCATTAAGCATGACCTTATAATCTGTCGAATCTCTTGAAACTTTTCAAAGTGCAGAACTAGGAAAATGTATGGGAGCAGATACTAGGAGAGTTAGAGAAAAATAGGGAGTTGAGAAACATTCACAAGTTTTGCCTGGTTGAAAGTATGAGTTAAATTAAGCCAAAATATATAGAGAATTTAACAAAATAATGGAAAGTCCTATGGGTTATCAACGGAGACTGACGAGTAAATGAAATTGGCATGAATAAGTACTAACCAACAACGACAGTAGTTAAAAGAGAGATAGAAAGGGCAAAAAATTCTTGTCGCATAAAGACTAAAAGCCCTGGACAAGGTTAAGAAACTGCAACTATAAAATCTTATACTCCCTCGCTTTCACTAGAGTAGGTCCAACGACGCAAAAACACAGGATAGCCAAAAGAAGAAAGTAAAATGATTTCAAAGCCTCAAGGAGTATTGCTGAGAGTAAACTAGAAATTTCAAATAACTCATGCTGAAATAAGTTTGGCTAGTGTCAACCCTAATTTCCAAGGCCACATGTTGTACCAGGACAAAACCCAAAATTGAGGTTTAAGAGTTCATCAAATAGTAGAAATCAATGGAAAAATAACTCACCCACAGCTTCTGGAAACCTCGCAAGATTTGCTTTACATGTCTCCAAATGAAAGATAGACGGCGATGCCACTTTTTGCCAAAATGAATGACGGCTGCTTTAACAGTTTCCTTAGCTGATATAGGAAAACTATTGCGTGTGTCTAGCTTATCAGTTTTAGTAGCAGCAGCAGCAGCCGCAGCAGGAACATTATCAGGATCAGTAGTCTTCCAGAACTTGAAATCCAGTTTGCCCTTGCGAGCACCAGAACCAATCCAATTAAACCACAACTTTGCAGCCAAAAAAATGTCTCCTCCATCTCCCTGATCGGCAATCGGCAATTCAACTTGATTATCGGTTACAGTAGTGACCACATGCTCATCAGGAACATCATCATGACCACCACCATCATCAATAAACACATTTGATTCAGACTCATTCTGTGACCACAAACCTGCACTAGTTATCTAATCAAGAAACTATACTTATCAGTTATTGCTATAACTCTAAACAAACAAACAAGTAATTAAAAAAAAAAATCAGTAGCAGAGTTATTCTTTCCTTTTTTTTACCTTGATTTGAATAAGCTGGGCTTCCCGTGTTTCAACTCCAGATAGCTGACTTGAACATCCAGGCTGCAACAAACAAATGAAAAATAAAATAAATGATTGATAATGGAATTTTGAAAACCCTAGAAAGAAACGAAAAGAAAAGGATGGATGATAAAAACCTACCTGCTGGACATAATTAGCGTGCATAACAACAAGAATGCAAAAAAGAGTGATGGCAATGAACAAATATATATACTCCAAAGCAGCCCTGACTCTTGGGGTTAGCATCTGAGAAAACCTTTCTTGAACTCGTATAAATGTCTGCTCTGGATCCATCCTTATCTATACCACAAATTACTTTGCTGTTTCCTCAAATTCTTGTTTTTTCTCCTTTCATTTCTTCTCTACCAAAATCCCATTTTTTCACAACACAAGGAAGATAGCTCCACATAAACAGATATATAGAGAGAGATTTTATGGATTCAATTCCATTTTGGGTTGATCAATCAACCTTTCTTTCTGGGTCTTTTTTTTTTTTTTTTCCTTCTCTTCTTCTAATTTCGGGTCAATGGTCTTCAATTTATATGGAAGCTTCTTTTTTTCTTTTTTTTTTTTTGCAATAAAATATATATATATATATATAACTAATAAATACTCCAAGAGACAGTTCTATATCCATAAAGAAAAAAAAATTCTTGTCATCGTATGTTATTTCGAGAGTAAATTATAAATTAGTCCCTCTTGCTTCAACAAACGAATTAAATAGTCTCTAATTTTAAAAACTAATTGTTTACTCCATTTTGCTATTTTTTAATTTATTTTAATTTTTTGTTTTAAAAAAATATAAAAGAAAAAATAAGGAAAAATATACATAGATTGATAAGAAAAAAATATTTTATAAAATAAAAAAATATATTAAATTAGTTGTAGTTAATACTGATTAAAAAAATTTTAAATAATTAATTTTTGAAACTATAAGAATTAATTTATTTATTTTTTAAAACGAGAATGGCTAATTTATAATTTACCCATTATTTGGGTCTAGTTTTTATAGTAAGAAAAAAAGTTTGTGCATAATGAAACCAATACATTTTATCCAGTTTCTCTCTTCTTTGATTATTCTTTTTATAAAAAATAAAAATAAAATTGATGATTTCTTAATTTTCCTACGACTACCCAAATGGAATTTTCATTCCATAATTATAATATATTTAAGTAGTGTTTGTTTGGAAGCTAGGATAGAAAGGAGAAAATAATATGAAATAAGATCAAATGAGCAAGACACAATTGTATTTGCTTCGAAATATGATACAAATTTTTTTGTCTCCTATCAATTTAATCGGGGAGAAGATGACGTAATAAGATGCAATAAATATTTAATTTATCCTTGTATATATCTTAGGTGGTAATTGTTTTATTTATATTATCTTTAAATTATTAATATTAATTTTTTTATCAGATATATATATTATAATATTAAATTTAAAAATATACCTTGAAGAAAAAAACAAATTAATCATCAATCTAACAATTTTCTTTTCATAGTACATATTTTTTAAATTAAAATAATTAAATTGTTGAATTTAGCCATTAACTTGAACCGCTGCATTTAATCGTGGATTTCTTAAAGCACCCATGCATAAAAGTCAATTTTCCTGCATTTTACCATAGTATGCAAAAACAATTAAAAAAACAGTCATACAATAAAAAGCTAACTCGTGCATTCACTTGAAAAATAACACTTTTATAAAACATATCATGAACCCATAAAAAAAAGCTATCCATGTTTTATTTTTTGTTGAAAACTTTTCTTCCAGGTGTTGAGAGTAAATTATAAATTAATTTTTATTTTAAAAATTAATTATTTAATCTCTTCATTGGTATTGATTATGCTTAATTTAATATTATTTTATTTCAAAATTATCAGATTTTCTCGTCAATCTTTTTATATTTTATATTTTATATTTTTTTTAATATTGTATTCTTAATTTAATATTATTTTATTTTAAAAAATTGATCAAATATTACAGAGCTAAAATACATCAAAACTCTTTAAAGAATTATTGTATGATAATTTAGATCCAATTAAAAACTTAAACAAAGTTTCCATATCATGTGAAAAACTTAAATAGAGTTTTCATATCATATGTTTTGAATGCTAGTAATGTTTTTTTAACACTCTTTCTTAAATACTTGCTTAATGAAAGTATCTATGTTTTTTTTAAAAAAAAAAAACTATTTCTAACATCCAAGCAAAAAAATAGCAAATAAAAGATATCTCATGTTCCCAATTCTTAGAAAGTTTTTAAATTATAATTAATTTGATTTTATTTAAAAGACTAAAATACTCTTTTTTTAACGTTAAAATTATCTAAAAAACTATTGAATTGAAACCAAGCGTTAAGATTTATTTTTTCATCAATTCTAGTCTCCAAATTACAAAACTAGAAGCATATTTTTTAACGAGTAAACAATGGAAAAATAAAGATCTCATTTTCAGCTGGCACATATGTCAACGCGAAATTTCAAGTGCTTTTGAGTAAAAGAGTGTCAATCCTGTAATACTTAATCTCCTTTGAAAAACTATAAGAGCAGAGAGAAGATTTAAAAAGAATGGGAGGGGAGAAATTTTTTTTGTTAGTATAGTTTTTTATACCTTTTTGAGGTAATATGGAATTACGAGAGATAGGAATTTGAAAATTTGACAAAAACCTTCTTATGTACCCAATGAACCCTTAATTACTATTTTTTAAAAAAACAAACTATAATTAAATTAAACTACAATTGAGACAATAATAGCACGAGGTTGGAAATTGGTTTTAGGAATGAAAGGGTCTCGAATGCATCAAAGCTTGCTCGTGGCGGGTTCTCCAACAACGAATCTCGACAAATGGGTTATGTTGTAGAAGGTTTCTCGTTCACATGGGTTACTGTCAAATGTAATTTTTATTTTTGGATTTAGGCACTTTTTCTATCAAATAATAATAACAATAATAGATTAGAGAATAAATGTTGTTTTAGGAGATGAACAATATTAAATCTACTATTTAATTTGAGTTAAATTTGGTTTGGTTTGTGTACGTGTACGCGTGCATCATGTCTATTTGTTTTTTTTTTGTTTTTTTTTAATTTAAGTATTTTCTTTAAAAAGAAATTAAAGGTATTTTTTGTATAAATTGGTTTCTATTGTTTTATTTTTTAAAACTATTTGAATGTCTCTATAATTTTGCGATATCTTAATGGGATATTGTAATTTGCCCATGTAAAAAAGATAAACATCATCATAATTTAATTGTTTTCCAATTTATCGATCATACAATGCGCTAGACTTAAAAAAAAATTATAATTTTGTTGGTAGATTCAAATTATAATCCAATTTGGATTAAAGATCGACGAATATTTGAAAAAAAAATTAATATACTTCAAGTAAAATAATTTGATACACGCACAAACCTCTAATTTTTTATTATTTATTATTATTATTTTTTTTGTCTCTAAGAGCAAAATTATGACAATAATGCTTACTATGATTGTTATTTGGGCGAAATTTTCTTGGACTCTGCTCGAATCATTAATCAAAGGGCAAACGAGTTCCAATCATTTATTTGGCGCATGTAGTTTTTGAAGAAAATTGAGGGTAAAAACTAGTCCTTACGCTAAGTTAGGTTAGATTTTCATCCAAATTAGGGTCATTGTATGTGACGTAACTAGCACGTGATACAAAAATTCACATAAAAATCATACGTGCTTAAGTCATTTAGTGTCACGTGCTAGTTACGTAATAAATATTAATCCCAAATTGGACATAAAATTGACCAAACTTAACATAATGATTTTTTTTTGTTAGTTTTTGTCAATTTCTTTCATGTGAAAAGATTCTCTAAGACTTAAAGTCAAGTTACGGAAATTCAATGGGTTGTGAGTTGTAACCAACCCTTTAATTATAAGAATTCTCCGTAACATCTTCTATCATTTTCTTAACCTACTTCTTTTAAGAAATTGTGGTCCTTGTGGAAAAAAAAACTTCAATTTTTTTTCTTCGAATATCTCGTCGTAGATTAGTTGCGTCATGAAAATGAATTTTCAACTCGACTTCATGCTAAATTATTACTTCATAGGATAAAAAAAAAAAAAATTCTCATGTCTTATAAAATTACACATATTATCTTAAAGTTTAAAGATTTTATAAAAACTTTCCGTATGTTCGAGTAAATTAATAATACAAAAACCTTATTTGTATCCAACATACTCTTCTCACTTATATTTAGGTGAATACTACAAAAACCTTTTTTATATCCAAAATACTTTTAATATTTTTTAAATCATTCCCCTTGACATCAAGAGCATTTTTTTTAATACAAAAGAGGCTTTTTTAATACCATTCAAGTTTTTAGTGGTCGGAGATTATTGTAATTTATTCTACTTCGTACAAGATACAAAATCATCTCGGAGATTTTGTTAATCCATGCATAATTTCAAACGTTACATTATCAACAATATTTTCCAACACATCTAATTTATTCACTATCAAGAAAAAATAAGAAAATTAAAAAAGTATGCACACCTCTATTTATGATATTAATTCACTAATAACAAATAAATATTAAAAAAATAATTCTAATGTTATTCATCGTAAGAGCAATCTTTTAGAATACTTGAAGCGTCAAAGCGTTGTTCGAACTCAAGATTGTTGGAAAATTAATTAAAATTTTGATTTTTAAATCACCTTTTTTCCCTATTTCTTTCCCACTTGGCATGCCTTGACCCTTAATAATTTTTACATATCCGGGACATACGAGGTCAAATGATAAGTTCATCTTTTCACCTCCTAACAATGGAACTAAAACAAGTACAACCTATAAGAGCTTGTACTAAAGAGATCTCAACCTTGTACACCAAGTTATCATCTTTTCTTTTAAACAAGGAGTGTGGTTTTTCATCTATCACGAGAATCAAATCAGCTGGTTGATAGCACGGCCTCTCGTCGGCTTTTCCTTCAAATATAATTTTTGTTCCTTTCTTCCATCCCGGTTTCACTATTATGTTTACCATCTCTCCTTGTTGTTCAAGTATCCTGCACAACATAGACATGTATCGTTATTAGAAATGAGATATTTTGTGTTTTTTTACCATATCATGTTACTATCTCTTAAGAAAATCTATTGTAGAAAGACATATCAAACTTTTACTCTCTAACGAAATAATATTTTCTTCTTCTTTTGTTGTTTTATAGGTTTTAACAATTATGATGTTTTTTGATTAATTTTTATGCACAAAGACTAAGTCATTTGTGATCAAATCTTAGACCATCTACACTTATACTCTACATTCATGAG